ATCCCGTCTGAGATGTTTGCATTTCTATAGCGCGGTCTTGGGACTTGGCACGGCGCCTTACGCAGCGGCCGCGTAGACGAGGCTGAGTTGGAGCCTTGGCCCTGAGGACCTCGCATCACCTCCCCTGTCCTTCTTACACCTGCCGAACCACTGACCCTTTCTACCTAGTCATTGACATACGACATCGAGTGACCCTGGATTTCTGAACGCGTCTCCCCGTCGCCAGACCGTCGGCACTTCAAGTTTTCGGAGACTGCAAGAGATTCCCTCAACTGGCCAACCAGATTTCTTACTACAACTCCCAAAGACTGTTTCAGTTCAGCTGAAGGGAGCTTCCGGCATTCAAAGTAGCTGCGAGGAAAGCTTTGGCCCGCTACCAACATCAAATCGTCAATAATGTCTTCCCTGGAACCGTTCATACAGCCGCCAGAATCAGCAGACGATGATCCCATCATCCACCCTTCGCTCCAGCGGTACATCCATTCGCTTCCCGACTCACAAACCAACTATGCACGCTTCTTCTCCGCCCTGCTCATCCCGCAACAGTCTCACGCGCAATTCTTCATCGATCTGAAACAGTTTCGCGAGCAGGCCACCATCATCTACCTACTGGCGCCGGGCACCTCTGAGAACTACCGCCAGGTCTCGCAGAAGTTTATCGGCTCGCGGTTCGCGCACCCGTGGTGTCGTGTGCAGAGCGACTTCGGCAAGGGGTGGCGCGGGGCGAGCTGGTTTGGGAACTCAGGAGGGTGCGCCCCCCAGGTAAATGAGCGGGTGAGGAAGGAACAGGACCGGCTGCATAGGCTGCTCGTCCCGATTTGGATCGCGATGAGGAGGAGGATGTTTCCCGGAGAGGACGTCGTGTACCAGTGGGTCGCGAAGGAAGACGAATGGGAAAGTGCAGCCGCGGAGGAGGAGGAGAAGAAGAAGAAGAAGAAGAAGAAAGCCGCCACGGCAGTGAAAGCGGAATCCATTAAACCGCCGCCGCCTGCTGCCTACCCCGAACTGGGCTTCGCGACCACCAACTCTACAACGCCATCGAGAACGATGACGATGATGACGACGACGACACCACAGGATACCATGCATCCCGAAGGAGCAGCGGCCGCCTCCAAGCTATTCCTGGGCGTGGCCGTCACGGGATTCATCATGAGCGACAAGCGCATACAGAAGTACGTCGAGAAGAAGCTGTTCAAGAAGTAAATGAATACTTGCTCCTGGACTCGGACTTCTTGAGGCGAACGAATGATCTCAGTGAGGGCCCTGGCACTGACCCGGAACCAGCCACGCCGCTTGCCAGCTACGCATCCATGGAGCGGGACATGAGACTCGATGGTGATGGATCATCAGCGACCTGATATTGCTCAGCAGAGCTTGTTCTCGCCTGTCCTAAGCGAAGCACGAAACCACCAGATCAGCCTTGTAAGATATGCGCTTCCACGGCTCTGGTGCAATTGACGTCCGATCGAGCCGGGAATCGGGATAGGGAGAGAAGCAAATCGGACCAGCAAAACCCCTCGCAATGTCCATCGGCATTCAAGATCGATGCTTGCTTTTCGTCTGGGCCACACAGTACATAATACACATATACCTCAGACATTTGCCTCGACAGATATACCGCATATGCTGCCCAGCTAGGTCGAGACTGAAGCTCTCCTCGGCGATGTGTTCAGACGGACGTCCTGAACCGACATGAAAGGTTCACTACCGGTGATGGTCCCCACGGCCTAGCGCGCTGTCGAGGACTGCCTCTTCCTCTTTCTCTCCATCTTCTTTGGCTCCCGTTCATCGACCAATCATTTCATCCATCCCTCACGGCTGCAGAAAAGCAAGCGACGTCGTCGGAATCCGTCTTGTTGGAAAGGGGGAGAAGAATGATACGCAAACGGGCCTGGCCTGGCCTGACCCGGCCTATGGCAGCAGAGCAGCACCAAATATCGGCTTATTTGTATGAAGGAGAAGAAGAAGTTCGTGCATGGGCTGGCCAAGTTTTGAAAGGGGGGTTTTGCACCGCGTTCCCGAAAAGTCTATAGACGCAATATATACGTATACTCTACGCACTGTGGTAAACCATCGTTTCTCACGCATAAATACAAAGTGTTTTACCACCGTCGTCGTTGGCCGTATCATCATTATTTATCCACCCACATCCACGCCGTCCTGTGTCTTTCCCAGACATACCCCCGACTCCATCACCTGCGCACGACAAGGTAAAAAGAAGCCCCTTCGTTGTCCCAGTTGGCAGTTGAGCCACACTCCGAAGGCACCACAACGACGACATATAATCGCCCGGCGGGTCTGCATCTGCCCCCATCTACGAAGGAAGGCCCTGCGGAGCGAACGGTACGATCCGCACGCGTGGCTCTTTGAATTCATCTTCGCCTTCATCTGCTGTCTTCCGTCTCCCCGGTCCACGCCCTCCGCCAAACTGGGCCTTGCCGTCGGTCTTCCATTCCGTGGCCACTGGATCGCGGCGTCGCGTCGAGCTGGCGAAATAGGCCGGTTCAGCCAGTGAGTGGCTCGATCTGCCTTCGATCAGCAAAGCCAGAGGGCAGTGCGCCCTTCCCTAGAAGTAACGCTCTCTGCCCCGCCTTCATTATATGGAGTACATTGGCGCAATGCTCCTGATTCGCAGATTAGGATGTCATGCCACTCTTTGATGTAGTCGTGGGATTTTGGCAACGTCTCGATTCCGACTTCGTCGTAGAGGACTCAACGATGATAGATGACCGTTCGTGGGCAAAGAACTTGTTAATCCTGAGGGCCGAAGTCGTTCTTACGTCTTGGGCCTCCAGCGAATTGGGCCGTCAGGCGTTCTCTTTTGATCCCGGGACCATCCACATAGGCTTTTGATGGTGGGAGCGGTCGGGAGTTTTGAAGGCATGCCGAAGGCTAGCATTATGTCTTAGGGTCACTTGCGTGGTCCGTACAGCGACATTTAACCATACCTGGAACAAAATTTCTAGGGCTTTTAGGATCATCATCCTCAAGAAAGCCGAAGCCACTCGTAAGCTTGATCCTTCTGACAGCACGCGCCATGATTCAAGAAGCGGTCCTCGACCTCTTGTTCGGAGGCGATTGGTTCGAGCAGGTTGAGTCAGTTTCCTGCTCCAGGCTATGGCAGGTCATAGCAATAGAATGGACAAGCACTAGCTGCAAGGCCAAGCTGTACAATACTTCGAGTGGGATTGGGGCCCTTGGGCGTCCGAACGGGGGAGATGATATCAAGGTGGCATACTGCTTCGAGGCAGTTGCGGAGTCACACTGCTGGTTTGGCACTTTTCAAACACGTGCAAGGTTGAAGATGGCTTGAGTTCGCACAAGATTTGTTGGTTTATACAGATCGGCGGGTATACACTAGAAATACTACGAGTCAAAAGACGTCATACTTTCTCCCAACGCGTGCAGCCTGCGACAACACTATCCGAGATATTTGGATCCCTGTATCACATCGCCGAGGCAGCGTCGTCGAGCAAACACGAGGCACAATCAAGCCGCGTCGTTCCGTCTGAGGTGGGGGAGATATGGTGTCTCCTTTCTTCGTCGGCGCGGGGTCGTTCTGCGATGCTGTAGGGGCAGCGATGGGATCGAGTGTGGCCCTTTGCTTGGGGCTTTGCTGAGGCGGCTGAGGATTCGAGGTTTTCTTGTTGCACTACAGTCACTTCATAAGACTCGAGTTGGTCATGGCTCAGAGCGACGTACAGGACGTTTGAGGATCGATCCGGCAACCCCGACGACCCTTGCGAGGAAGTCGAGGAAGCTCATGGTTGCTGAATAGCCCTTTAATTAGTGTGACCGAGAGAGGGATGATGGGTGATGTTTGGATCTCTCTTTTATACTGGTTTGACCTCCTCGTCCACCTACATGATGCAACTGAAATGACTGATCTCTGGGGGCTCTAGACGTCCATCATGTCTCCCAGTGAGGCACAGAGCACGCAGCCGGCTCTGCCATATGCGAAAGGTACACTGGCCATCGTGGCTGCGCATTGTTGGCACTCTTGTATGAAGCATAGCCATGCTATTCGCTCAGCGGCCTTGGTCTCTCTCCATGGCCGAAGAAGACGGTTGTGGCGGGGTTGAAGCTCTGATGCTCGTCACTCAGTGTGACCTCAATCTAGAAAAGGATTGTTGCATGACAGACAATAGACTAGCACAACGTCCTGCGCAGGGCAATGTGCATGTCTCCCCAACTGTGGTGGTGCTTGCGGCAAACGCAGTTGGAAATCTGGCGGCGCAGTTTGTCCCGCAATCGGACCGGATTAAATCAGCTCCGTGATCACGTGCAACTCCTCGGCCGATTTCCACTGTGAATCGGCACTTAGCCTCCTAGCCTCCCTCTCTCCCTCCTCCCGCCCTCGCACTCACCTGAGGTTCCAAAGGAAATTATGCAGACTGGTATAAAGTGGTGAAATTCTTTCGCTCGTGTCATTTTGAACTGTCGGCCGCGTCTGTTCTTGGCCAGGTAGCAAATGCTGCCATCCGTGCGGGGTCTTCAATCCATTTGTGCTTCAGGGGTTCAGCCTCGTCACGCTGCAGATCAGTGCAAGCTCTCCCGTGCAACCTCACTCTTTTTAACCACTATTTCTGCACCAATCTCTCATGTCCGTTTGTCATCGATGGGGAGTCCCTGCGATCTCTGTTCTTTCTAATGGAAAGTGTTTCGGCCGGGGGCAGCACTGACCAACAACACTGAGATGGGGTTCCCCACACAACAACACGAGCAGCGGGGTACCGCCACGGCAATACATGGGGCACAGAGAAAAGAGGACCAGGATGAAGAATGGGGACTGACCTTAGCGCCACCGGCTCCAGTGTCGGTTCCTGCAGATGCGGGGAATGATGCTGGGGTCTGTCATTGTTTGTGCTCTCAATGGACACTTGCACACGAAAACATGTGAATACTCACCATATAGTAATGGGAAGGGCTAGCAATCTGGATTCGAGGCCTTAATCCCTCCTAACCATCCTCAACATCTCATCTCTCACACCGCATCAACCATGACATCCTTCTTGCTGCTAGGCAGCGCCCTTCTTGCGGCGAGCTTCTTGCTATATGTTTGCTTATTCGTCGGCAAACGAGGCCGCAATTTTCCAGATGGTATATCCAACATTCTTCCTACTGCAAGTTTACATTGCTAAACAATCTGACGTAGGGCCGCCAACATTGCCCGTCATTGGTAACTTACATCAGCTCCCCAAGCAGAAGCTCTACCTTCAGTGAGTCTCCTCGCTCTGCCACATTTCAATCTGACCACCCTAGATTCACTGAATGGGCCAAGAAGTATGGCGGCTTGTATACCATTAAACTGGGACCTGGTACTGTAGCTGTTCTCACAGACCGGCGGATCATCAAACAACTTTTAGAGAAGAAGAGTGCCACGTCCAGTAACCGTCCGCCGAATGAAGTCGGCCGGATTATTGGCGAAGGCGACCATGTGCTTCTCATGAATAACACGCCCACTTGGCGGGTGATGAGAAAAGTCATTCATCAGGACTTTACAGAAGCCTTGTGCGATAAAGAGCACACCAAGATTCAACAATCGGAGATGGTCCAGTTGCTTCATGACATGCTCGAAACCCCTGAAGACTGGGGTAATCATCTCAAGAGGACTACCAACAGCATCGTCATGAGCGTGGGTAAGTGCAGCCTACTTAGTCCCTGAGGACTGACGGGCTCTGGTAGGTAGAGATGATGCTGACGTTTGTCATTCGGGCCAGTTTATGGCATTCGCTCTCCATCCTCTAAGGCAGCTCATATGGAAAGACTCGAGGCGCTGCTCCAGAAATGGGCCAGGATACAGGAATTCGGAGCCACTCCGCCCGTCGACATTTTCCCTTTCTTGAAGGCGATCCCAGAAAGATTCCTCGGCAACTGGGTGACCCGAGCCACAGTGGTCCACGATGAGATGCACACACTTTACACCGGCCTTTTGAACTCGGTGTTGAAAAGACGACAGGCCATTGGATCTCAGCACACTGTCCTGGACCGGTTACTAGATCAGCAAGAGAAGACAGGGCTGACCACTCACCAAATCACTTTACTCGCCGGTGTCACCATCAAGGGAGGCTCCGACACCTCAGCTTCGGTGCTCACCTCCTTTGTACAAGCCATGGTGGTGTACCCGGAGGTGCAGAAAAGAGCAAAAGCCGAAATCGACTCGGTGCTAGGCGAGGACAGGGTTCCAGAATGGTCTGACTACAACAAGCTGCCGTACGTAGCCCAGATCGTCAAAGAATCCCACCGCTGGCGACCTGTGGCTCCTCTCTCGGTACCACACGCTCTTTCTGAAGGTATCGTATTATCGTCCTTCAAATTATGGCCTGTTCAGCCACTGATAGGGTTTCTGTGCAGATGAATGGATCGACGGCAAATTCTTGCCAAAGGGCACAATATGCTTCGTCAACGTCTGGGGCCTTCACCACGACGACGCGAAATTCCCCAACCACGAAGTCTTTGACCCAGACCACTACAAAGGCCGCACGTTGCTCGCTGCAGAGTACGCCAATTCCCCTGACTACGAGAACCGCGATCACTATGGATATGGTATGTAATGCCGAGCTTCCTTCCCTCCCAGCGCGCTGATTTCTTTTCTGTGTTCTGACCAAATTTCCCAGGCCACGGTCGCCGCCTGTGCCCTGGCATCCACCTGGCGGAGCGCAATCTGTTCCACGCCATCTCCAAGATCCTGTGGGCGTTTGACATTGAGAAGGCGACCGACCCGGCGACCGGCAAGCCTATCCAGCCCGACACCGACGTCGTCACGGGGTACAGAGAAGGCCTGACCGCGTGCGCGTACGACTTCCCCGTCAAACTCACGGTGCGGTCCCAGGCGAGGCGTCAGGCTATCGAGAGGGAATACAGGGAGGCCTGTGCCAATTTCTTCCCGCAGTATGAGAAGGTCGGTCTTGAGACTTGTTTGGAATGACCCCGCTGTAGGTATGTAGCCTAGGTAGGTACGTATCTGGTGGACCGTTTTGGAGTTGGGATGGATCATGGCCTCGAGCGTTGCCCGTTGTGCAAGTGTCCTGCAAACTCAATTTATATATAGCTATACTAGCACTTGGCCGGCATCTCTCGGCCTCTCTCCATCTAACCTTCTCGCTTATGTTGTCACCATAATGATACTCTGCGTATTGTCGGTGACTATTCTGTGAAATATCAATTCGAGACCTCAACATCCACCAGACAACGCCGTCCCTTGGGAGCAATGTTAAACCGATCTTCCATTTCCATGTCCCAGTCCGTCATGTCCGCATTCAGAGTCAGTCGCAGCTTCCTAAAGACCTTGCTCACAGCCAAGTACAATTCCGCTCTGGCCAGATTCTGACCGATGCAGTTGTACGGGCCCAGTGAAAAGGGGGTGAGCGCCGCGTTCATGTCCTTGACGTTCGAACCGTCCTCGAGCCAACGTTCTGGCCACCACTCGTCCGGGTGGGGATACAGCCGGGGGTCCCGGTGGTGGACGTAGTTCTGCATGCCGACGAAGGTGCCCTTGGGCAAGACGTATTTGTCCACCGTCAACGGCTCATCCAAGACACGGGGTAAAGTCGACATGATGGTAGGGTAGACGCGCATGGTTTCCTTGATGACTGCGTTCAAGAACGGCAGGTCTTTGAGGTCATTCAGGGTCTCGTTGCAGGTCTGCAGCTCTTGTCTTAGACGGTCTTGTCTCTTGTGGTCGCGCGCGAGAGAGTATATCAGGTAGGTCAGCGTGGTGGAGGTTGTGCCGCTGCCGGCAAAGGCAACGGCCATCATGTCGTCCACAAGCTCTTCCTGGTTCATTTTGCGGCCCAGGTAGGTATCTTCGTTGACGATCATCGGTGTGGTCATGAAGCGTTGTCGGACATCTGAAGCTGCTTCGTTCTGCTGGAACTGCTCCACCAAAGTTCTCGTCATTGATTCCCACACGTCCCATCCTCTGTAGGACTTCCCGATATTGCCCGGGATGTGCTTTCCAAGAGATCGAGTGATGAATGGGAGAGCAGCGCGGACTTGGATCGCTACGGCGCTGGAGTCCATGGCCCTGAGCAGCGTCAAAGAATCCCCTGCCGGCGAGTCTCCGTAGTGACGATTGAAGGCACATTTCAATATGACTTCCAGGCTGAAGAGGCCATCGAGGAGGAAAACGTCAGCAACAGTTTTGGATGACTGGTTCCCTGCGTGTGAATTCATGATACGCCTCACCAACACATCGGCTCTGTTGGCAATAAAGTCCTCATTTTCCAAGACGGCCTGTTGAGAGTACGCTGGGTTTTGCAGTTTTCGGCGTCCAGAGTGTGCCTCTTTGTTGATGATAGTAAAGAGATTTCCGGGACCAGCTAGTTTAGTGTCCTCGTAGAAATGATGTGTCTTATTACTGCCCTTTTGGCTATATATTTGGCGGTAAGCGGTCCATTCGGAGATGGATACCTCGTTGGTTCCTATCCGAACGACAGGACCGTACTTGTCATGCAAACTCCGCAGTGTCTGCTTCTCCGTCAGCCAACCCTCTGCACCGAAAAGGGTTTTGTCTCCAATTAGGTTCATACCTGGGCTCTGTGAAGACCTGCTTGAGCGGGAGCCATGTAGGCTCCAAAGACTTTTGCAAGCCATGGTCCTGGGACTGATGCTATTGGGTGCAGAAATACATTGTAGATTGTCTCAGCTTGTCGTCAATTTAGGTGCATCGCATGAACAATATCCGGCCTCACCTGAAGAATAAACCTGGCCACCACAAAGATTGCTATAGCTAGACCTAACAGCCGGAACTTCTTTCCGTTCATAGTCTCATGGGACAGCTCCCTGCCCGAGGTCTGGACGGCCTTGAAGAACGACATTTCTACCCTGGGGCTTGTTGTTGCGCCAGCCATGCACTCTGTCGCTTTGATTCTTGAATGAGAGATGCTGTTACGCCTCCGCAAATAGCGGACATGTAGGACGGCGAGGCAAGCAATTGCTCGCCATGGGTATATATTTGCAAGTCTCTGGCACTCCCACAGGTCAAATCTCTGGACGGCTCCATGGGGGGATGGGAACCTTGACAATCCATAGTCGAAACAGTTATCCGAGGTGCAGCGTTGAGGAGTTGAAGTGAAGGGGTAGTGCGTGGTAGGCGCACATACCAACGTTGTATGGGGAAAGCTTTGCGGATCCCCAGGTCCTAAACATGCCAGAACGTAGGGCAATAGACTCCACGGATATGAGTGCGATGGAAAGCTGATGCCTCATCATTTGTGAGTTCCAAAGCACGCAAGAGAGGAAGATCAACGGCTAGACATCAATTCGCACGAGCATTGTGAAGAAGGCTGAGCGAAATGTCAAGAGACTCAAGATTTTCGTCTCTGCATGGGCTTCAATACGTAAAGTAGTCTAGTTGTCGTTGCCGCTAGGAGGAATCTCTCCTTCACTTCGGCCTAGGTATTCCTTCATAGGCTTACCCTGCACCTCAACCGGCTGTGAGTCCTGCAAGATGTAGACAACCCTGGTCCAGTCAGTCTTACTTGGGTTCCTCCAAGCGTGGTTGGTGCCCCGTTGCACGCAGACATCGCCCCGTTGCAGGAGCTGCCGTTCGCCGGAATCGAGGATCAGCTCGATGGAACCTTCGACCACAATCCCATAGTCCAAACTCCTGGTCCGATGCATCATGGATTCAAACTCGGGAGCAAAGTCGACAAATCTCAAGACCGTCCCACTGGGGTTGACGATGCCCATCTTTCCTGAGTTGATCCGCTGGTCGTGTTTCTTGATGTCGATATCGTTGTTCATTGAGACGGGAAACTCAGACGTGGTGAAGACCTCGTGGAAGGTCATGCCCCCGCTGTCGATCGAGCGCCATTTTGCTGGTCGTTTCTCTTGAATGGTTGTGTCTCCTGTGGATGGTTTGTGGCCGGTAATGTATGCTGTCAATCCAGGCAGATCTGTGGCCAATTGGGCTTCAGTAGGAGGACGTGTTTGTGAAGTCATTCTGCTATTTCCACGACAAATGCATAAAGGGTCGAACGGGTATGGAGTACTTCACCTCGGATTTTATTGTTCCAGAACTCGTTTTTCATATCACCGGATGTGAGGATACGGTTGCAAATCTCCACCGGGCTTTCGGGGGGGTTTATTCGGAACATGGCCATGGCCCATGGATGATCGACGCCGCCTCCTGGCGGCGGGGTCCCGGAACCCCATGCTGGGCCGCTCGGCTTCCTCGATCATCTGCAAAAGCTGGAGGACCCACGCCGGGCCTTGTGGTCAGCTACAAGACACCATGGAAATTCCGGTAACTCGGGATGGGCAATGATGTCGTCGCCGACGGCCTAAATAACTGTTGAGATCAGGTCCACCCGACATTGACACAAAACTGTACTCCTCCAGATCACTCTCCAGTACCTCTGGCAAGGCAATCATGGGTAACTGCCTCCCAATAGTGAAGCATTCACAGACCGGCTGCTGACAGCTTCCCAGGTATAACACCAGTACACTTCTTTTCTCACGGTTCAACCCGCATGCTCGAGGCCGACACCGAGGCCGGAGCCTATTGGACCAAGTGCGGAGAAGAAGCCCTCGCTCATAATGTCAAGGGACTCGTCATGATGGTACGTCTCCACTCATAGGAAGACTTTCTAGGTATCCGTGTCGTGATAACTCGCTTGTTTGAGAACATGACGCTGACTGATGTCCTCGCTCAGGGGGCGCACTGGGCCTGCCTCGGCGACAAGATCGAAGTGGCCACCAACCCAGCCCCAGGCAAGAGCTTCTGCCCATTCTCCAGTCCAGCATTGTACAAGGACTGGAAACCGAACCCAGACCTAGCTACGGCCGAGAGATGCATATCCATGCTCCAGGCTGAGGGCTTCAACGTCGGGCCCAACCCGGACTTCACCTGGATCCACGACGTCTTCATGATCCTCATCCGCATGTTCCCGGACCATACCAAGTGTCCGCCGGTGACCATCATCTCGACCAACGCGCGATACGACCCGTGGTACCACGTCAAAGTTGGCGCGACGCTGCGCCCGCTCAGAAAGGAAGGATACTTGCTCATCGGCACGGGCGGCGCGGTCCACAATCTCTACCGCAACGCCTGGACGGACATGCTTCTGTACCGGGAGTCGTTGGGCCAGGAGCGTCCGCCCGAAGCATGGGCCCTCGATTTCAGACAAGCCACTGAAGACGTGGTGACCAAGAATCGCGGCCCGGCTTTGAGAAAGGCCATGGTCCGTCTTATGCAGCACCCGGCGTATCGCGAGGCCCAGGCTACTGATGACCATTGGATGCCGGCACTGTTCGCGGCTGGTGCGGCGGGCGACTTCGAAGACGAGGCCGAGCCTAATATGCTGGCTGCCGAGACGTGGGAGCTCGTCAACATGGCAAACTCGCAGTTCACGTTCGGTCGTTATAAGGATGAGAGGGAGAAGATGTTCCTAGGACGACAGGAGACGGAGAAGTTGCCTCACCCCAGAATGGCGACTGTGGCTGCCTGATTTTGCACTGTACGTAGCGGTACGCGTTACCTTCAGCTTTAATTTTGCCAAGGGATTCTACAGCGTAGAGCAAGGATACCATGCTTGGATTCTTCGACAGAACTTTTGGAATGTAAGCTACCGTGAAGAACGACGGGAAAGCAATTCGCTGAAGCCCTTATTTTATGCTTATCCGTATAGAGTGTGCCAGTCACGAGGAAGGCAGCAGGTTGATCGTCGAGATCGTTGCGGTAGCGACTTACACCACCAGCACACATCATACCGGTATACGTGGCATTGGTTGCGTGAGTCATCTCTATGCAGGTCTCTCCAGCAACGAAAACGCCAGGTATATTGGTGCTCTCGAAGGGAGGACGCGCCAAAGCAACAGTATCAGTTGGGGAGAGCTCAATCCCTAATTGGGACAAAAGTCGTGGTGCCGCGGGGGCAGTCGGTGGTTTATGAAACAAGAACGCCATGTGTACCGCCGATGGAGAACCATCCTCGTTGCGGACATGAACGTATACACCCTCTTTTCGGCGACCAATTTCACGACTGGTCCTCTGTCGACGCGCATGCGGTGAGCGGCGCAAGTATCCAGTGATCGCAGTGGACGTTTGGAGGCCCGTTAGTGAACACGGTCGACCACCTTGGGCTGGGAGCTCCTTTCAGTGGCGGACTACCGCGTTTTACCCGTGGCGAAGACATGCAATGCAACATCGTAGCCATCTCTGCCATCATTGGGTTGAAGGAGGGATAGCACAGAAGAACCCCCTTTGGCAGCTCTCTGCGTTCGTAGCCATCGCAAAACAGGCATTGATATCTGGAATACGTCGGTTAGCAAAACCTAGGCTATTGGGGGGCAGTCCCAATATCAATGTGCTAGGAAGGTCGTACATATTCGCGGGCCAATTCTCCGCATAACCCTCAAGATCGGGCTGAAGGTCATGCACGCCTGTTGCAAGGACAATGCTCCTGCCCTGCCAGCATCTTCCTTCAGCGCCCATGGCGACGAAACTCGAAAGTGCCTCAGCTGTTCGAGCAACATCGACGACTTCGGCCCCTACGAAATTGGTGTTCTGGCACCTTCCAATTTGCTTCCGAGGCAGGTCGTAGAATGAATGTGGATCGGTATGATCTCGGCTTAGCACCGCATGGATGTGTTTTGCACCTTTATTTCGATGCTTTTGATGAGTGAATACGACACAAGAGCGGTTAACTTGACCGAGACCAAGTGCAACACTAAGACCTGCGGCCCCCCCCCCTCCGACAATAAGACAATCATAAGTCATTGTTCGGCTGTGCGAAAGCTCATGAAGTTGGGGCCCCGTTGGCGCACCACTATAGATATATATGAGAGCCTCTCGATTCAGGACGGAGAAATAAAAACTTGCTCACCATCAAAATTGAATGAGCCCCCGAACCACCGCGGCAAAAAAAGGGTTGCAACCCTGGCTTTGCGTACTGAAGGACAATATTCATCACTGCTCTATTCAGTGGCTAAGCTGATCAATATCTCCACGAAGCTATCACCCTTCGGTGCCCTTCGTTCTTGACACTCGACAACGCTGTGGAGGCCGGATGTTCGGTGACATTCTGTTCTTGATAGATTAGCCAGATTAACAGGACCAAAATTCTCCCAAGGTTCGCTCCTTTTGCTTGATAGCTGTGTATCACAATCAAAAAGAGCCGTGGAGTTACCATCGCCTAGTTTCGGCATGGTTGTTCGCTGCCCGCGGCTGGAATCGTCCAAGAGATGGAACAAAGCTTCACTCGAATGCCTTGCTTGGCCGCCGGAGGACTCCGTTCTTCAGTGACTCAATTGTATCTAGCTGTAACAGCATGCTACAAACCAGGTCGAGGTCTTTTCAAGCCTATTGACCTCAGTGTCAGTTCTGAATAGACAGTCAGACAACTTGAACCGCTTTGGCCAGCACTGTGATCTCTCTGATCGAACGATCTCGGCTAGCCAGCCTCAGGATCGGCCAACCCGATTTCTCTGCCAATTTGGGCAACCCTTGGTCCGAATGAATCTGTTCGTTCAGGCTTCTCTGTGTTCACGAAACGGCGTCAGAAGCATCAGAATTGAAGAGCTTGCTTTGGATCTTGATGCGGGCCTTGTTAAGTCGGTCGACATCACCACAGATGTGGCACTACAGCTTGCTTGAAAATTCACTTTAAAATACCTTTACAAGTCGAGAAACCAGATCTGGATGAAGTGCTGACAAGGATGCAAAATTCCCGACAGTGTAACTCGTTGAATCCGGCTTCTGTTTCCTCGTATTCCGCAATAGCAGTCATGGTTGTATGTGTTGGACCGATCTAGTGGTCAATAGTTGATCGATTGAGAAGGAAGAGAAGTTCTGTCTGTGACAGTAGAGGCTTTGAATAGTAGCCGGTGCCGTACCGGGTAGTGCCAAGAGATCCAGGAAATATCCGAATCGGGCTAGTCCAACGGTATGAAGCAGGTCAGACCGGGTCAGATGCTCATGTCCTCAGATCCTTATTTCTATGTGCATCCTACCAAGCGTCCAAGTGTCAACCGCCTTTCAGAGAGTCAACGAGGCGACGAGCATTGTCCGCCACTAAGAGACATACCGGTCGGTCAGGAGAACAAGTCGTCTGAAAGGTAGTACTGGATAGGAGCATCTGGCGGAGGTGAAACCGTGTGCCAAAATACTGGACGTCTTTCCAGATTGCTCAACACGCGCATGAAGCAAGGTCGCGACGTGTCGGACGTGTCGTGGATTTCACGCAACGATGATTTCTTCGCCAGGCATCTCCACTCGGCCTCATCCAGCTCTGTCGTAAACGAAAGATCGAAGGCAGCTTCTGCTGCGGCCCTGTCGCAGTCGCTGTCAAGGCTCCGGAGACTGACAGTTCGCTTGGCGTGAGCATTGCCGGCGATATGGTCCGTCGATGTTAGTGAATGCAAAATCTTGGAGTGACATTCTGCAGCCGATAGAAGAACCACGCCAATGAGCTATGCATTCTGCATCCCCGACAGGAATCTCGTCGCACACCCCTGACACTTCAGTACGTCGGCAGCAGAGACAAGAGCCGCACGCAGCACCGCGAGAGATCCGGGGAATCGGAGATTAGGGATCGCCTTGCATCCATCGAGTGCCAGATAAAGAATAGAAATGCACGCCCACCCCGTGGAGCTGGGGAACAAGATTACCGGTAGTGTTGGTGGTGCCATGGGAGCTGGGTCATTGCGTTAGATGTGCACCCGCTAGCCAAGCGGTGCTAGCTTACGTCAAAGAACCTTGGGCTGCGGACAATTGGCTGTGTGACAAGTCTGTCGGTGTAGCAACGGCGAGACTAACAGTCGGAGAGTCTGGGGACGAAACGAACTTGGTTGTTTCCTTAGCCATCTCAAGGGTTTCCGAGGTAGATAGTGGCAGCCAATCTTAAGACCAACACATCGCGTGCACGAAGGTAGGGCTCCGTCGCATGTGATTTTCCTCGACTCTGCCAGACGTGCAGAACTCGAGACGATTCGACGTAGGGCTTGATAGGCAGCTTACCGCACCCTGCGCAAGCTCTCTTCCTGAGTTCAGTCATCCTCCTTGCAGATAAAGGCACGGGGTACAACCAACAAAGGCAGCATCGAAGAAAAGAAGAAAATTCATGCAAAGGATATTTTGCTCTCACAAAAAAAACAAAAACGGGCGAGCTCAGGATCAAATCAATACCCGAGACGGCGAATCACTCCACTTCACCTCTGCAAATCTGCGAATCATTTTGGCCGGCGGTGACCAGGCGGGGTCTTTTTCGATTCGCGAACAATGTCAGGTCCCAGCGCCGTCATCATCAGCTCTGCTCTCAAAATGGCAAAGTAGCGCAATACTGGCCGAGATGACTTGAGAGTCGTGCCACCAGCAACCCACACACATGTCCTTTCTGTGGCCATCAAGATCCATTTGAGAACCTGCTGAAGCTCATCCAGCCGAGCTTGAAAAATCCCCACCACTCAATCCAATCCAGTAGAAATTCTGGAAATTCCCCGGTTGAAAGTCACCGAGCCCGGAGAGCTCAGAGTGCTCTGAGACAAGGTTGACTATCGAGAGTGTGGCTTTCTGCCTAGGCAGCAGCGAACAAATGGAGTCATTACAACAGGAAGCTGGTTGAAATGTGCTTTCATAATATCGCTGCTGCAACCTTACGAGGATCATCGGTCAAGGGGTTTGTCAACCTCCGGGATGAAGAAATGCACGAAATGGTGGTCACAATTACGCCGCATTCGATGTGGATGGTCAACCAGCTGCCCTTCAGAACCGACTTCAAATAACCGTCCAGTTCATAAAAGAAAGCCCTCCAAACCCTGCCAACTGATGCAACTTAGCCGCGACATTTCGCGTCGTCAGTCTGATCCCCGCTAGGAGGCCAACAGTCAGAGGCATGAGTTGAATGATCGACGGAGGTGGTGTCCACAGCTAAAGCCGCAGAGAACTTTGGCCCTCGGAATCGAGCAGAATAGATATATGATTGAGCTAGACGCAGAATGGAATCCTTTCTCTCGCGTTTTCACCACAACAATATTCTAAGTAGGGATTTGCAACCACGCAATCCAGAGTCGCACACATCATCCGATCACAAGAGACCCGGGCAGGCCTTGTCCTCGGTGTCTCCATTAACAAGGATCTAGGACTGGAGAGGTTTGAGAGAGATACTGCTAACGATGGCAGTTCATTCTTCGGTCGACTTGAGAGCAGGAAAGCACTGGATAGTCATGTCACCTCGCCTCGTACCTAGGAATGAACCGAGAAACTGGAGGGTGCCAGTAGATCACAAATCGTCCACATGACTGATCTTTATAGGGTTGATGTGAAGAGGCCGAAAGGCTACTAGGTTGTATTGTTCTAGGCTTGTTTGGGTAGACCAATCATAAAGCAGGACCTCGGGGTCTATTCCCATCGGCGACCATCAGGCTCGTGCTGAACAAGGGAGTTGACATGTCACAAATATAAAGAGGAAATCTCTGCAGCTTTTGTTCCACCGGTGGCCGAGAAACACTCGGGGAAAGAGACGGCTTCCTTAATCACCCAAAAACAAGACGAGAATGGATAGTGAGTTTCTGCAGGGCTGCTATGGGATAGGACACACTCCCGCGGGCTCCTGGTAAGAACTTGCTTGAGAGAGAGTGTGTGTTCGCTTCAACTAATGAGCGGAAACGAAATAGGGGTCAAACACGTGCACGAGGAGAACACAATGCAAAGTTTTTCGCCTCCACTGACAATGCCTCTTCCTTCCAGTACAAACGTAAGTCAACAGCTGCTCAGTTGGACCATGGCCACGCTGGGACTAATCAAGTCGAATGGCTAGTTTTGTGGGACCCAGAGAAGGATTCCCGAGATTCCACGGCTACGTCTGGCTTCGATAGACGGTCGACGCTCACCGCTTCTTTAGTGTCCGTCTTCTATGGCAGTGTTTTCCCGTCGCATCCTTTTATCATACCCGAGAAGCTTTATCAAAAGAATCCAAGTCTTCTGCCCGATCACTTGATCGCGGCAATGTGTATCCTTGGTTCATCCCTCGTTCCCGCGCCCTTTGTTACGCGCGAGGTTGCAGAGTCTTTCCAGGCCACGGCAGCTCAAGCCAGCCTAGCCTGTGTTCCCGATGACGGTTTCAAGGTTCAGAGTCTCATGCTATTGGCGCTCTCGGAGTACGCAAACAACAACCGAGCTCTGGCATGCCGCCGCCTCGACCTGGCTATCGATCTGGCCCTGCTGACCGGGATGAACAGGAGGCCAAGCGCTACAGCTCCCGATCGGGAAACGCCCGCCATCCTCGATGAAATGTGGAACCGAACGTGGTGGGAATTGTATTTCATTGCGGGGTTGTTCTCTGCATCTGGAAGCACCGGTTCCTGGATGCGCATGTCGCTCGCACCTGTCGATCGCCCCTTGCCCGGCCACTGTCGAGAGTACATGGAATGTTTCGCACCAAAACATGCACCATCAGAGCTCCGGTTTTATCGACGCCGACCACCAAAGCGTCACTACTGGTCTACATTCGCTTTCAGGGTTGCTTCGATACACCTCATGGGCCAAGTCCTGGAGTGGCAGTCCCCGACAAGAGTGCTAAGCCCTCCACTGGCCAGCCAGGCAGTCGAGGAAATGAACCTCCTAGTAAGCTGCATGAAACTCAGTGGCAATGAAGTGGTGAAAAGCGATGGGAGAATCGACGAGCAGCTCTTTTCGACTTCAATGATTCTGCATCTGACCAGGATTCTCCTTGACTGGCCGGAAGCTGGAGGGATCCTTCGCAAATTCCCTCATCTGACTGACATTGGTCCCGACTTCATGACAACGGCCTTCTGCCCCAACGAGGAGTCAATCTCGGCCGCCCATGGCATCATCAACCTGGTTCCATTGGACTTAAAGCTCTATCGGCGAACACCCTGCTTCGGACTCGCTCTCGGCATGGCCGCCATCTTGTATGGGGTCAAATATGCCCAGGCCCTGACAGCCACCCAGTCTCAAAACGCAAGGAGCGCGCTTCGCCTGGCGGTTAGCGCGTTAAGGTATCTCGGAGAGGCTCACCAGTTGCCACGGATTCTTGCAACTAGAGTGGAGGAGCTGACAAAGAAGCGTCCCGGCGACGAGAGATATCAGCTGATCTAACCATCACGGAGAGACGACGGAAATCTGACGAAAATGAAACACAATGGGCAATTCAATTGGTTGCACCGTCAACCTTTAACTGCTGCAACACATGCACCTTTTTCTTGGTATTCATGAAGTGCTCCGTCTTGTTCTCTTGCTTCTCTGGCAGTTCCTCCCTGTTCTAGATACCTTTTGGCCTGTGGCCTGAAGCACTCCTGAACGCCCCTCCTGGGAAAGGCCTAGATAGAAGGGCCTCAATTGCAACTTGATTGCAGAGAGGGTTTTAGTGGCCTTGGTCGGCACCTCAACATCAAGTTGTGAGACCTTTTGCAGACTCGAGATTCACCACTGGGTATGCGAGGAAATGTATGTTGGGACTGGCTCGCACGCACGATCTAACCAGCTCGTGATTCCTTTTAAGATCCGAGGATCGAAAGCGCCTTGTTTGTCATAGAACATCCCGATATATATTACAACGCCCGTCTCGCAGGTTCTCTTCAAAGGACCATCTCTCCAGTCTCAGAATCAGACGATATGCCACTACCGCTGTCTGATCATTCTAAAAACGGCAAAGGCGCTCCCTGCCACCACCGAGACGATGACGATACCGATCGTCATAAACGCTTGATCGAAGAAGCCAACGGCCCTGCCTTCGCCCTGGTTGATGGCTGGCAGCGCCCGCTGCAGCACCGCTCGACTCCAGGACTCCAGCTCCTTGGTCGATCGAGAGCGTATGGCATCCTGGCTGATAATCGTCAATTCTGATGGATGAGCTAGTCGTGGTCGAGGAGAGCGAAACAATGTCGGGGTGTACCGCGGGCTCGGGCTTGGTGCGATTGTCGGATGCTTGGGCGCGAAAGGGCCGACTTTTGTTGAAAAACTGTCAGTATCAACCGCCTCACTTGAGGGTGATTGGAATGGTACCTACCTAGCAGCTCAGCAGGGATGTGATTTATACACGAAAGTCGTGCATCGATGAATCTCGCTGTGTAGTTTGCTTCAATGGGCGCTGCAAAGACGAAATTCGCTTCCAGGGCGGTTCCGAAGCTGGCAATACAAGATATCGTGTCAGCCAGTGCCATGCGTTTGTTTGTAGCCGGAACGGAGTGCCAGAAAAATAGAAAATCCTATACATACCTGTTACAAAGGTCGATAGCATCATCCAAGCTCGTGATCCGGGTGACAATGATCAGTCGGCCGTCTATCCTGCGTCCAAGGGGGGCTTTTGACCTAGAATCAATGTCCCATAAGCGCTGACCCTGGAGCCGGAATGTACCGCGCTTACCGATCCTTGACCTCAACGATGCTGCCGTTCGAGCTTGACACAACCACCCTTACGCTTTCATTGCCCTCGCATTCCTTCAACGTTCTCGCGTAACCATCGGGCTGTCCCTTTGCCAGATGTGGTGATCTTGGAGGAGTCTCACTCAGCAAGGGCGATGTTACTGCCTGGACAAGGTGATACAGAAAGTCGTCGGCGACAAACTCATTCACGAGAATAACGTCGGGAGCATAGACGGAGCGGCCATTGAAGGACACTCTGGATGCACCGATTGCCATGGCCGCTTCTGGAATCTTTGCAGTCCTATCCACGACCGCCACAACCTTGGGGGACGAGTTCGACTGCAGACCGCCTGTTGCCGACACTTCCTCGTCTCCAGACTGTGCCAAAACGTGACATTTGGCCAGGAAGTCCTCTGATGGTCTTGTGCTGCTGACGGCGAAAATGTCCGCATCGAGTGCGGAGGGTAAGATTTTGCGTAGCACACCAGAGACTTTTGTGAGCGTAGGAGGTAGCTGGACGCATTTGGAATCAGAGAGGCATCTAGAATACGTTGACCGGTGACGTCTGCAGGAGGAGAACTAACATACCTCGACGACTACACAGTTACCAGCCGCCAGAGCCGCAGTGAGAGCTGAGATGACAGAATAGAACAGGTTTTGCTTCGCAGGAATCACATAAACGGTGCCGACACTCGTCGTTGCCCCGAGGTTCTCTGCTGCCCTTTGAGCTTTGAGGTCTTTTTCCAGATCGATGGAAGTATAGTGCGTGCGCAATTCTGAGATGGCGAGCGCGTACTCGAGATTGACCTCGGAATCGCTAAGACCACTGTCCACCAGGATCGCATCTTTGATGAGTTTCTCCGATGATCTCAATGCCGTGTGGAGAGAATGGAACAGTTTCTGGCGAAGTCGCGTCGACTGGGCTCTGCCCTCGATGCTGGATATCTCTATGCGGGAGAAAGAATCGCCTGCCATTTTGACGATCATTTTCACAGGAGACTGGTTCCTGGGTAGTTACGTGAGACCTGCGTAGCTGTGCTCTCACTCATGTTGGGTGAGATCCAAGCGGGAACGCTCTTGCCTCTGATGAACAATAATATCGTAGACAAAATCAGCCAGCAGCAATTCGGTCCGACAGTTACTTACCCGAGTCGAGGCTCCCATGTCCCTGTTCCGAAGGGGGGGTTCCGCAGAAAGTGGGAAATCAGCCGATATGGGGTTGCCCGAGGCGCCCCGGAATGGGGGTGGAGTGTATATCCATCAGGCCATCAGGGCATGCCCGGGCGTGATCTCCCCATAGGTAGCCGCCGCAAAGGTCGCCCGGACGCTGGGGCTGCGACGTGTCTAGCGGCACCGTCTGGCCCTGACACAGATGGTGTACAGCTCCAATTGCCGCGGGTCTGTTGGTTACTGAGAAAAGAGAAAGCTGCGTTGTTGCCACGCTCGTTGCAAGCCTCCAATCTTGATTCACTTGCTCCTACTCTTCTTCCCAGAGAGCAAAAATGAGCAGCACAGAGACGATTGTAGAACCTACCACGGTTCGCGAAACGCTCCGCGCGTACGATATCCACCACACTGGAAGCGATGAGACATTAGAACCCCCTACAGAGCAGACGCAGAATCAGCCGCAGGAAGGACCTGTCTCGCAACCCGGTTCAAATTGGCCATCGGACTGGCGACGAATACCTCCGTATCGGCCTTCGAGCCGCTCGCATCGAGTCTCTGATCGACCTGCTGGCCTCGACCGTGTCGAAGGTACAATGGTTATAGTCATGTTTACGGGTGTTTGGACTTACGGAGTAAGCGAGAATCCTTGCACATCTTCTTACATCTTTTGAATACAAGCTTAATCAAGAGGGGGGACATAATGCTGACTTTTGGTGGCAATGCAGAATCTGAACCGATTATGGCGCGCGACCGTAGGAAAATGGAATAACAGTATCATGAGATACAAAATAGGGGGAGAATGGTAGGAGGGAAGATTTGGTTGAGTGGGTGAATATTGGTTATGTCACGAGTGTTCCAAGGTCATAATAACGGACACCTAAAATGCTAGATTAAGTCGGATTTGGCACAGCAGAGGTGATTGTTTGGCGGCTGAATATAGGCCACACTTCTTCTATTTTGCTGCTGTTATACCAGAATCATAGGTCAACATCGGTCTCCATCTATTCTGAAGGTTGGCCTGCCGGAATCAAAGGCATCAATAGCCAATTCTGATGCTCTTTCCCAAAGTGAACATGATTCACGCCGCCGAAAGTCACTTCGTCTCGATCTTCCTTCGAATTATGCTCAAACAAGCCTGCACCTTGCGTATCGCCCGAGGATATCTCCAGCACCAGACGATCTCCAGGCGACAGGACGACATTGGTCGGCCAAATCTCCACGTCCACCGGATACACCTGTCCAGGGGTAAGTGGTGCATGATCAGTAGACAGGTACTCGCGATGAGGATGCCATGGTTTGTGTCTCGGGCTTTTATCGTTGACATTTCGCAGACTGGCCCGGAGCCAGCCTTTGGTCACAGGCACGGGATCTCCAACAGTGCCGGTATATAGGATCTCTTTCCCTTGGGCGTTCAAATGTCGGATGGTGATAAAGAGGTCAATGTCGCTCGGCTTGCTCGTCGAACCTTCCGTTGCAGTAACGGAGACATTCAAGTGTGCCATGAAGTGGCCTGTGAACTCGGTCTCCTGCTTGAACGGTTCGCTGGTAAACCGGATAAGATGTTGGTTCTTAAGATCTCCTAAGGCCTCGTACGACAACTTTCTCACATCCCCAGCATAGGGAGACTCGATAAGACCTTGGCTAGGCGTCAAATAGCAACGCGTATACTGCGTACCGGGGATTGGCCAGTCCTCTGCGTGCCGTGTGGGATAAGCACTCTCGGCGGCGGCATCGTTGAAACCGACGTCGCCTATTCTGACTTTATACCCAACCTTTGGTTGCTTGTCGCATGACCACCCCAGAGGATCATGTCCTTTGAGGAAGGCGTCTAAGAAACTCCGTTGCATGTCCACACATTCCTTAGTGTAGAATGGAAGGTCATGACGACCAGTGATGAATCGGATGTACTTGTGCTTGGACCCAGCATTCAGGAACCCTTCAACATTGCCTCGAAGGTGGAGGAGGATGCCACCCCAGTTTCCAACGGAGAGCAAGGGCACCTCTATGTCCGACAGATTGTAGTCTTTGCTCGCATAGTACTCATCATCGACGAAGCGGTTCCTGACGTTGTCTACGTTCTGGTCATGGCAGTTGGCGCGAAGTTCGTCCTCATCCAAACTGCCTTCGATGGTATCTGGGCCCCAGTTTCGTGCAGCCCTCCCAGGCCGTCCATACTGGTTGACAATGACCTAAACGCAAAGAACCATTAGCGACGAAAGCTCATAGAAGATCAAGCACTCACCTGTCGATTCCACCAGAAATCAATGAAGGTGTTTGACAAGATGCCGCCGTGACGACAACGGTCGCGGTAATAGTCGCTCATGCCCTCCCAGGGGATCATGCAAGCAAGGCCTCGAGGGCGTCGCGCGGCAACTCGCCACTGGCTACCGGCGTAATAGCTGATCCCAAGGAGACCAACCTTTCCTGAAGACCATGGCTGAGAGGCTGCCCATTCAATCACGTCCACGAAACAAAGGCTCGTATCTCTGGACATGGTGTTGAGCACACCTGGTGATTGACCGAGACCAACCTCGTCGGCCCGTACAATTGCATATTCGTGTCGAGTCCAGTATCCAGGGTCAGGTGTCTCCCATGCAGAATGTGGTGAATGGTGTTCTTCCGGAACCTCTGCAAACGAAGCGGCGTGAAACCTAGATTCAATTGTGAGAAAACCAAGGCCCTGTTTGTATACACAGAAGACGGTGACTCACACCGAGTAGTGGACGTCCTTGCCATAAGGCCCATACGTTACCAGGACAGGGAACTTTGCTCCTTCGGGCGCTTTCGGCCTGAATACGTTGCAACGGACAATGCCGCGCCCGTCATTCAGCTGAATCGTAGCATTCTCTTCGTAGATATAGTCAAAAGAGCTGGTGTCGATCTTGTGAAGGTCATCTCGTAGCTTATTGGGCATTTTGGCTGATTGTGTCTGATGACTTGTGACCTGGAGTTGTTTTCGTATATATGCAATATGAAAGGCGACCCTGCTCGTCCACCAACTTGGTGCAAGCCTCGGTTGGTCTAAGGTACTATGTATTGAGAGTACGGATGATGTCGATCCAGCCCTAGTTGCGAGAGGGAAAGCGATTGGGTAGACTTTCAGGACTCCCATGAGCCGGGTCAAGGTCGGTACCCCAACCCGCTCCACATCTCGTCGCCGCGTTCCCGACGGGGAAGCAAGTTCACCTTGCCCGCCCGGCACACAGATGTTCGGAGAGCCGGAAGGGACAACTTGATACTGTGATTGTTGCCGGTCCCAGAATGAGTCTTTCTGCAACTGAAAAAGGTCTCAAATTACTTCGTACCTTGGACGGCGTCAATAACTGCCGCTCGAAGTAGTGTGCGGCATACACTTAGTGCTTGAACCGAAGTCCTCAGAAGCCGTTCTTGTTGTGATTGAGCTCTATTTCACCTCATTCAAGACACGGGCTAGCAGCTGCGCAATGTGCACTTTGTGTAGGAACAATATTCGTTCACCACGTGCAATCAAGGCCTGAGCCGATACAGAAGCTGAACCAGCAGTCTCTTCAGTTGCTGCGCCGGTCCAAAGAACCAGTGTCGCATAGTATATGGCATATGGAACATGGGGCGCTTCGAATGGCAACCGTCGTGGTTCTGTGGCCGAGAAAGTTGACCGTGACGAAATCTGTTGCGGATTTGCTGCCTCCGCCTTGTTCAATGAAGTCACGAATGCTCCTTCAACCGATGAAAGCATATTTTCAGCATGCCATCGTGCGACCTTGTAATGTCTGCTTTGAGTCCATCCGTGAATCTCTCGCGCAGCCAAGCTCTTCTTGGGATCCCGTGCTGCAGAACTAGGTGCAGAGTGGGCGAAGCTTTGTAGAATCGCGAGGTTTGTGTGAAGCATGATGTTTATCATGTGGTAGACCACAAGGTGCGAAGGCTCCGGCCCCTCACCAAGTGAGTGTAGCCAGGAGTCACAAGCTAGTTCCACAAAGTCGCTCTTGCCCAGAGTAAGACTTTCGATAACGATGTTATCAACGCCATAACTGTTCTGGCGGGGATATTTTGCATGCCATAGGAAAGTAAACAAGTATGACAAACTTGCTAGGCTGAATTTTTTGTACAGTTCAGGTTCGGTTGTGGGACCTCCACGAGTGAGGTCTACCACCAGACGTTGCAGCCGGCCGACTTGGCTCCCAGGAGGAGGTGACTCAGCAAAAGAATCTGGATGGTGCCACGGTAAGGATGGTGGGCACTGCATAATTATGACCCGGTAACCTTCGAGTATGTATAGAGTTTCAAGAAGCCTTCCGAGCAGTTAGTGCATATGCAGTGCATTTCTGAAGGTCGCGGAGTGTCCTCACCGGACGCTGTCGTCTTCCCTTCTGTCGTTCATCTCAGATGCTTTCCATGCTTGGCTATACTCTTGCACTGACTATGAAGTGTGTCAGTCATCTGATTGGAAAATAACATATTTCAGAACATACGTGTATCAAGTTTCCATGGAAAGCTTCCACGAACTCATAGCTTCTTTTGTCACCGCTACAGAGGCCGTATAATTCGAGAAGGATAAACTTTCTCTGCATCAGTAGACGTCTTCGCAATCTCATCTCCAACTCACTGTTTTCACCGTAACGAGTTTGTCCTCTAGGGTTGAGGAAAGTTCGTCGAGGACATTCTTCATGTTGAACTGAATAGGGATTAGATGTCTGTGGATTTTCTCCGAGGAGGGCACTTACAGATGCCAGCAAAAGCCTTCGGGCATCGTTGTACATTGACTTGGCAACTTCGGCACTGCCAGGAACGGTACAAAACAGGCCTCCAGTGGCCGCCATTGCAAGGGTGTACTCCGCTCGGCCCTTCCAATTCACAGCAGGGTTTTTGAATAGGGAGAAGGTCTCGGGTATGTGTCTCTGAAAGATTTTCAGAAATACTCTGACAATGTCTTTGTTGTGGTCGTTCAGATTCGGCGGAGCTGAGTACCACATCTTTCTAGCTTTGTTGAATGCGGGTGAAGGTGCTCTGGATTTGCGGTCGAAGTACTCTTGCATCACAGCAGTCAGGCTTTGCATAGAAGATGGCAATACATGGTCCAGCAGTGGCGAGTTTGAGTCGAAGAAATTTTCATTCCAAGCGAGATCTGATCCATCGAACCAGAATTGAGAATTCTGAACAAATTAGCATGCGAGTCAATCTACCGGAAACACAAGACCAAACCACTGAGGGCATCTGCCAGAACTCATTCACTCCGCTTGGATCCGGAAACGGGTAAAGGAGATTTTCATGAGGGATGGACATGTCTGGCACTTCGCTATTCATGCTGTCGTAGGCCGGGATCGCTGGATGTCCTTGAAATGGCAGTGGAAGCGCACCTGGATCAGCGTTCGGCATAGACCCTATGCTAGCATCAAGGGTTGTCTCAAGTCCCATGCCGTCGTTCAGAGCAGCACCATTGCTCTGGTCTGACTGTGGCATCCTCAAGGGAAACGAGTCCGATGGGCCATCATCGTCAACGTGGTTATCAAATGCATCCACCATCTGGTCCGGATAGGCTCCAGTAGATCCGTCGGTGTGTGATGATCGACTAGGTGCCCTGGGAGAGGCCGCTGCCGTCCCGTAGTGGCAGATAGATGTGGTCGATTGACATGGAGCGCATGGTTCGTTCCCATCACAACGCATTTTCCGTTTCCGACAGCTATTGCAAGCAATGCGGACACGTTTACGTGCTGAACCCTCCCTGCCTGAATCTCCATTGCAATAGTCCGCAGGTGCAGCGGGACACTTTTTGACATGGACGGCTTTGACATCAGAGCGTTGAAAAGACCTCCGACAATACGGGCAAGTGAATGGCTTCTCCTTCGTGTCTGGAATCATGAGCCCGAGTCAACATTGTGCAAACACAACAATAACATTGTATGCATACGAGTTCGGCGATGCCTTGCAAGGTGCTCTGACCTGGCAAAGCACCGAGAGCAGATATCACACTACCATTCTAGTCAGTTTTCCGTGTGAGGCATCGGAATGCGCGCGACGACGGAACGTGCATCGCCTGGCACTCTGCACATTTCACATTCCGTTGCAGGCAAGGACGCACCTTCTTATCCTGTCGGGTCATTCCTGGGGACGTGATGCTGATATTGGCCATGACCACAAGTTCGGCTGACCTCTTACGGATTGGAGTCGCTTGGAAGTGATAGGTGTGGAACCTGGGGAACTCCTGAAATCCGGGGTCTCTGGAGGTTTTACAAGAAATGGGGAGTCGTGGGTAAGTGGGTGAGGGCAGCTCCTCGGCCCAAAGGTTATTTAAAGCAGCATCGAAAAAGGATCGTATCAAGCTAGGTCACATCATGTCTTGGCACGTTTTGAAAGGGCAGCATCTGTTCCGCATCCTCGTTGTTCTTGATATCAAGGCGAGATGATCAGCTGCCTCACTCACATTGTTGGTTGCAATACCTCTTATTCACCAAAGTGTATCCCGCATCCTGATATCTCTAACCTTGGCCGTCCTGGCTGCTTCAGGGGACTCGTACCCACCATGTCCACAGAACAGCCCAAAGCAGGTCCAGAGGTGAGGTTTTCTAGCTCACGGCAGTGGCCAGGCGAGCGCCATCCGACTCGATGGGATGTGCACGATGCGAACGAAAGTCCCGCAGTCACGTTCCTGGACCGTTTTCGGGCTGCACTGCTGCACACTGAGGGCGCTGAGGACGACGCCTCGCACGACGTCGACTCAGTGATAGACAGCTCGGAGAACATGGACGAGGTAGGCGCTGAAACGATACCTTACCGTCTCAAGTACTTTCCCTGAGTCGCAGAAAAATAGAACTCGGTCAGAGAGTATACATATCCCGTGGTCATGCTGTCCGAAGTTCCAATCATCCTACCAGAAGAGGAAATGGCGCAACTGCAACAGTCGTTCTTTGCCTCATTCAATCACATCTTTCTAGACGCTGTGGATGTTGCAAACTGGCCTTCAAATCCACTTCCTCCGTATCTCCAGTATGCGCTTGCATGTCTGGGGGCCGCGGCATCAGCTCGGGCGTCTAATACGGCTGCCTATGCTGTCGCAAACGGGACCGATCCAGCCGATGTCGCGGCAGGCTTGTTTATTGCTGGTACCAGATTGTGGTCGGTTATGCTAGAAGTCGACAACCGCGAAGCTCGAATGTTAGAGGCAGTGATTGCCGTAAGGACCACCTCATTTTCATTCTCTTCTAAGCCTGAGCAATGCCGAAGACGTCGTTCCCTCGGGACTAACACTGGTTAACTAATTACCTACCTATTTTAGGCCTCGCTCTTGATCACTTATGGCGTCTTGTCCACGGACCGGGCGTATCGGAGGATGTCGTCTGTTCTTCTTTGCAATGTTGTTACCGTGAGGCGTTATGAGGCCCCAATCCCTTGGTGTACCATTGGCGCTGACAAACTGCAGATCTCCAGGCGGTTGCACCTTCCTGAAGGCTGTTCACCGCTGTATACCTCATCGGAACTGCCCGAGAAAGATGTCACCATAAAAAGGTAGAGTTAACGACGAGCGAGTCGGACAGACTGGCAACTAATTGCATACAGTTCTCTTATGAGCTACCTGCTACTACTCGATACTATCCACGCTGTCCATTATGGGCTAGCACCCCACTTTTCGAGGACTGAACTCTTCATAAGAATGCCCTCGTCGAATCACCAATTCCGCACTCTGTATAATTCTCTCACACACGGCTATGCTTTGCCACAAGATGTTCGAAGTCGAGAAGATGGCCTCCTGCTTCTCATCGTGCTCCTGAGCGACATCATTTATACACAGCGATGTCACCTCTCGATGCCCTTCTTCACGGATCGCCAAGACGGCGTGGCTGATAGGTCGTCAAGCAACCGCATACCACTACGAAGCCCTTACGTTCCATTGACCTCCCAGTCAGAATACACTCGTCTAAGCGCTGACTTGCTGGCTGCCCTTTGCCGATGGGAGCAGCATTTCCAACGCCACGTTGGCACCGATGTCCTCGCTCTCTACTACTTTGTCAAACTCCAGCTGATGTGCCCCGAACTCGGAAAGCTTCCTCGCTTGGCCGGGTACGGAACTGCCTCAAGTTTCAGGGAAAGTCAACGCAATCCCTCACCACTCGTGGAACAAATCGACATTCCAGACAAAGCAATGGAATTTGCGTGGCTTGTCCTCGACTATTGTGACGGACATTCACAAGCTCCGGAGCGAAGATCGGCTGTCTGGCTCCCAGTCATCTTATTCCTCTCGGCGTTAGTGGCGTGGCAGAAGTTGCACTCACGACCAATCGCGGGTCTCAAATACGGCAGCTTGAAGGTACTCAGCATGTACAGGGACGAGATCGCAAAGCTGCCATGGCCATGTTGCGTGGAGATGACGAACACCCTTGACAGGCTCATGAAAAGATGATTCACTCTGGAGGCCCAACTTGTTCCCTAACTGGGGATGAGGCAGAGCGAATCCTTATGCGGCTCTCTGATGTTGTCTAGGGCCTACACATGGACCGCCAGTGTCACAGCGAGTTTGAGTCATCTGATAGACTGCATGAATATTTCGGGCGCTCTCTGCCCAGATATCCGTCACGGCCCATGGATACGGTCCGGGCATGACTCGTCAGGTACAAACCCAGCAAAAGCAGCATCGACTTCGAGTCAAGTGAATGGGGTTCCGGAGCCTGTTCCTCCTGACCCCATGCTATCCGTGGATTACCCCATTTCCTACCAACAATGTCACCATAACACCTCATATGAAGGGAGCAGCTAGTTCGCCTCCTCACAACAAGCGGGGATTAACTCCTACTACCCCACTAGATCTCAGTCGCACCACGCGGCGGAACTGAAGTCAAGACTTCACAGTCTTACAAAATTTATGGTTTCATCACTTAAAGTTTGGGGTAGAGGGGTGCCTCGGCACCGTCAGACCACTTAGCTACAAGAAACACAGATTTCTCCCGGTGTCCATCATCGCAAACGCTCAGTCCATCCTGGCAGCAAAAGCCATGGGGTAGACGTGTCACCTTAGACTTGGCCTCTTCATTGGGGCGGATCTTATTTGCACCAGTTTACCAAAGACATGCCTCGAGGTAGGATATAAACCTCCCCGACCAGAGCCTACCATTGGCCCTGAAATATAGCATCAACCTGTATACACTCGCATCGAGGATATCACCACAATATGTCTGAAACGAACGGGATCAACGAAAAAGGCTTCAATGGAACGGATGCGAACGAGTCTGCTGCTGATGTCCACACGGATTATCTGATTGTCGGCACTGGTCCAGCTGGAGCTTCACTAGCATGCTTTCTCACACAACATGGTGGGTGCAATCGCCCATATGTCCCACATGGATGTTGAGCTCATTGCGACCTGTTAGGCTTAACCGGCTTAATCGTGAGCCAAGATCCCAGCAATGCCGACACACCACGAGCTCATATCACCAATATGGCAGCGATAGGTGAGATAGTCGCGATTCAGATTTGAAACTGTAAACCACGCTCTAACCGTAGATCAAGACTGTCTCCGAGACATCGGAGTCGACAAGGAATGTTACCAAGTGGGAACGGCAGGAGACACGATGATCCATACGCGGTGGTCAAATAGTATGGCTGGAGAGGAGTATGCGCGCATATATTCCTGGGGTAATGATCCAAAGCGAAAGGTGGGCATCCGCTGCGGTATCAGGCCATCAATAACAGTTCTAATCGTGATTTAAAGGGTGATTATGAGCTCGCCAGCCCTTCAGATCCGCTGGACCTGCCTCAAACGCTGCTCGAGCCAATACTCATACGGTACGCGACATTGAACGGGTTTAAATGCAGATGGGACACCAAGTTTGTCTCGTTTGTGCAAGAACCCGACGGCAAGGGTGTCACAACCACTCTCCACGACAAGGTGACCGGCCAAGACTATCGAGTCCGGTCGAGGTATCTGTTCGGCGCAGACGGGGCGCGCAGCCCGATCATGAGGCAACTCGAGATTCCGATGATCAAGCGCCCAGACCAAGGGTATGCCATCAACATTCTAATGGAGGCCGATATGGCACATCTCATGGAGAACCGTATGGGCAATCTGCATTGGCTCTTGACACCGGACAAAGAGCACCCGGATTACGCCTGGATCGGGTGCATTCGAATGGTGAAGCCCTGGTACGAATGGCTGTGTATTATTTTCCCCGCGTTCGGCGCCGAGAGAAAAGAGCGAAGCCCTGCAGAGTATATCAAACGCGTGCACGAGTTTATCGGTGACGACACTATCGAGGTCAAGATCAAGGGCATTTCGACCTGGATGATCAACGAGACGGCGGCTGAGGCGTATTCAAAAGGAAACGTTTATTGCTTGGGCGATGCTGTGCATCGACATCCGCCGAATCATGGACTTGGGTCCAATACCTGCATCCAAGACTCGCATAACCTGGCATGGAAGATCGCATTCGTTGACAAAGGTGGGCAGCCTTCGAACTTCGCACACGCGTGCTGTGTGTGCTTTCATGTGCTGACTTTAGCGCGGCAGGAATTGCTGGAAACGAACTGCTGGACAGTTACAGCATTGAACGCCAACCCGTCGGTCTCGATGTCGTCACACAGTAAGTTTTGCCTCGTACGACAGCATCTCCGACCGCTGAGCTGACGTTTTTCGTGTCAAGGGCAAACGCATCGCTCCGCAACCACAAAAAGATCTGGGAAGTGCTAGGTAACATGGAACCTACGGTTGCCGCGCGAGTAGAAGCATTCAACATCCTAAAAGAAGACTCGGAACGAGGCCGCAAGCGCCGCGCCGACCTCCAAGTCGCTCTCCGCTTGATCAACCGTGAAGAACACGGGCTGGGTATCGAGATGAACCAGCGGTACACATCGTCGGCGGTACACAAATCCGACCAGGGACCCCAGCCCACCTTCGACTCTGATCCACTAGAGCACTATCATCCAACTACATACCCCGGCGCACGCGTACCGCACGTCTGGCTCAGCAGGACCGTCCCGTCAAAAGCCATATCGACGTATGATCTCGCTGGGAAGGCCCACTTCACCCTGTTCACAGGGATCGGCGGGGATGGCTGGCGGGCCGCGGCCAAAAAGGTCTCGAGCGAACTTGGCGTGCCATTTGAAGTGTACTCAATTGGATTCCGGCAGGAATATGAGGATCGGTACCTCGACTGGGCGAAGATCAGAGACGTCGCCGACTCAGGGTGTGTGGTGGTCAGGCCGGATTTTTTCGTCGCGTGGAGGAGTCAGGAATGGGAGAGTGATAGTCCCGAGAAGTTGTTGGCCGTCATGAAATCTGTGCTGTCGCGCAGTTAAACAGGCCTTACAAGGAGTGTGATTTGTCCGGTCAAGTCAAGTTACCATACCCGATTCATTCCTTCTGAGTGTTCTGCTTGGATTCGGAAGAGGTGTCCACTTTAGGAAGGAGTGCCAGCCGTGAATGTATTCGCATCCCTCCTACCGTGTTCATTCTCTATTCTCCGTTTTCAACTAACAACCCGACCGACAACACATATTAAGGGTAAATAAACAGGCTACTCGGGTCTAGAAATGGAAACGGACTTTGCAGACGTCGAGATTCGCCGCTGAGTATCGTGGCACAAGCGGGGCTGACGAAAATACGGGGCACATAGGCGGCGCGGCATTATTTGGTGGGCCGGCTGCAGCTGATGTTCCACCATCTAAAGCCTTGCAAGGAGGTTACGCCGAAGAATGATTTCATATGACCTCAACGTCGTGCCGCCGATATTTGTATGGGAACTGACTGAGCCATCCCAAGCCGATCTCCTCAAACGCCAGACTGGGCTGTCAATCACCACAGTATGGGGCCATTTTCGAGACTGATTTGCTTTGAATCGGAGGTGCGTAGCGGACCGAAGTATTTCGCAGACTTGGGCGTCGAGGCCTCCGCGATCCCAGAGCCAGGAACTTCCATCCAGGCTTATTCTTCGTTCGACGACCTCCTTCAAGGCAAAGACCAAGTGACGGCAACCGTGGGCAAGGTATGAGTCTCTCGGCCCTGTGTGAATCTTTTTCCCAACTCATGCAATACTGTGCTGACTAGCTGGAGGAGTATAGCTCCTCTCACCCCTTCCAAGGGAAGATCTACCCATATATTCCGTTGGACTGAACTACAGAAGCCATGCGAAGGAAGCAAAGGTGCCATTTCTCGATATTCGGACCCTTGCAGGCGATAGCTGACTTGGGACTCCACGTTCCAGCTCAATGTTCCCGTCAACCCACCGGTGTGGACAAAGCCTGCAGCGGCATTAGCTGCCCCTGGAGAGGACATTCACATGAGCAGATATTGTGCTTCTAATTTCCCAGATTGGGAGGTGAGTTCTCTATCGTCAATATAGGGTAACTGTCAAAGATGATTGACCGAGAGCTTCCTCTACTGGCAGGGAGAACTAGTTTTTGTCACATCCAAAGAATGCCGCGACGTCTCTCCGGAAGAAGCAGGGTCCTACATTCTAGGCTACACCATCGGCAATGATCTGTCATGCCGAGTGTTTCAACTACCCGCCCAGAACGGAGGTCAATTTTTCTATGCAAAGGCGTTTGACAAGTTTGCGCCGATCGGTCCCGTTCTCATCAGCCCCGAGATCTTCCAGCAGAACAAGGAAGTGAAGATAGTCACAAAGATCAACGGACAAGTCATGCAGGACGGGGATATCAAGAAGGACATGGTGTTCTCGCCCGCACAGGTTTTGAGTTTCATGAGTCAAAGTGAGTGCCGTCATCGGCCAGAGAAGAATGAAGATGCTGCCCTTTCGACAACGTCTCCCCTCCCGACAGGTATTATCGGTGGACTAATCGCTCTCACACGGCAGGCACAACTATCCCAGCGTACACGGCAGTCATGACCGGGACCCCTGCCGGAGTCGGCGCCTTCAAGACACCGAGGCGGTTCCTCAATCACGAGGACGTTGTAGATATCCAAGTCACAGGCATCGGAGTGCTGAGGAACAGAATCCTCTTCCCGGAAGGAAGGCAAGCCGTATTGTGAGTCAATGTGAGATACCATGAGCTCCCCTCCCCCCAGATCTGCCAGTCTTTGACGACACAATTTGCTGATCAGCCCTCTTGTTGTCTCCAGACTGACATTCATACGCGTGTTCTTCTCAATGGTTTATCACTCGCTGAGTAGATTTTGGTGAGAAGGAGAAGGGGACTCCGTAGTACGAAATGCCCGATCGGGGATGGAGCGGGCGAGGGTTAGATTTTGGTTATCTAAACATTCTGTGACAGTGGAATCCAGATAGACTAGACGTCGATTTTTTTTCTCTTAGATCTACCATTGGTGACTCCATGTCCTTGTGAAAACTCTGAAATCTGCTGTCTTGCGACCTTGGCCTCCATGTGTGTGGTCAATGTGCCCCGTATTTTGGCAGCCTTGCAGGCCCGATTGGCAGCGCGGCGATTCGGCGGGGCCCCTGCCGAGGCTCACCAGGCTCATCTGGTAGAATGCGTCCATGTCCACGCGACAAAGCTCCACGGACGAACATCATTCCGCTCCAACGACTGGAGGCCTCTCGATCGATTTGAATGGCACACATTCCCTCCCGCATTGCCATCGTCAAATATCAGTTGGATGGGCATAGGGTAGAGCTTGCAGGTGGAATTCCTTCTCCAGCACGGCCTGATAGTCTGTTCCGGCCATTCAATGCGGGGCCGATGCGGGACGGAACACCCATTCCCCGTCTTCAACGCCGTGTCCACGGCAGGACTCCGAAATCCTGAGCCAGAGGCGGCGTTGACCTCTCCCCGACCGCCTGCGCTGAGTTGACGTATGTATGCACGTACGTGTCAGCTGGGGAAACATGGCCATATATTACGAGAAGAGCAGATGTGAGGAGGGAGGTGTTGGACATGCCTCGTGCGCTTTCCAATCTTTCTTCAACCACCTTGGCTAGCCAGCCAGCCAAAGCATGGTCAACGCCCTCGACATACTTTCGTACCTCCCTCGATTCCTCCGTGAACGCATCACGCCCAAAATGCCCATTCCCGACGTGAAGAATGACCCGTCCAAGGTCCAGCTAGCCCGCCTGGGCCACGTCTACTTTGAGCACCCGGACCTCAACAAGTTCGCCAGGTTCGCCAAGGACTTTGGTTTCGTCGAGGAGAAGAGGGACGGGAATGCCATCTATTTCCGCGGCTACGGCAGAGATCCGTACATCTATGTCGCGACCAAGTCCAAGACCGGCAAGCCCAAGTTCATGGGCCCGGCCTTTGTCGCCAGGGACCAGAAGGAGTTTGACAAGGCCGCAAAACTGCCTGGCGCGACGGTGAAAAGTCTCGACAGGGCGCCTGGTGGCGGCCAGATGGTCACCATCGCGCGCCCGAATGGCACGTTCATGCACGTCGTCTACGGCCAGCAGGAGCGAGACGTTGAAGAGAACAAGGGCGAACCCACGGCCACGCACGACTCGCAGGGACCCTTCAACACGCCCTTTGAAAAGAGACGGCTCGGGCAATTCCAACGGTACCACGAAGGGCCAGCCCTGATCCACAAGCTGGGCCACTTCGGCTACGTGTGCAAGGAGTTCGACGAGGAGCTGGACTTTTACACGTCCAACTTCAACCTCGTGCACTCGGACATCCTGTGGCACCCGCAGTTCTCCAACATCGACGTGCTGACCTTCATGCACCTCGACCTGGGCCAAGAGTGGAGCGACCACCACATCATGTTCCTGCAGCGCGCTCCGCCCGAGGTCAAGGAGACGTACGTCCACCACAGCTCGTACGAGGTGGCCGACTTCGACACCCAGCTGCTCGGCCACGAGTGGCTGGCCAAGAACAAGTGGAAGAGCGTCTGGGGCGTCGGCCGCCACATCCTGGGCAGCCAGATCTTCGACTACTGGCAGGACAGCAGCGGGTTCAAGATCGAGCACTACGCCGACGGCGACGTCGTGAACCAAGACTCGCCCACCAGGAGGGAAGTGGCTGGCCCGATCTCCGTCTGGGGCCCAGAGTTACCCAAGGACTTTGGGGCAGATGGCACGAAGCTGCTGGTGCCTTCTTGATTGATGATTCACGATAAAGGGGGTTTCTGATTGGGTGCATGTATTTTCTGGAATACTGGGGCAAGAAAACGGTGGATTAATTTATATAGATGTATAAGGATAACCGGATTCATCGACCGCGTCTGCCATAAATATTTTCTCATACGAGAAATACCTGCTTTAGCGCCGCGAGGCCAATGTTTCGGTGGTGGCAAATGAACGGCCGGACTACCGCTCGCTCACGACCGAAACCTGTTCGTATTGAGGGTAAATCTAGACGACGTCTGCAAAGGGCGAACACTAGCATGTAGATAATGACGTCTCCCTGGCTGGGGGAACCACGGTTGTGGTTGACGACTATGAGCGGTGAGAGACTACTGAGGGAGGGCCGGGCATTTCTGATCCGATGAGCTTGAAGATCATCCCAGGCCTCAGCCTCGCCGTGGGCGCGCTGTTTGGTTGGACCTGGTCATCTATATCCGCGCTGAGCAGCTGATTTCAATCAGTCTGGTGTACCTCAATTCCTCCACTTGCGCGGAGATATATATTGGCATTGACGGCAGCGATCCACACCCCGCGAAAGGCCATCCCCATGTGACCAAATGGGGCCTGTTCCAAAACTGCGCCCCGACGAGAGGAACCACATCCGGCCGACGCTCTTGGGGGCGAACCTGGACCACTGTTGATGCCAAACTTGGGATCCTTCTCTCAAACTCATGCCTCGCGGGTTCCTATCGAACGACGAGTTCTTGATTTCTTCATAAATTGGGGGCAGAAATGTGTGTTGGCCTCGCTTTGAGTGTGGTGTAGTGTCTTGAGAGGGATAGCGAGAGCGTTGTGCCCCCCCTTCTCTTCTCTTCTCTTCTCCCTCCCTTTTTCGAATCGGCCACTGTTATGCAGGAAGGCGCCCAGTGTGAAGCAGACTGAGCTGCTGAAATCTTCAACTGCTTCAACGGCAGTTCAGGTCACAAGCTGAAAGTAAAAACAAGTGGCGCGGTCTGACATGAGTAGAGTGACCCAAGTGATTCACCATTAGAAAGATAGTGACCTTCATTTGGAAGAAATGTTTTGTTTACCTTTGGGAATCGTGGTTCTCAGTTATTCATCCCATACCTTTGGCTATATTTCATACAGCGGCCACTTCGTCGTCGTTGAGCTCTCTCTCGCTGCATAATTTACAGTCTGTTCTTCTGTGAAGCAGGAGCTTGGAACAGGTAGCCTGGTCAGTCAAGGCCGGCAGGCCTAGTATATCATTTGCAGTCGTCGCATTCCTCTTGAGTGCTTTTTTGCTCCGGTTTGACATTGACCTTCGACTTGGCTTCAGCTTCGCCTTCCGCTGACCGGGCGTGCTGGGAGCTCCCCTTTTTCAAGCTCCGATCAATATGCCCAAGATCTCTGCCGGGCTCGATAATATTTCGAACTCGATTCTTCAATTCCTTGGTCTCTGGAAATCCGCCTTCGGTCTTGCGGTCCCAGATCACCGTATCGGCCACTTGCATCGCCGGCTCCGCTGATCCTTCCGAAGCAGCAGTTGCGCGCGAAGAATTGTCAATGACATGGCTCGTCGTAACTGTGACTGTGAATATGCCCCCAGTCACCGGAATTAAGGCAATCTCGCCGATGCCGGTGCTGAAAGTCTGGAGCAATTCCTGGGCGTACTACGTGAACATTGTCAGCAGGCAGTAAGAAAAGAATAGAGGATGCTATCGTGCTCCGCAAAGATCCCATTTCAGAATAGCACGTCCAAGTAACAGCATCAAGCATTGATGGACTCACATAAGCCGCCCGCAGATTCCATTTACACTGCGTACAGAATGCTATTGCGATACGCGGCACTTTTACCGTTGAGGAAGCCTCGCTTGCCATATTTTGCCGTTGATGGAAAGCGCAGCGGAACGTGTGCCGGGGTTCTTGGCCCTGTTCTCGGGGGGTTGAAGTTTATGCAGAGATCAGGGGCTGAATGTTGCAGATTTTTGCGGGACACGCCGATTCCAGTATGGCCTCAGAGTCGATTTTGCCCGTAACAATACGATGGCGGGAAGGCTGCATGCGGTGGGTGGCTGGCTAAAAAAAAAAGTCGTGGCGTGAGAAGAATTGGTGCCGGGCTTCGTGGCGACGTGACAGGCAATTGATGATTCTGCTAGCAGTGGTCAGGCAATTGATGATTCTGCTAGCAGTGGTCAGACAGTGGTGATGGTCCTCCTCAGCAACGATGTACCTCGCACGAGATGCCTGGGTATGGAGTACCGAGTTTTTGGATGTTCCGGGTCGTATGGCTCGTATGGCTCGTACAATCAGGGGCAGCATACCAGGCCCATTGGCTTCCACTCCTCTGGACAGCTTGTGGTGGTCTGCTTATTCAAGCCCAAACGGAAGCGTCCCTTCACCCAGTCAGTAACCCGAGGCACAGTTCCCAGCATCTCGGTTGCAACGCGGGCGATTATTTTAGCCAAAAGGGTGCCCATGCCCCGAATCTACCGAGTACAGGGTCCCTGCCTAGTCTTTGTGGGACAGCCATATTGTTGGGGCTCTCTTTCACTCGTTATCGGGACATGGTCTCCAAGTGAAGAAGAAAAGGGAAGGTCGCGTGTGCCTCGGTGGGCGATCCAGTCAAGTAAGGGGCTTGGGGGGGGGGGGTTATCCTTGCACACGTTGTTCGGGGGCGGCGGTGTGTCCTGCTGCTAGGGGCTGGGGATCCCATGGCAGGTGGGAAATTCCCAATCTTCCAAACACAATGTGGGATTGGAATGTGGCGGCTTGCCCTAGATGTGATTGAACAGGTGGAGGGAAGCTATTGTTGTATAGGATTGTTCACGGGGTGTTGAGAAGTACTCGGTATGGAGGAACAGATTGTGCATGGCACTGTAGATTCAATGTGCAGGAGTCAGGCTGATCCCAAGTTCACGAGTCTGGTAACCACGATAGACTGGACATAAAAAGCGCGGTTGTGGAAATCAACAGTCTTGGAATGCATTCAGGTAGCCACCTACATAATTCTCACAAAGAGAAATCCAGGTCGAAGCCTCGACAGGATCAAGAGAAGCTGAATCTGTCAACCAAGTACAAGGCGCAGCGCAACGTACATTAACACCTCGTGCTGCTTCTCCCGGTGATGGTTGACATACATGAAAACCTGTTGCGATGTTACGTGACTCTGACAATTCTGGAACGCCCCCTTTGCGCCGGATGCTTTTTGAAGACTCGATCGATATCCTACCGCACCCCTCTTAGAGTGCTCCATTGTGTCTTTTGGTGACCCAAGCCGAACAACTTCAATCGAACTCGATTACATGACAGTGCAGCACCCTTCACTACCTCCGCTCTGTGGATTGTATGGATCTTCTTTCCTGTCTACCTGTCCCCAGACCGAAGGTACCATGTAGTCTCGTGTTTGGTTGCAGTAGTTGATCAGGCTGCGCACAGGTCAATGTTAGCGCATGGATCGCGTTTTTCGCATCGCGCAGAGCTTTGTGCAACCTACCTCATGGATGCTTCCGCAACTTTGACACGAGGTCTCTCGAGATCTTCCTTGAGACGCGAGTTCAGTTCTTGAAGCCTTCGAAGTTTAAGATCCGCCATGCTTTGTTTTTTGGATTTGGCATCTCCCCCATCCCGTACCGCGTATGCTGCTGGCATGGTGGATTCCGGCAAGAAATGAAATCGCAGCGATCGAAAACAAAGGCGTGGTAGTCGAGGGTGCAGGTGATGTCGAAGTCGTTGTGGTGGCAAGGGTTCTCAAAATAGTTGTATCGGGAAGGGTGTGCGAGATGTTCGTAATGGCAAGGGTTTTCGAAATACTCGTAATGGCAAGGATTTTCGAAATACTGGGTGCGGCTTGGGGCGAGGTTCTTTTCAGGGAGACGACGGGTGACTCGACGCAGAGTTGGAGTGGGAGTTGGCGCTGGCGTTGCTCGACTGACCTTAGGGACCTTTGGGACCTTGGGGCGTGGGGCTCCCTGCTTTGGCTTCTTCGCTTTCTTTGGAGGAGAGGCGTATTGCTTGTCGTAATAAGCTGCCCACTGATCCTGTAAGTTGTCGATGGCGCGAACTTCCTTGCGTACAGAATATGGAGAACGGTAGCTGCGATCGAGCCGAAGCTGGTCAGGATGAAGGCCTTGACGGATAAGTGCCTTGGTCTCTGCGAGTAGCTGGAATTAATAGGGATCAATTAGCAGGGGGGAAATCAATCTACTACCTTCCGAAAAAAGAGGAGCCATCTTGCTTTGAGGCAAGCGTCTCGGCGTAGTCATTGCGGGGGCGCAAACGAGCAGGTTGTGCAATGTGTGTTTGTTTGGGCTCACGTGCAGCACGTGATGGAAAGAATACGGAGACGCATTGAAGTGCAATTTCTGTCCGAAAATTGTCGCCGGAGAAATCTTAGTCCGGCAGAGTCAAAGTGCCAAGCTGCACAACACTGGGCAGTGCGAATTCGATCACTTTTGACATCGTCACAAGGCCCCCGTCGGCAATCAGTCACAGTCACAAGTTCATCTCTAGGACAGACTCATCGGCCATCTGGATAGAGTCTTGAGAGATATCATTCATTTGATCATCTCTTCCTATCTCTCCCGTGACTCAAACAGACGGCCATCAAGATGCCTCCTCCACCCCATATCCGGCCTGAGAATGTGCTCAGAGTAAGGCGAAAATCCCTGAAATTCCATCCAGCCGCGCACAATGACTGACAGAAGCCTTCAGCGAGCGCAAGAGCTCATTGCCGTTGACCAAACCCAAGCCGCTCTCAATGTCCTGCATGAACATGTCACCTCCAAGCGTTCACGGAATAGCCCCATCTCTTCCCTGGAGCCGGTTATGCTCCTTTTTGTCGAGTTGTGTGTCGACCTAAGAAAAGGCAAATCCGCAAAAGATGGACTTTACCAGTACAAGAATATCGCGCAAAACACGAATGTGGGAACGATAGAGGTATGCTCTTTTGGAAACCCAGCGCTCTTTTTGTTACGTGATGCATGCTGACGAGACGCAGTTGGTCTTGAAAAAATTCATTGAGCTTGCCGAACAAAAGGTTCAGGAGGCTCAAGCCAAAGCTGATCAAGTTCAATCATCGCTTGAGTCAGCGGCCAGTGCCACCGCGCTTAATGTCGAGGATCTCGAGGCCACTGAAACTCCAGAGACTATCCTACTGGCCACTGTCTCCGGCGAGCAATCCAAAGATCGGACTGATCGAGCGATTGTTACACCATGGCTCAAGTTTCTCTGGGAGACGTATCGGACCGTCCTGGAAATTCTGAAAAACAATGCTCGACTGGAGGTTATGTATCAGAGCACCGCCCATCAAGCATTTGATTTCTGTCTCAAGTACACGCGAAAGACCGAGTTCCGTCGGCTGTGTGAACTTCTGCGAAACCATGTGCAAAATGCCGCGAAATACTCCTCCCAGATGCACGCCATCAATCTAAATGAACCCGACACCCTGCAGCGTCATCTCGAAACGCGCTTTCGCCAGTTGAATGTGGCGGATGAGCTTGAACTATGGCAGGAAGCTTTCCGCAGCGTTGAAGACATCCACATGCTGCTCACACTCTCCAAACGACCAGCGAAGAACGTCATGATGGCCAACTATTACGAGAAACTCACAAAGATCTTCCTCGTCAGCGACAACTTTTTGTTCCACGCTGCTGCATGGAATAAATACTACAACCTGCTCCGACAGTCCGCAGCCGCCGTCGCGTCTGGTCAGTCTCCAAAGCGCGATAACCCTGCTGTCACCGAGGACTCTCTGACCAAGGCTGCCTCTTTTGTCTTGCTCTCCGCCCTGGCCATTCCCGTCATCAGCACATCTCGTTCGCGAGGTGCGTTGGTCGATGTCGACGAGGCACGGAAAAACAAAAACAATCGCTTGACCAACCTTCTGAGCATGCCATTTGCTCCAACAAGAGCAGGACTCTTCAAGGACGCGCTTAGCAAGGGCTTGCTCAAGCGGGTTCGGCCGGAGATTCGTGATCTCTACAACATCCTCGAAGTCGATTTCCATCCCCTTTCGATTTGCAAGAAGATCTCACCTATTCTGGCTCAAATCGGAGCAGATCCCGAAATGGAAAAATATGTCCTTCCTTTGCAGCAGGTCATTCTCACTCGTCTCTTCCAGCAGCTTTCACAAGTGTACGAATCAGTGGAATTGAGCTTTGTTACCCGGCTCGCTCAGTTCCCAGCGCCATTTGAGGTAACTCCCGCTATGATCGAGAAGTTCATCATGAACGGTTGTAAAAAGGGCGACCTATCCATTAGACTTGACCATATATCTGGTATCTTAGCCTTCGACTCTGATGTCTTCTCCTCCGCAAAAGCCATCCATCCTGGCAGTGCAGCAGGATCGGCAGAGAGCGAAGCCGGTTCAGTCCAAAGACTCCAGAATACCCCGGCCGAGATTGCTCGATCGCAGCTTACAAGATTGGCGAAGACTTTGCATGTGACATGCATGTACGTCGACCCGTCGTACAACCAAGCTCGTCTGGCGGCGAGAGAGACCGCTCTAGCTCGTGCTGAGGCCGGAGCTGAGCAAGAGCACCAGGAAACTCTCGAAAGGCGAGTTGTCATCGAGAAGAAGAAGGAAGCGGCTTCTGAGGCTTTCCAAAAGAGACAGCGAGAAGAAGAAACTCGTCGCCGCATTCGTGCTCAGCAGCAGGCAGAGGCCGAGTCTCAACGGCTACGTGACGAGACAAGAGCTCGTGAGCTCAAACGTGTCAAGGACGAACAGGCCCGCATTCGACGCCAGGAAATAGAGAAACAGTTAGCCGAACTTCAAAGTGGCATGAAGATTGATCTTCACGATGTGAACATTGACGAACTTGACTCCAATCAAATCCGGTACCTTAAGTTGTCGCAATTGGAGAAAGACAAGAAAGAAAAGGACGAGCGCATCCGTGTCACAGCCAAGCGTCTTGATCACCTGGAGCGTGCATTCCGCCGGGAGGAGCTCAAGCACCAACAGCAAGATTATGAGAAGCAGCGAGAGGAGGACATGAAGATCTACGAGCAAAACAAACAGCTCATGTTGAAGGAGGCCCAGGAGAAGCATAAGGAGGGTCTTGCCTTGAAGCATCGTCTCAGCAGACTGGTCAAACACTACGATTCCTTCAAGGGTCAAATCACGGAGCGCCGTGCTGCCGAGTTTGAGAGGCTCCGCAAGAGAGCCGAGCGGGAATTTGAGGAAGAGAAGCGGAAACGGATCAAGGCTTACCACGAGGAGAAGGCCAGACAACGTGAAGAACAAGAAGCCGAAGAGCGTCGCATCCGCGAGGAGGAAGAGCGTAGACAGCGCGAGGAAGAAGAGAAAGCCAAGGCCGAGGAAGAAAAGAAACGACTTGCTGCCGAGCGACGAGCTCAGGCGGAGGCCGCTCGGGTCGAGCGTGAAGAGGCCGCGAGAAAACAGATGCAACGTGAGGAAGAAGCCGCAGCCAGGAGAGCGGCTCGCAAAGCCGAACAGATGGCACCGGCACCGGCACCGGCACCATTCTCTCGCGCAGGACCAAGAGAAGCAGCTCCCATGGAGGCCCGTACCGAGTCTCAAGAAGGTCCACGAACTGCCCCCCGTCTGCCCCTGACTAGCAAAGCCGGTGGAGGTTGGCGAGAGCGACAAGCTGCAAGGGAAGCTGCAGGTCAAGGTCAGGCTCCGGCCGAAGCTCCGGCCCCGTCTCAAGCTGCGCCTTCGGGTCAAGAGCCACCATCTCGTCGTCCAGGCGGCTATGTTCCCCCTCATCTGCGTGAAAGCGGGTCTGCTCGTGCTGGTGCAGACCACCCACCTCCTCGTGATCACTACCAACCCCCTTCTCGTGACCACCATCCACCACCTGCGCGCAATGCGTCTGCTTCCCCCGCGAACGGCGCACCAAGCGGACGTTATGTGCCGGCGCACATGAGAGACGGAGGGCGCAGCTTGTCAAGGGAAGGCGCCGGTTCTCCAGCACAGGGAAGTGGTGATGAGGCAGGGCAGAGAAAGCCTGCGTCGGCAGCGCCGGGAAGGTATGTGCCTCCAAGCATGCGCAATCGCCAGCAGTGAAAAGTCAGGTGCAGCATTATCATCTCGGAGGAGTCCGACAAAGTAACATGCGAGGCAGCTGAGGAAGAATGAGGAAGAATGAGGAGGTGGAGATAGTGGTGGCGGTTGTTCATTCTTGCCTAAAAGCTAGGTGCCTGTAATTTAAGTCTCGAACCATTTGAGTTAGTCCTTCGCATCATCCAGATCGAGACGGCCACATAGTTGTTGTGTATTACCGGCGCAACCAAAGACGGAGGCGCAAGGCCAATGCAATTCCCATAGCAACTGCAACACATCTGTTTTGGCAGGACAACTGGAGGCGTAAGTGCCGTGTCGATCGACGTGGACATCGTCCTCGCTGCTCAGGGCTCGCGTTCTCGCAGCTTTCCCCTTGCAATTTCTGCCTTCCTTCCGCCCCGTCTTGACCCTCTATGTGGTAGAAGCAGCAGCGGTAGAAAAGGCTGGAGGGGCCGACAGCGTAACCTCCAAGACAACCCTTCCTACCCCTTCTCCTCCTCCTGCCGCTGCATCCTTTGTTGTCGTGTCCATTACAACGCGACTCCTCCCGCCGAGCCGGTCCATCTCGCTGACGAACTCGTCCACTCCGCCGCCCACGCCGAAGTAGACTCTTTTCGCGGCGACCCAGGCTTTGGGCCCCGGAGGCGCCGTGTCTGTTTCTGTCTCTGGCCCAGCCCTCGTCCCCGCCCCGGAGCGGCGGTAGTAGGAGGAGGCCAGGAGGAGGTTGAGAACGGTTTCTGAGAATGTCTTGATCGAAGTGGGTGAGTAGATTGTTTCGGAGGCGAGGATGAGTAGGTTGGTGGGTCGTCGTTGGTTCTTGGCCATGTCTCCCGCTTGTAGTTGAGATCCTGATAGTGATGATGCTCCTTTCGCATCTGGTGAACTAACGAGCTCAAGAAATTCCGGTCCCCATCCGCCCGATATAAAATCAAACGACATCTTGTCGGAGGCCATGTCCCGGATGGTCTTGTTCACGAAGGTCTCGCCTCCTAGTGCTTCGAGGTCGAGGTCCCCGCCCTCCCAGCTGTCCTCGTCTCTCGCTGTCACCTTCCCCGAAGCGAACAGATAATTCAGGAACACGTTGGGCGCGGTGGCCAGTCGTAGAACATCGGCGTTGTAGTCGCAAAGCGTGATTTTGAGGCTCCCACCGCCGTCCTCGGTTACCTTCCTTCCCCTCCTCCTCTCGAGGAACTTGTGCATGAACATCAGACTTGGCACGGCGCTTCCGGCGCCGAGTTCGACAATTTCCCAATCCTCCGCAAAGTCACCAGGAGGGCGATCACAGACGGCGGCGTGGTCGAATTCCGAGTTGACCAGCGAGGCTAGGTCGAGCGCGCATTCCCACGTCTTGAAACCCCCTTCGTAAATGCCCGAGGATAAATCACCGCTTTCCAAACCCGAGAGGAGCGTTTGGGCGGTATCCTCCTCTTCGGCGGACGGGTTCGCTTCGGCCATGAGTTGAGCGCGGATGTCAAAGACCGAGCGACGGGAAAGTCTGGTCACGGTGTTGTCGTTGTCGTCGGCGGCGGAGTTGGCGTCTGCAATGCCATGGTTTGCGGGCCTGGCTATATGCAGCTTGCTGTATGATATCTGAGATGGAAGCGATGCTAGCTAGGAAAGTCGGTTGGTCATGAGAACTGAATCCTCTTGGTTTTTGTCCACGGAAACAGGGGCAGTGGAGCGATTTCTAAACGGAAAAGCCATGTTTTATACATCCCGCAAATCAGAGATGGAACTTACCAGTTCTTCCAGCAAATGTCTCTCCGGGTGCACGGTAATATTACTATGTGGAGGAGACGACTTCCCTGGATCGGATAACGTGTACTCAGAGATTCTGCTCGCGAGAGCCTCGTGCTCTTGGGCTTCTTCTCCGTCGTCCTCGATGTCATCACCACTAAAGCCGAATGAGAAAGACATGGGTATTCGTGAGAAGGCTGCTTGGACTTTGAACTCCTACAGAGGCCTTGGACACGGAGACGACGAAGCAAAAGCTTTCAAAGTCGGAGACGGAAGGGGAAGGGGAAGGGGAAGTGGAAGTGAAAGTGGATCTTGTCTTGGCTTCAGACAACCATTTTGAGCCCGCCCAGTCGCTCGTAATAAATATCACTTCTATTCAGCTCCCTCCCCCAGGATAGATAGCCAATTATCGTGAACGCTTGCGACCCTGCAAACGAGTAGATTACTGCCATCACCCTCCTCCCTTTCTTCTCCCGCCGCCCAGAAATTACGATGGTCAAACGCTACCATCGAATTTGAGAAACTTAGGCCTGTTCCCTGGTTTTGCAGCAGATCCGTCTATTCTTGTTCCAGACACGAGTGCCATGACCTTTGCGAAGATTTCAGAGTTAGCTTCATCCGAAAGATGATAGCTTCTTCAGCGAACGAGCCTCTGGGTTTGGGTGCTCTCTTTCATACATGAAGGAATGTTCCACTGGGAATACTTCACAGCTCACTTCAGTATGGCACCTGTCAGTCAGCCTGGGACATTTGGGTACACCATAAACCTCAGAAGCATTGATATGATATGATATGGATGGAGCATGGAGTACCCTACAACGGAAACAGTTGTAGACAGAGCAGAACAGAACAAGATAGAGTAACGGAATGTTGGACTAGCATTTATGCCAAGCCTTCGGCCAACCTGCTCTCCCTGGGCTGCCTGCAACCCATCTTCGCCATACATGGATTCTCTATAAGCAGTCGTCCTTTTGAAGCGTTTCGGTCCATCCTGGATTTTCAGGGCTTGAAGTTGAGGCCGACTGCACTCGAGGTAATTTGCCTGCAAACTCGCTATCTTCGCCCCATTAATGCGACCACTTGGGGTCGCTTTTCATCCCACTCGTCCCATACAATCGAAAAGACGGCCGTGTGTCTCCCGGGCTGTTCTTCCTGCGTGCCGTTCTTGATCCTAAGAGCTTCTGCGGAGAGTGCGACCTTGCCGCGCGGAAACACGCGATCCCACCTCGCGATCCCCTCAAACTCGAACCCGATCCGCAACGCAGTTCTTCGAGATGCCGCGTTCTCCGCGTGGGCTCTCCATGCAACGCGCCGCAACCCTAGACCGCCGGCGGAGGGCGGATCCAGTGTCCATAGAAGAAGAAGCCCGATGGCATTCGTTGCCACGTGGGTGCGTTGAAATGCCGGGAAGATAATAACGCCCATCTCTGTGACGGCGTCGTCTTTGTTCGTGCCAATCAAGGATACGACGCCGGCGAACTTTCCGTTCACACCCACTTCTCCAGGAGAAGCGACCTTGTCAATGACGGCAAACAGACAGTCCCCAGGCGATGAGGAAATACCCTCGTAGAGTCTCATGAAGTCTGCCTCGTCGTTTATTGTCGGAAAAGGAATGTATGTAAACATGTCCGGGTGGGCCTTGATCATCTCGACAAAGGGCGCTGCATGGACACTGGGCTGTGGTCGAGTCAGGCTCTACCATTTACGCCGAGAACTTTTGCCTTCGGCTCCCGTGGAAGTGATGTGAATACATACCTCAAATATCTCGAGGGCGACGAGATCGTTCTCGAGGCGGCGCTGCTCATAGTGAAATGTCGCTGTAGACATGACGCCTGCCGCTTGCTTGACCAGCCAGTCTCGGTTAGACTTCGCAGCCGCGCAAAGCCACTGACTGGGAACTGATATGTTTGAATTATCCTACCCAAGTACCTCGTACGGAGTGCGGAGTCCAGAGGCAAGCAAGTCTTTTTTCCAACAAGAAACACCGACAGCAGCGCTCACCGCCAGTCTCGGTACCTAGTCAGTAGCAGCAAGGTACTGCTCACTCGGTGTCTCGACCGATACGGCCCTGTGTCATGGCGTGCTAAATATTAGTGCCTGGAACGGTGGATCGAGATAGCTAGCTAGCCAGCCAGCAACAGTGTTGCCTAACTCCAAGCAGCTACGAATAGGTAGGTGCTCAATCACAGTTCATTCGGTGCAAGATACACCGGGGGCGGGTACTGGTACGGGAGTATACACCGAGTACTTACCTAGATATCGTGTACTCCGTTTCAAGCTCGCATGGCAATCCATAGGTCCCGAGTACCAGGAAGTATAGCGCGAAGACCTCATCACCAATATTCTCCACGTGACCGAACCTCCCGCCGCCCTACTCATACTCGGCTTACCTTCCACTCCTCGAGCCTCACCATTTAAGATACCTTCAACTTTGGTCAACTTTAGTCCACTTCGGGTGACGAGATCTATTTCGGATGCTGGGGGATCCTAATCGGGCCTCCATTCCAATCTGCCTAGACCGCTCGGTTAGGCTCCCCCTGTGGTGCTGTCGGGATTCTTGTCATTCTGTGCCTCGAGTTGCAGTCCGCTGTGCTCGCCTTGGAGCAAGACCAGTATTGCTGAGCAATAACCTCGAACATGGACCCGAGCAAGGAAGGTGGAGCACAGAGTGCGGGCCGAGAATCTCCACACGCTGGTGCATTTCAATACGATCCTCTTCCTACCGATGATCGTCGAGTAATCCGAGTTTTGAGTCTTCTACCAGGTGCAGAATCGACTCCGATAGCGTGCACTTTAATGTTTGCCGCTCTTCCGTCGGCTGAGACTCGGATACCCAAGGCCATCGAAATCCTCCCTGGCCCTATTCCTGTACCTTTCTGGGGTGATCTCAAACCAAAAGAGCCTAATGGCAATCACAAGTGTAATGCTAAACTAGATGTACCCTCTCAATTTGCTCTTGCCGATTACGACGCTCTGTCCTACGTTTGGGGGGACTCAGCTCCAAACCAACAGATAGCCCTCAATGGTTGCGGATTCGAAGTTACTCCAAACTTACACGCCGCATTACGCCATCTCCGTGACGGAAGTGCTGAGCGGACGCTCTGGGTGGATGCTATTTGCATCGATCAATCCAATACAAAAGAAAAGGAGCGAGAGGTTTCGCGCATAGACAAGATCTACTACCATGCGCGGCAAGTTGTGGTATGGCTGGGAGAAGGGACCCCACCTAGTGACATCGCGATGGATTTCGCAAGCCGGATATATGAGTGTTTTCAGACAATGGACGATCACGACCCGCGGAGGTTCAAAAACAAACCAGGGGGGGAGTACGACGAAGGCTTCATTTATTGGATGGACAGTGGAACTCGAATCTCGGTTGTCGATGAGCTCCTAGACAACACACACTTAGAATCATGGACATCTTTTCACGAGCTCCTCCAAAGGCCTTGGTGGGAACGAGCATGGGTGCTTCAAGAAATTACCCTTGCGAGCAACATCTCTGTTCAATGTGGAAACATTTCCAAGCCTTGGATCGTCATTAATGCGGCTGCGCAAATTGCATACGACACTTGGACTATAGTTGCCAGTCGTCCAGCCCAGGGCGGTTCGTGGATGCCAGCGTCGTCGCGTGATGTTGTTGGAGCGCTCCTCCATACACGGCACAGATGGAGGCAGTATCACCGCGTTATCCCAAGTAAAGTGGCTACAAGAGAAGTCAATTACATTCCAGAACGTGCGGAAGGTGCCTTACAATTCTTAATGGCGAACACTCAACGCAAATGCAAACTTTTGCCGGATAAAATCTTCTCAGTCCTGGGGCTGTTGCCGGAGGCACTAGCCAAAGCGATCAGACCCAACTATCAGCACCCGAGCGAGAGGGTCTTCAAGGAAGCTGTGAGAACTTTCATCCAAGTGACCGGATCCTTGAACATCATCTGCCATTCTCAATATTCTCCATGGCAGCAGGCAGATCTTCCTTCCTGGATGCCTGACTGGACGAGGCAGCCCAGGATGGCAGTTTATGCTGACCAAGCCCACACGGGCCTAGGCTTCTACAATCCTGTCGGCGATACGAAAGCCTGCATAACCATTTCCGACGATCTCTCGGTGTTGACTGCTGAAGGCTTTGTTGTTGGGACGGTGAAGTTCGGCTTGGTCGAGTTTGCCCTCATTCCTGGATTGGCAAAAGTGTATGGAGAACCTAGGCAGCATAGCGCCGATATCTTATCCTATCCGAATGGTCATCGAGTTGTAGTCGTTCTCGGCCCTGGACGAAGCAGGCCCTCAGATCCGAGCTATTGGAATTTTGGACAATCATTCTGGCAAATTATAGGTCCGCACATCAAAGGAAAATCCTACTACGAAGTAATGGAATTCGACCTCCTCTCGCTTTTCCTTCAGTGCCTTCAGAAGAGATTGGCGGTGATGAGATCAGAAATCCCGGCTCCGGAGGAGTCTAGATTCCTCTCGGGGGATGAAGAGGCTGAATTCGCCAACATTCCTGCAACTGTACATTCCTTATTGGTCGGCAGGACACTCGTCGTCTTGGACGAAAAGATCATGGGATTCGCGCCGGATTTCACTCAGCCAGGGGATTTGGTATGTCTACTCAAAGGCTGTGATTCACCCGTGATCCTTCGCAAGCAGGCAAACGCGCCATACATGTTCATTGGAGACTCTTATTTCTTGGAATTCCAGAGAGGCGAAGGCATGGAGGGGCTGAAAGAAGGGAAATACACGCTGGAAAAGTTTCCAATGGGACCGGCTCTGCGCGCAGAGAGAGCCAAATTATGAACATGGATCTATTGCCCCGGCATGCTATCCTTGGATTACACACACAATTTGCATCTCTTTAGCTCCCTTGGGTGCCTCCGACTCGCCCTGATCATCTGTACCATGTCGATGAGCGTGTAGCTTAAGTGTGTCTTCTGCTTCTGGGGGGCCAGCAGACGGGTGGCCCTCACGCCGTTCTTCATTTCCCTGCCATTCAGCGGGACATTAGCCAGTTCGTCAAGCTCATTGAAGGCAGGATGCCGCAAATGCACAATGCATGCGAGATTTAAAGGCGGAATTTATCCTGCCAACTCGATTACATAGCAACCGAGAAAGAGGATACCCTGCGAACTGCCAGCTTTGGCCCAGCCTTGGTTTTGGGAGATGACCACGAAAAGTGGCAACGTGATGGAAACGGGCTCATTCCTTGCAAGTCCAGATGCGCTGCGGGCCTCCAGCAAGACATCGGCTTCATCAAAATCACAAGTTGCATGTATTTAGCGAATAGGATTTTTCCTTCTCGAGTAATAGGAGAGCAGGTAGAGCAGCATCGCCCCGTCACGAAGGTGGATAAGCTGGGAGTTGGTTTTGAAAAAAAAAAAAAAAAAAAAAAATGAAAAAAAAAAAAAAAAGCTTTTCTCGGGAGATGTACAGTATAGTCCTTGCATTGTTCTCTGTCAGACTTCACGCCCATTCCGCCTCCTTCTTCTCCCGCCGGACATCCATCAGAGCGCACGCCAGCCGACACATCAACTCGGGCTTGCGGCCGGCCTCGTCCCAAAGGGCCTGCACGTCGCCGCCGAAGCCGATGTGCTCGGCCGTCTTCAGACTTCGCGGGTCGATCCAGGGCGCGAGACAGGGCCACACGTGCTGCGCGGTGGTGAAGAAGATGTCAATGCCGACGTCGCCGATTCCTTTGATCTTTTGGAGCTCTGCCCGGATCTTGCGCCGGTCTCCGGATGCGAGTCCTGGGATCCTGTTGAGATCGCCGTCTTGCGCTCGAGCCGTCAGTAGGTAGGTTCGGATAAACGAGCACCCAGAAAAACAGTCGTCGTCTTCGTCGTGATAACATAATAAATGATATTATATTAGTTAAAGCTTACCGTACTTCTCCTCAACCAGCTCCGCCAGCTGACCCATAAAAGTCGCTGTCCTTTCCCTACATACAGACCGTTCGCTCCATTAGATTTCCCCGGATCAGTTGCAAGGCTGTTGCGGCGAGGACTGTGACTTACCGATAGTGAGTGTATCCGCCCTCGGTCAGTAACTCTGTCCTTTCTTCCCACGTGCTCTTCTTCAGGACGTCAAGCTTGTGGTATCCCGCCTTGACCACGACAGCGGTGGTCTTCGCTGCAATGCTATGTGACACTCGTGTTGCGGACAGTATGGCGTTCATGAGCAGCGCTAATATGGTCTCCGGTGTCGCACTGTCTAGTTCCTCAAGGCCGGTGTCGGAGAGGGGAAGGCTGCCGAAATGCTCGAGGAGGTTCTCGACTTTCTTGCCGTGAATGCTCCCGGCGTGGCCCTGGCCCTTCTTCTCCTCCTTCGCCTTCTGATCTGTCTTTGATTTTGGCGTCGACTTCTTCTTGTGCTCTTTTCCACCGTCGTTGCCGTCGTTGCCGTCGTAGTCGCGTGCGCCTTTCGTCGTATCGCCCCCCTTCACAACTTGAGCCTTCTTCCGTTGTGTCGTCTTCGGCTCACTGGGATTCGTGCTTGGTGCCTCCTCCTCCTCCTCCTCCTCCTCCTCCTTGTCGTCGCGGGACCTTTTGTTCCCTGTCTCTCCCTCGGCGGCCGCTCCAACCTTCTGTTCTTGGCCTTGTGATTTACTCTTTGCCCGAGTGGTCACCATATTGTGTTGACTGGCGGATCCGGGTTGCTTGCTTTGACTTTGTCGCCCTTGGGAGGTCCGAGCGGATGCGAAACCCATTGACGTACCGGTGGTACCTGAGTGGGGGATGATGTCACAGGGTGTCCGATCCTCGTCCCTTCACTCTCGAATGTATGAGTAGATACGTACTAGTATGTACGGAGTACGTGTTTCGGCATGGCTACCTTTGCGGTCAGACACCCGGACCGTGGATCTGGGGAAGCGGAATCACTGTCACACGTCCCATGTTTTCCCAGCTGCATCGCGTTCGTTCTAAATGCCAAAGAGCCTACATACATAAGGCATCCAAGTGTGTCACAGGGTAAAACCCCATCTTCAGTCGGAAAGGAAATCCGGAGCCCATTTCTCGTGACGTCTGATTTAGTCCCAGCCTGTCGATCTACAAGACGGCCTTGACCGGGATTTTTGGGGGTACTAAGGGAACATCACATCAGTGCATCGTAGGCTCTCATTTCTGCTCTACGTGACGATGGAGTAGTCAGTGAACAAATACTGGATACCTCTACACAGCGCCGCGGGGAGCAGGGGGAGCAATACACCAGGCTGGAGAGCACCAGGGGTACGAGGGCATTCATTGGCCGGAACATCTCGTCTTAGTCTAGAAATTCTCCGATTGAACAGAATCCCGGAGATCGGAAACCAAATACCGGAAAGCATAACATCAAGGGCATCTTGATGATTCCACAGCCTTTCTCTTCCCCTTTTCTTTCCCCCTCGGAATCCTTGACGTCAAACCTGGACAGAACCTCGACCTCACAAAGGGTGTGCGGGCTCGGCAAGCTCCACCTCAAATATACAGCCGCTGGATGGGCGGGAATGTGTCCCGAGGCTCGATCGTGATGCTAGAGGCCCATGATTCCCCATCCTAAAAGGCTTTCAGCTTAACTTCATGTTTTCCCCAGTTGGAATTCATATGCAATGAAGTAGTTCCATGACATAAAGTGACCCAGGAACCAAGTCATGACGTCAGGCCTCTGTAGGGGCAGCATCAGCAACACTCTATTCTATAAAGGGGGCTGCTTGTTTCTCACTTACTTCATCTTCGGTTTCTTCACAAAGACCACCACAACAGAGACATCATTTTTGCGAGTTTTCACGCCATCACAGCACAAAACCTACATCACAAATTGACCGACATCGCCAACCCCGGAAACTTCGCCAGCCGTCCCAAGGAAGAGGTCCAGGAGATCGCCTCCCAAGGGCGGCCAGGCCAGTCACAACAGCGGCTTTGCCAGCATGGACCCTGACAAGCAGGTAAGCCAGCAATCAAGCAAGCCAAGCAAGGCAGCTATTCTTCCCTCGCCATTACTCACTCCCGTGGTTGCCCCCTCAACAAATTCTCTCCCTGTGTGCTGCGTGTACTTGTAGAGAGAAGAGCGGTGGTTGCTGACGGTTCGTATCTGGCTGTTGCAGCGCGATATCGCATCCAAGGGCGGCCAAGCGTCGGGCGGTTCATTCGAAAAGGGCAGCGAGCGCGCTGCTGAGGCGGGTCGGAAGGGCGGATCTGCGACGGGCTCCTCTTAGCTTCTGTTTGCAGCTATCGGCTGTCGATTGTCAGCAGCAGCAACAGCAACAGCAACCGATACAGATGAAGCGAAGAAAGTGAATGAATGTCTCGTTTAGGTTCGGTATTGGTGCTCCACTGCTCATGGCGGTGGTGGTTGTGGGGACGGAGCGGATTTATATTTTGTAACAACAATGTATTTGGGGATATATACATCAGCTGCCCGAGGTCAAGCGATGAGCAGGCATAGCAACAGCAACACCTTCATGTACCATAACAAGAATGGCAATGACAGTGAAGACAAAAACAAGGCTGGTGGATTAGGCACGGCGCGTCCGTCACATATAGCACAACACAGCAAAGCTCGCGAGAATCATGACCGAGATCCTGATTCGGCGCCGATAATGTGGCAAGGACAAGGACAAGGTGCAAATCTCTGTTATCAATGAGGACCTACCTCGTGCGAGGGAACGCATTCAAACAATTTTAAAAACAGTCCTTATCCCTTTTGAGATCCGTGTTTCCACTCGGTCGATCTGGGGATTTCCCCGGCAGCAGAGGGCCTAGAGAATGAGTCGCTGCATTTGGGCCATGGAGTTACCTATAAGGAGGCTATGCTGGTGAGCAACCATAACCACATGGTTAAACTGCGTCTGCCTGATTCACGTGCTTGCTTGCTTATATCGGAATCCAAAGCGACAAGTGTTCAGGGCTCTGGTACGGACATGAGAATGAATTAATATCGGTAGAGGGAAACGGTAAACATAAGAATCATGTCCAATATTGTTATCATCATGACGCCGCGTATGCGCTCTTCGCCCTCAATTTCTTCCCATACCGCCTGAAGAACAAGGGAGCAGGCGCCAGGAGCAAGCCAATACACCCCAGCAGAGTCATGGTCCAGTGTACCCCTATCCCCGTGTACATGGGCCTCGCGGCCATGACCATCGTCCCCGCAATGAGATATCGCGCCATCGTGATACTGGCCAGCGCGACGGCGCTGTGTTTCGTGTAGCTGTCGACAATGTACTCGTAGCTGCTGACGTACACGGCCGTCGCCACGATGCCAAAACAGAAACAAGCCGCCAGGCCCGACCACAGTGAGATACTGGGGTAATTGGTCCAGCCCAGCCAGAACAAGGAGATGGGCATCAACGGCGCCGTGACGATGGCCGGCCACAGCCTGTATTCGGGCTTGATCCAGGCTTGCCTCACGTAGTGAGTGTGGACGCGTGAAAAGTGGAAAAGAGCTGGCGCAAACAGGGTAAAGAATGTAGATCCAGCGGCAATGGATGCGAAGCAAGACCCCGTCAGCCCGTCGGACAGCCCGTAGGTCTTTTTGAAAATGTAGTCAAACCCAGATAAGAAAGTGAACATGAGGATGTAGACGAGGATCAGGTAGCCACCCAGCACCGCAACGACAGGTTCGCTTGAGAAATAGATGACCGGCATAGGGAGGGTCTCGCGTAGACGCTTGAGGAGCGATTCCTTCTCAGCGTGGTTGGATACGTACACGGACAATCCGGAAACACGACGAAGATGTCTGGCTTTCCAGTCCAGCAGAATCGGCAGGTAGGTCTCGGGGAGAAAGAGGAAGGCGATGATGAAGGCGATGCCGGAAATGATAAGTGTGACCCAGTCAGTCCAATGCCAACTGAGGCTGCGATCTTGTACCAACCATCCGCCTGCGACCGGTGCGAGCATGGGAGCTTTGCATCCTAGTTAGCCAGACAGTGAACAGAGGTACCGAGAGAAGAGCACCTACCAGCAACGTTTGCCCACGCTATGACAGGAAATGCGAACGCCCGCTTGACGGGGCGAAACTGATCGCTCACACTGGCGCCATTGATACCCAGGACGGCGCTGGCAAAGACGCCAACAAAGTATCGGCAAACAATCCGCCCCCCCAAGTTCGAAGTCAACGCCGTACCAAGCACAAAGCATAGATAACAGACGGTCGCTCCAAGGTAAGTTGGGTTCCTTCCGACAGTCTCGGAGAGAGGACCACAGAAGAGGCATCCGGATCCAATGCCCAAAAGATACAGGGCTTGAGAGAGATTGGCCGCCACCCTGCTCACGCCGTAGTCTTGACTGACTCGCGAGTTCGCCATCGAGTCTGCGGCGCTCGCCCAGCCCTGGGAGAATATAAGGAGACATAGGATGGCAATATTCTTGCACCTTGCGAGTAGCGGCCAGTTGTGAGGATCAATAGGGTCATCGTCGCCTGTCGTATCGACGACGATCTTCCCACTCCCACCGACGCTGCCGCCCACCGATTCTGGCCGTTCCTCGGAGGACTCCTCTTCCAGTGGACCGCTGGACCCCCTCAGTATCCTCTGTTCTGACCCAGCCTCAGCATCTCGGAAAGCACTCTTTTTCTCGTTGTGACCTTGTTTTTGAGCCTTCTCTTGCCATTCGTGCTCGACCTGCTTTCCGATCCGTCGGTACTGCACTAGTGACCACATTGAATTCTTTGGCCGGCGAGGAATGTTGTAAATCTGGCATGTCAGCCAGCATAATCATGCACCAAATGGAAGAAAAGGCATGTCTACATCTTCAAGTGACGCAGTGCAAGAAGTATATTGGGCTCAGTGCTGGAAATTTCGGGTGCGAGGTTTTGCTGGAATGGTGTCGCGTGAGGTGTTTCCCTCTTTGTACATTTTGCTCAAGCGAGCCCACCAGCCTGAAACTGCCCACGCCGAAGAGGGGGGGATTTTGGAACCAAGCCTCTGCATGTGACGTCAAATTCAGCGCCGATGGAGTGGAGGCATTTCTTCTGAAGTAACAAGTAACATTAGAGAAGCAGCATGGCGGAAGAGCATGATTGGAAGGCCGGACATGGTCCGGCATGGCGTTCGCTTGTCCTTTTCCTCTTCCCCTTCTCGCAGTCCTCCTTTTGGTGCCCACAGGTGCCTGTCGAGTTTTGTTCCTGACATCATGGTCGAAGGGGACAAGGGGGGGACGATCTGTTGATCGTGGCATTCTGGCGGTGAACTGATAACGCTGGCAGACGTTGAAGTACAGTACGCTAGGATAGCCGGGCTTGTTCAAACCTTTGAATCCTATCCTGGTCAGCAATGGTGTCCCACCCTTTTCAATCTTTGCAATTTGACGATGAGCTGTCTGGGCGGGTGCATCGCGGGGCACCGAATCGTCCGTCAGATAAGCAGACAGATTTGCAGGGTCCGCAAAGGGCATTTCCTTTGACACAAGACTAGCACGTGAAGGCAAGGCGAAAGGTGAAGAAGTGGAAGCGTCATGTCATTTGCAGAGCGCAGTGAAACCGCAGTTGTGCGGGCCACTAGGCTTGGCTTGTCGGGCTTGTTTAGGGCGCACAGGGCGCACAGGGCGCATCAACACCTTGTCGGTCCCTAAGCGAACTAACAAACGCCTCGACGCTCAACCCCGCCACCAAAACAGCTGCATGTTTCCGTTCGTGGTGTCACACACCCTGACAAGACGGGCTTCATGATCCTCAATCCTGTTGATGAGTGTTGCTTCGAGCTCGGGCGACTTCCAATGCCAGGTGACTAGTTGATACTCTGCCTTCTACCTACGATCCTCGCTTATCCAGTCCGCTCGGAGACTCCTCCAGAAAGAAATGTCGCGCAAACGAACCTCCCGGCTTACTTAGCGAAAATGCGACCTTCGCGACTCCCTCACCATGCGGATGCGGGGCAGTGTAACGCCTAGAAATAGGCTGTGCAGCCTACCATCATCGAGCAGCGATCGAACCACATGATCCTCACACCTGTACAACACCGGGGCGCGTTCTAGAATCCTTAGCTGGGCTGGCTAGTATGGCACAAACACTATTCATTGTCACTTCTGTACATAATGCCAGTGATTGCCCACTGATGCCATCTGCCGCCTCGATCCAAATACTCGCAGTCAGGAGTCGAGATGTATCGCAAACCATCTGGCCAGATGGGCTTCTCCTTCAACCGATTCATGACCAATGCCTTTCCGAACTTCGCCAACGACAACCCTGAGCGGGATGCTGATCTCACTATGGACGAGAAGGATACGTTGTGGACGCATCAGGTCACAAGGGCCGAGGCCGCACAAAGGTCGCCCATGACACTGGACGCCGGAAGCGCGCTGATGGCAGGCATAACTCGTAAGGGGCCGACATCAATCAAACCACGTATCCGCATTGGATCTACACGGCTAACGAAACACTGAATAATCGAAAACCAGCAAACAACAAAATTTCCGCGCGCATTCACAAGGAACTGGTCAAGAATGGCATCATCGACCCCAGCGCCCCGCTCGGCATCGACACCACGAGGATCACTCCGAAATTCGCACACCAGCTGGCCTTCATCAGCGTCGCGGCGCAGCGCAAGGTCGTCGGCATGCTGTTCTTCTGGGAGGAAGAGGCGATTCGGTGGAGGCTGTTGGAGCAGGAACAGGCCGAGATCGAGACCGCCATGGGCGTTGTCGAGGGAGGAGTCACGGAGGAGACGAAAAAGGAGCTGCAAGTTCGATTGCAGAGTGTGCGAATGAGGAAGGCCATGAGCCCCAGCCAACGGCCGCCGGTGCACGGTGCAAGTTCTCAAGAGTCCTTGGGCTTGCCGCAGTACTCTTAGTATAGAAGAGCCAGCTCAGCTCGGCCATGAAAGCTCGGTTTAAAATCGGCTCCAACAGTTCAGTCCGGCCTTGTTTTGTATCTATGCAAGCCGATCTAATAGCGTACGCGCTTGTCTTTTGTCCTACGGGATGGAGGGCTTTCTGCACTGTATGTCTGTATGTATGCATGCAAAACAAACAAACCCCCGACGACACTAGAGGACAACAACACCCAGGGCCCTAGGCAAACTGGACCGTGTTCCGCAGCGTGCCGATCTTCGATATCGACACCTCCATCTTCGTGCCCGGGGTGAGAAATCGCGGGGGCTTCATGCCGAAACCGACACCTGTGCGTCCACACCGGCCGGGGTCAGTATATCGAGAATAATGAACGTACGATTGAGGGAAGGAGGGAGGGAGGGAGGGAGGGAGAGGGGATTAGAGATTGAGAATAGGAATCCTGTTCGCATCACGCCGCGCGCGAGAGTAGAGCAACTGACCTCCTGGTGTCCCCGTCATGATGACACTGCCCTTTTGCAGGGTCGTTCCCTGACTCAGATAGGAGATGATATATGCGCAATCAAAGAGCAAATCAGACACGCTTTCGCTCTGCCGCGTCTCGCCGTCGATGATCGTCTTCAGGTGCAGCTCTGCAGGGTTCCCGATGAGTTCGGGGGCCACGAGACACGGGCCCAGGGGAGCATATGTATCGAAACCCTTGGAGAAGCCCCATTGAGGGACGCGACCGGCGAGTTCCGGGTCGCGCTGGAGTTTACGCGACGAGACGTCGTTGCCGGCTGTGTACCCGCCCACGTAGTCCAAGGCTTGTTCAACGGGGACGTCTTTCGCGTCGCGGCCCATGACGATACACTTGAAGAGGAGACAAGAAATGTTCAGCTTGTGACACATCCCAGAGAGGTCGGGGCGGTGTGGCGTGTGGAATCTTACCAGTTCTCCTTCGTAATCCGCCTGGTCGTCCTGGGCGAGTTTTGGTATCACCACCGGAGCATCATGGTCCTGGACTGTGGTGTTCGGCTTGAAGAAAATGAAGGGGAACGGCGGCGGTTGTCGCCCGGCTTCCTTGACTGTATTATGGTCCCTCCATGTCAACATCACTCACTTCCATTGGCAATTGATGATGGCATGAACCCCATAGCGAGCCGGTCGACATCCGGGCGGTGAGATATATGTATCGAACTTACTGTGCTTTGCATAATTCAAGCCGACACATCTCAGAATCGGCACCTCCTCTCGCGCCAACGGACCAAGGATCTTCTTCACCGTGACGACCTCATCCGTCACTTTCGTCTTGCCCGTCGTGTCGAAGATGTCGTCCCCCACGATGACTTTGGCCTTCAACTGGTCGGCTTCCGTGACGTTGCCCAGGTCGAATTCCTCGCTGGGGAGGATCGGTTCGCCGCGCAGTAGGCGGCCGTCGGTGGCGACGAAGCGGATGAGTCTGGTCCACGGCAATTTCATCTTGGGCGGCTTCGTTCTACTTGAAGAGGATATTGTTGAAACACAAAACTGTTGATCTGGTCCCTAGGCAAGATGTTTGTCGAGGTTGATGCGTCGTTGATATTACCAATAAGATAGCCATGTGGGGTTTGCTGTCCGGAGGTAAGTAACTGAAGTGGAGGGAAGAACGGGGAAAGAACGGAATGGCGTGTCCAAGGGCCCAAGCTGACTCGCTCACAGGCGAAATGGACGATAATGAGACGGAATTTGTCGGCCAAGATTGCGGTGCCTCTTGTCCAATTCCAAGCAGTCAAGATAATGCCCGAAGGCTCCATCCTCGAGAGGTGGTTAAACGTTCAATCTAATACTACCTCCTATTTCCCCGGCCACAGGCTGGGTGTGTCTCTATTTCAGCCGGCCATCATTGCCGTCAAACCTGGCTCAACACCGACAAGGTCTGCAAACAGGTCGAGACTGTTGTCCGTCCAATATTGGTGCATGCTCATGTCAAAGGCTGCGAACGGGTCGTCTTGGCCCATGGTCGGCAGGAGACCGTTCGTCGCCATGCTCCCATCCATTCCTCCTTGAGATTGCAAAGAGAGGCTGTTGCTCTGGCTACTCAATTGGGCCGTCTCGCTTTGCTGACCAGAGGACAAGGCAGACAAGATGGCTGGACCGTGTTCCGGATTGAACTGCACAAGTGTCATGCATATCTGCACCAGCTTCAAAAGAGTCTTCCTAATTCTCTTTGCGGATTTGGTGCCCTCGCCGAACCGCTGAAGCGTCTCTATTGCCCGCCGAAGTCGCGTAATCATTTCGACCATTTTGGTTTCATCCAAAGAGTCGGCGGGGGGTACCTGTGGACCATTTGTAGTCCGTACGTTCAACGGGGTAGTCTCTAGCAAAATGCAACTGAATATCACGAGAGCCGCATTGAATGCTTCATAGATTTGGTCAGCAGTCATCTCGGGTAAGTGTTCAAAAGCAAAGTGCTTACTGTAGTAGGCCGTGAACCACCACGCCCCGAGTAATGCAGGCGGCTTGCTCGTCTTGTGGACAATCTCGACAATTTCCATGGCGGCTTGCTGGCAAATTTTGACGCTTCGTTCGCCGAGGTCATTAAAGAAGGGATCTTCCTGCTCGACTGGTTCTCCAGATCCCTTCAAACGAGCTCTTTGACGTAAGAAGGCACTCAAGATGGGTCTGTGTAGTAAGATCCGCGTATTGAGATACCTGAGCGTAATGATGACGCTCAGTCTGTCGAAAACGGGATCCCAGGCGGAGACTGAGACGGTATCAGGATCGAGAGTATCCCATGGCCTTCGTTGCAGCTGAGGAAATAGGTTGTGCTTCCAGGCTGCTAGTTTCTGTTCGAGAACGACAGTCCTTTCCAGCATTGTTGGGACGGTCAGCCCTGGATCAACGTCCACATTGCCTCCATAGAGTTCGCGGATTATATCTCCTAATATATAGTACAGTTGTCTGGCAGCGGTCAGTTAAACCGCCCATTGACAAGGCGCGGGGAAAACTTACATGGTTGCCGTGAAAAGGCAAACTGTGTCTGGCGGGTCCAAGCTGCTCATTGACGTTGCAGAGTTTCCCAGCATTGTCAATCGCTCCAAGTTTTGATTCAACGGAAGGTCTAGTTTCACAATGGAGTTAGGCATCATGCAAGGGCGACCAAAGGTCATGCTTAGTGTCCTAGAGCCGGTGAGACGTTGTATCCGGTCCGCTTTGATGGCTGTATACTCACCTGTCCAGGATCATACAGCCAAACCATGTCCGCTTGCGAATCTCAGCTTCGACCAGGTTCAGTCCAGAAGAAGCCGTCTGCGAGTGTAGTCCCAGCTGGATGGCTGCACGGACTGCGAGGCCATGCAGGTTCCAGGCCTGGTCAGATCGTTGAGTGCCTTGACGATATTGTGCCATCAAGAGCAAGCATTGAACTGCCGCCAATCAGTGACATTATCCAGCATTGCGGTATCGCAAATGTAGTTTGGCCTCGGCCTAAGAGGGACTAATTGTTCCAAAGCACTTACCCGTCTCTAAGCTGGCTGATTTCATCTCTATCTCTGCCGACAAAGCATGTGCCCTTTCTATGAATATCTCTGATTCGGCGGCATTCTTTTCAGCCGACTGGTTAGGCTTAGCGCTGATGTAGGTTGCAAAAGCAAATATGGCGTTTACGAGGCATAGCCAGGAACGGCTCACGGCACTAAAGCGATTTCGCCGCGCCGCCGAGTAAGTACGTAGAATGTCCTGCTCGTGAATGTAGGGAAACAGCATTCCGGTATCCGAGAAGAAAAGCCTGATGAGGTGCAGAGCGCGCGCTTCGGGAGGGAGGGACCGAATGTTGATGTGGTGTCGAGCGATGGGGCTCGTCTCTGAGAGGGTCGTGGTGACTGGAGAGGCTAGTCTCGAGACGATGGGCTGATTTATTCCACTTTCCGAATGTCGAGACTGCCCTATTGCTCTCAATGTAGCTGAAGTAGCATCGGATATATGGCGGAGCAAGGCTATGTTCGAGGATGGACCAAAAAACCTCGACTCAGTTTCTTCCGGGTCCGTGATGGCCGCCATGCCATCAACAGAGTCCTCCGCATTTTGCTGCAGAGATTCATCTTCGTCGAGGATGGCAACGTCTTCATCATCGTTCGGCGCCTGTCTTGGCTCTTGGACAGAGGTGTTGGCTTCTTGAGTTGGCCGATTTTGCTCGTGGCTTGGTGGGTTCAGCTGATCAGGACTATCCGACGGAGCGTGGTTTCGGTTCACGAGGAGCCTGAGCGTGTCCTCGATAGCCCGCAACCGCTCATCATAGCCTGGCTGCAGCTGAGGAGGCCTGGCATTGCCCGCAGCGGGCTGTTGATATATGCATTCGAAACCGAGTTCGACGCAGAGGCTGCAAGAAGGCCTAGCGCCGTTGCAACGTGATTTGCGATTCCTGCAGGATGTGCAAGCTAGAGCTATCCGCCGCCGTTTGTATGAAGGCGGTGGTGTCGTTTGGTCCTGATCCTGTAGTTCGGGCTTCCGGACTTGGGCATCCGGCATTTTGTCCCCTCCCTGGTAGCCCTTCATCCAGGGAATGTGGTATGATTCGTCACGTGTGTTGCAGCAGTATCAGCAGAGGCAAAAGCGTATCTGGGCTGCGGCCGTGCCAGCAGAAGGGGTATATCGGGGAAGAAAGCTGTCTTTTGTATGTTTGTGGAGTTTGATAGCAAGACTTTCTCGACTGCTCCCACTTGCCTTTCGCTACCCACAGGTGCAATCTGCAGCACCGTATTCTCTCAACACGGGCACCTGAATCTTCGAATATTCTGTCTCATACGAGGTACGTTGATTGAACAACCGCCGTATCCCGCTCTCTGCGACCTCGGGATTACCAACTTGAACAGCTTCACGCCAAGGCCTCTCCGATTTATACCCGATTGTGCGGTTGAGTAAATTAATTCTGTCTGACGAGTCAGCTCGCTGGTCAACAACCTGAATCGCCTATAAATTACTGGTCTGACAGGTCAAATTTAACACCACCTCCTATGAGCTCCCTATCTAGTATCTGCGGTCCTCGTCGCTCTCTACACATCTCGCTGACACCATTTTCATTGATTGGCGTGCCATTTGCGTGCTATGTTCTTCGGTCGCCGTGCCAATTGGTATTCAGCCGGCAACTAGCCATCGCCAGTGATATGGCAGGGTGTACATCCACCGTCACCAACGATGATTCTTGTGAACGACAGCTGTGACATAGTAATTTGGTGGATTGTGTCCGAATGACTACTTGTATCTCGTTTTGACCTCCTCCAACGTCAAAGTTTGCTTCCGGACTGCTGTCTTCAGGCCTTTTTGACGCCACCCGTTCAGCTTCTCTGGGTACACCGGGACTATGCCATCGATCTGAGCATCATGGGCAAGTACCACAAAGACACTCGAATTTGAGTGTAACGCCCGGGTTTTGTGGATCGTTTCCCTTGTGCTGACCGGATCTTTGTGAAACCCAGGCTGACCGTTTGGTCCCACATCAATGCTGATGTCGCGAGATGGGTGTTCAAGCAAATCCCTGTGGTGACAGCAGTCGCCTCCCATAGCAACCCATTCATCCTCGCCAGTCCGTGCTAGTGCCATTTGATGACCAGGCATATGGCCTGGTGCATCCAGTACAAAGAAAGATCCATCGCCAAAGATATCTACCCCTTCGTCGAAGCTGAAGGAAGACGGCACAGAACCATCCCTCAGTCTGCTGTACTGCGATCTTTCCAGCTCAGTGAATCCCTGGTGAGCGAGAACCGACCCGTCGAAGGGCGAAGCATCACTGGCCGGATATCCTGGATGGATGCAGTCTCGCGTTCCTGGTCCGACGATTATTTTAGATCGAGGAAAGTGCCGAACATCCCCGGTATGGTCGAAATGCATGTGACTCAACACCACCATATCAACGAGCTCTGGCTTCACTGGTCCACCTAAGAGCAGATCGTGCGCATCCTTGGGAACAAAGGGCTCAATCGCGCTATAATCTTCCCTGATCACCCTCGGATTATTGTCCAAGTCCTGCCATTGAGAATTATTAGCACGTTCTTTGGAGCATCCTAACCACCAAATCCTGGACAAAGACTGACCCTGCGCATACCGAGATCAAACAATAGATTCTGACCCGAAGAATGTCGAATGAGAAAACTATAATCTGGAGACAAATGGCGGACTTTCAAGTCCCCATCCGCAAAGATCCAGCGATCGGGTAGCCAGAGGTACCCAGTCGGTAGGACATATACCTCCACTGTCGGAGGCGCGGCCATTTCATGGGGATTAGATTGTTGAGCTGTGACAAGAGTTTGCTCCAGGTTCGCAAGAAGCGGACATCCAAAGCCTCTTTCATATCTATTCTCGATCGTCGTCGGGAAGCTTGGTGCTCAGCCTGCTGATTCCAACTCCGAGCGTAACCGTGCCAATTCAGCTCCCAATCGGCTTTAAGAGGTCTCGGTTCTCCGTTTCCGATGCACACCCCCTTTTTCTTGCCAGAGGTTGCATTCATATCCTGTTGATATCACGAAACAGTTGCTGGATTGGAGAACATATTAACATCCCTCTTGGACCATTCGTTGCAGGATTCCCTATACTTCCTTGAACACTGAACAAGTAAACTTTAATCCAAAATTCCATCTCAATCGGTCCCATTCTGGGCAGCGGGCATACAATGGAGCGAATCGACACTCACACCCACGTTGTGCCTGGGGTGTGGCGGCATTTCTGTCGCGAGTACGGGTTTGATCGGCCAGACGGTATGCCTGCCATCCCTGTAGGTCACCTGCTCTCCACCAAAGATGCGCGAGCTCATTCACGTTCAAGGCATGGACGCCGGAGGCGCACATCGATCTGATGAACAAGTTGGGCATCTCCAAATCCATACTCAGCATTACATCCCCAGGGACACACCTCAAGCCAGACGACGATGTATTGGGCCGAACGATTACTCGAGAGTCGAATGACGAAGTCGCCCGTATCTGTCGGTTGCATCCCAACAAGTTCGCCTTTTTCGCATCCCTACCGCTTCCAGATGTTGCTGGATCTGTTGAGGAGATTGATCGCGCTCTAGATAGCCTAGGCGCGGTGGGATTCGCTCTTATGACAAATGCTCACGGGTATTATTTGGGTGATGCCCGCCTTGACAAAGTTTTCGCGAAGCTGAACGAAAGGAAAGCAATAGTATTCATGCATCCGACCACATGCCACTCGCAGACTCTGCCAGAAGCTGAAAGGCCTCTCTCTCAGTATCCTGCACCAATGCTTGAATTCTTCTTTGACACCACACGGGCGGTGGTCAATTTGATTCTCTCTGGCACTGTGGCACGCTATCCAGATATTACATATCTCGTTTCTCACTGTGGCGGTGCACTGCCGCCCCTGGTTGAGAGGTTCTCGTCTTTTGCAACGCGGATTTTAGGCGGCGAAATGGCTATGGACTCATCGCACGTCAAGGAATTATTTAATTCAAGGTTTTACTTCGACTTGGCTGGATTCCCGTTCCCCGACCAGATTCACGGGCTCCTGCGCATGACGGACGCGTCGAGATTGCTGTATGGCAGCGACTATCCCTACACGCCAGCATCAGCACTGACAGGAATGGCTACGCGAATGGACGATGAGCTCAAAAAGTTGTTCAAGGAGGGGGCAGTCCGTGAGATCTACTCGGGTAATGCTAAGCGACTGTTTAAAATTTGAAAGATAGCTCAGCCGTGCAGACAACGAGTGACTGGGTTCCTGGTCAAGGCAGAGAAATCCCATTCCTGAATCCGCCTGTTCGACGGGTTCCTGGGTACATCCTAAGTGGCCAGTCAGCAATCCTTACGAAATGTTAAAGGGCGTTTGTCGGATCTTACATGCTGTTTGAGCGGAAAACGGTTGCACCAACATCTAGACCAACCCTAACTCCAGCCTTGTGTGCCAAGCTCCTATCTCCGCCCGACAAACCATCCTCCAGATCAGGTCGGGGAAAGGGGTATGTGTACATACGAGGATGTGTAACCAGTCCGAACTTTCCCCTGGGATGGAGAGAGGATGCCTTACAAACCACAACTATATCCTCTTCCCAGCCAAGGCTTGACGGGTGATAACCTCTGGCTGTTATTGTGGAACTGCTAGAAAGGGGCATCTTCAAATAATCCTAGCCGCGCGAGTCCTTCACTCAGAGTCATCTTCTGGTAATTCACAATGCTCGCTGCCAGTAAATCGCTCGACATGCATGTTGAGAACAGCTCGGCGGAGGTCGAAAACAAGAGCCAGGAGTCGCGTCCAGACGCACTTATCGATCCGCTCGATCCTCTCGATCCTCACGATCCTCTATCATGGAGCACTTCACGGAAGCTCACTATCCTCCTCGTTGTCGGCCTCTGGATTTTGCTGGGGACGTCAAACATGATCATCATCGCGCCCGCCCTTCAAATCATCCCAGTGGAGTTTCATTCTTCGTTTGACACTTCAACTTACCTTGTGGGCGGCCCTCTCTTGGCTTACGGCGTCTCTTCCTTCCTATGGGTGCCCCTGGGTAACAGATACGGTATCAGACTCGTCTTTATCCTCGGCTCCCTAGCGGCCGCCTGCATGGATTGTTGGGCAGCGCGCACAACATCGTTCGGCAGTCTTGTCGCTGCTAGGACCCTGGCTTCAATGTTCTATGCGCCTCCAGAAACACTGGCACCTCAGCTGGTTGGCGATGTCTTCCATTTCAAGGACAGAGCGAAAGCTATGACATGGATCGGCATCTTGCAGGCCAGCGGGTTTTCTGGCGGGCCGCTGATTGGAGCTTTTATCATTCAGAACCAGTCTGTGTACTCACATCGTCCCCCGGCGTATATGCTAAACTATAGTACCAGGGCTCTCGGCTGGCGCTGGATCGAATGGATTCTAGCCATTATCACGTTCGGTGCTGCAGTTTTGATGATATTTCTACTGCCAGAAACTCAGTATACACGATGTAGAAGGGAAACAACTACGTTAACGAGGTCATGGAAGGATGAGTTGCGATTTTGGCCTGTCAGTGGAGGAGGGCCACCGAAGGAGCATAGGTCTGGTGGTATTCAAAAGCCTGAAGTAATGAGCTTGTTAGCTTACGCCTATCATAGCGTCGCCCATGGACTCGCCACCATACTTCCGTATTTTGGACACCCAGTCATCATTCTCAACACGGCATTCTTTTCTCTCACGCTGCTAGTCACTAGCTACACCCTGGTATTTCTCCTCGCTTCAGGTGTGGCCCACAAACCTAACAGCAGACAGACTACTCAATCCATCACCTACCTAACGGTGTATCCGTTCTCAGTCGGGAATTCTGGCTTGACCTTCATCGCGCCTTTGATTGGCACCTGGCTGGCAATGCTGTTCTGCGGCGTGCTGGCAGATCGACTCTTCACCCGACTGACGCGGAAAGAAGGACGAAAGCCAAAGCCGGAGCGCCGTTTGCCACTTCTCATAGTGACTGGAGTGGTCGGGATTGGTGGTTCGCTTCTTTTTGGCATTTGCACTCAGGAGAAATGCCATTGGGTTGCGCCTCTATTTGGGTCGTGCTTCGGTATGTACCTGGCTTCTCCGCAAAAGGCACCTTTCGGGACTTGAAACGCTGACAACCACACTTATTTCAGTCAGCTTCTGCTTCATTTCGTCCCTCAGCATCTCCTTCGCCTATCTCCTCGACGTGTACGAAGCAAAAATGGATACTGTCATGGTCATCGACAATGGGATGAAGAATCTGGCAGCGTTCGGCATCAGCTACGCCATTGTGCCGTGGAATACGAGTGCTGGCTATACAGTTCCGTTTGCTGTGATGGCCGTGATTCTCCTCGTTGCGCATCTGCTCATGGCGTTGGTCTACTTCAAGGGCGAGCAAATGAGAAAGTGGAGCGCTCAACATTTCGAGTCGGCAAGGACGACGCATCACGGGGATGCGTTCTGAGTGGCAGTAGAAGGACACAATACCTACATGCAAACATAGGTATAGCGAGTAACAACGAGAGAGAAGATTTTGGAGAGGGCTTTGCGCAACGGTGTTTTGCATAGATACACAGAGAAGAATTCCTCTACACGGGGTCTCCGCTGAGGCCCACAAGGCTGGGAGATACAAAGGCGTCCTCAGGGGGTTTGGCATGTTGTGTCTGACGAGTCAAATGACATCAATCTAAAGCAACATGGGAAGGCACAAAGATCTTCTGCGTCCTTCGTCGTCCCCTTCCGCCGCCCAATGCAGAAATTTCTTGTCTCCGAGCTTCATAACCCCGGACCCAGACAAGACTTCTCCGTAACTTCCAGACTCCGTTGGGCGTTGCTAATCCTGGAGATAAAAGTCGGGAGGAGAGCGGAGAAACTGGTGACGGGTAACTGTCGGACAAGCGAGAACAGCCGCTGCGCTGCCCACCATTTTTTCGCGTCCCCCACAGCCCACAAAATTGCCCACACAGGAGATCTATTCTTGGCAAAGGCAAGGCTGAATGAGAGTAGGGCAGCAATTCCGGCGAGCCATCTTCGTGGGTCTTTTCAAGTCCAGCTAGCGATAAGAGACTGGGAAGCGGGCAGGGACGTATATTTCGGCGTGTTTCCTAGTTCGTGCCCCCCTTTTCGCCTTTGCGTTCCAAGTCTATCAGATCACAAACAACAAAAAGAAGAGAGTGTGGAAGGTTGTGGGACCTAGAATGTCAACCACCATACCCAAGACGCAGATCGCTGCATGGCTCGAAAAGCCCCAACCTGGTGCTCGGCTCCAGATCAGGAACGATATCGAGGTGCCATCTCCGAAAGAAGGTGAAGTGCTTGTGAAACTGGAATATTCCGGCTTCTGGTGAGCGGGCGGCATTCTCTCGTCTTTTGGTCAAGAGCTGCGGCAGACTGACCTGGCTTTATGAAATTTCACAAAGCCATTCGGATGTTCACAGCATATATGGCGAAACCCCGATGAGCACCGACATTGCTGGCCACGAAGGTGTAGGATACGTGATTCAGCGTGAGCGCCCCCCAGGTCCATCGGATCATCGACGTTGACGATTTTCCAGTTGGGCCTAATGTTCCGGAGGAGATGATGAATTCCAGGGTAGGAATCAAGTCAGTCCATCTCACGCTCTTTGGAAATCTCAATGCAACAGGACTCTCACTGACTCGCGGACCTCGCCCGTGGAAAGATGGCAGTACAGCACATGCGACTCCTGCGAGATATGTGCCAATAATCCCACGGCATGTCCAAACCAGGTCAACTCTGGGCGGGTAAGTCCTTCGCTAGCATGGGGGTATAGCTGATGGCTCTGCCATGACTGACTTGACTTGCTGGTAGAACACAAGGGGCACTTTCCAACGTAACAAATCATCTCACGCTTCCTTTGAGAGGTTCCCTGACTGACTCAGGGAAGAGTACATCGTTACCCCTGTGAAGCATGCCACTAGGATCCCGGCAGGGTTGAAGTCTGAAATTGCTGCTCCCTTGCTTTGTGGTAGGTTGGACTAGCCCAGCTCCCAGCTACCTCGTCTGACCTTGCAACGAACAGCGGGTTTGACTATGTATTCTGCCCTCGCGAAAGCAAGACTGCGGCCAGGAGACTGGGTTGTATTCCCCGGTGCGGGAGGAGGCTTAGGGCATCTGTAAGTCCTTGTTTATCTAGTGATCAGGCTTGAGCATCCCGAGTAATCTTCTGCAGTGGCGTCCAGATAGCCGCCAAACGCGGGTATAAGGTGATTGCCATCGACACCGGAGACTCAAAGAAGGAAATGTGCATGAAGCTTGGGGCAAGCGTTTTCCTCGATTTCAAGACTGACTCCGTGAGGATGCTTCTCCATGAATCCTAGAGGACTGTACTTATCACTGTGACAGGTTGAAGGAGAAGTCAAGCGTCTGACGAATGGATTCGGAGCCCATGCTGTCATCGTCACCGTTGGAAGCGACGCTGCATATGATCAGGCGTTGAAGCTGCTCCGAAATCTTGGGACCCTGGTGTGTATCGGGCTGCCCAGATCGGGATTGGGCTTGCCAATCTCGCCGTTCATGATGGTTGTGAGAAGTGAGTTCTTGACCAGCATTCCCAAATCCCAAAGTCCAATGGTCCAGCGTCCTAACGTACTGCGCAGGTCTTACCATTGTGGGCTCTTCCGTTGGTACGGCCCAGGAGATGGATGAACTGCTAGAGATGGCGGTCAAGGGAGAGGTGAAGCCTGAAATCGCTGTGTTCGAATTTGACGAGATAAACGATATTATGGAGAAGCTTGCCCGGTTCGAGATTGGAGGCAGAGTGGTCCTCAGACTCCCTGAGTGAAGCAAAGCCGCCAAGCGAGCCTCAATTGTTATCAGAGCAGCACATGACCTCCTCCAACCCAAGCGGGTCGAAACAAAGAAAAAAAAATTATGTCCTATATATTTTTATTGTGCTGATTCCCTGTCACACAAAGACCCCCTTACCACAACAAGGGCGAATATCGAATCCGAACTGAACCACCAATTCCACACCATGCAATCCAGGTCCTGTCAGGTCGAACTAACAGCGGGTTAGCAGGCATCAGGACCTCGATTCCGAATGATTCGAACTGCCCTCCTCTAACGACATAATCTAGGACTTGTCAGGTCGAACTAACCTCGGGTTAGCAGGCAGCAAGACCCCGATTCAACTCCCGCCCCGATCGGATTTCAACTGTATAGAATGTGTAGGATAACCGGCCGAGAAAAACCAACCCTGAAAGGGGCGAGTTTCGCTTATCACAGACCAGAGGTTGACTGTTCTGTGGTAAGTTTTTGCCATTTTATATGAGGCAGGATTTTTTGGGTATTTTTGTGTGTGTGCACGCGCCTTTTCTCTCCAATCACTACTCTACTGCTATGCGAACACACATCGTGGGACGCTGTGAAGCTTCACTTGTCACGCGCATCTAAATGTGCCTACTGGGAAAGTATGGCGCAAGGCTGAGAATCGGGATGGCCGGGAGCGCCAAGCCTTGGAAATCAATATAACCAGCCTCGCGTGCCTCGCGTGCATCGTTCGTCACACGCTAGCAGCCCGTCGATACTCGAAGGGGCAGACTGATCGCATTTAGACTTTCACGCCGAGACAGGAACCATTGGCAGAGCAAATATCATGGAGCCTTGACAGGCACAAGCCCGGCGCGTGTGTCGTTCAAGCAATACGAGACCCCTGTGCTTGCTTGCCTCTCCGGGTCTAGCCTCGTCCCAATTCTGTTCCCCCCCCCCCCTGAACACAGCATCATCTTCTGATCTCATCTGCCCTGCCGAGCCTGACCTTTGACCATCCTCCCCATGTGTCAGCCAAGCTTCTCCCGGGACTACTGGGCTTTCCCTTGTAACAGGATGAGCGCTATACGAGCTTCAGGGCCAGGTGTTTCGCTGCCAGAAATGCCACCTGACCGTGGCGGCCTTGCTCCAAAGTTCCAAACCTGTACCTGGTATGGAGCCCCCTAATTCTGCATGATGAAGGAGAGCGAGGAGGGGTCCAGAACCCGCCTTAGCGAGAGCACTGCTGTTGAGCCTCCCCCAGCCTTTCAGTGCTGTTATCTTCCCACAGCCGGGCTGGAATGCGCCAGACATCTCTCTATCTTTCATTGATGCTTCAGTCGTAAGTCGCGGTCAAGGGAACTGACTTTGTACCATTGCGGGAAGAACACAGCTGCCTTACTTGAGTTTCCTTTTTCGATGGACCGGCATCTACTATACCTAGCATGTCTATGCTCTCTGCTTTTCCAATCCGTCGCGGTGGCGCAAACGAACAATCCAAAGCCGCAGGAAATCTACACCCTCACGGCCTTCCAGGAGCAGCAGACATGCGTGCAGTCGTGCTTCACGGTCGAATACGGCTGCACGACCGACGTTTTGGGCTCAGCGATCGGCTGCTCGATCGACCAATGCGTCTTTTCGACGAACATGTTCGGCGCATTGGACAGCTGCTATTGTCGCGGTGACCTGCAGGCTGCGGCCGAAAGTTTCCTCACGTCGTGCATCCAGGAGTCGTGCACCGTGGGCGATACATCGGTGAACATTGCTGCCGCAGTGTCTATCTACGGCGGTTATTGCACATCTCTGGGGTATACCGCTCTGCCTGCAAACAATGTGGCAGAGACGACGCCGGCCGGCAGTAATCCCACAACGGCGGGCTCGAACAACGGAGGCGGTGCTGCGTCAACGGGCTCGAACTCAGACGTCCTCTCGAGCAATCCCACAGGCGACGGCGCGTCCACATCGTCTCCTTCAGGCTCGTCCTCATCCTCTTCTTCCTCATCCAACACCACAACGTACATCGTACTGGGCGTGGTGGGCGGCTTCGCGCTGATCCTCCTAATAGTGGCGACGCTGTGGTTCAAGAAATACAGACAGCTGAAGCGCGCGCAGCGCTTTGGTCACGGACACTACGGCGCCCCGCCGCCCAACTACGGCTACAACAACGGCTCCATGAACCAGCCGCTGCGCCCGCTAGGTGGCGGCTCCGAGGTCTCTAGTCACCCGTTCTACAACAGGCAGGACGACATCTACCCGGACGACTCGGTCTCGACAATCCACGTTGCACCAGCGTACCCGCATCCGCTGGAGCCGAGCCTGGTTTCTACGCACATGCGTTGACTAGACCGGGAAGGGAATGCCCAAAAAAAAAGGAAACTGAACACCGGAGTTGGATTTGCACGACGACGATATATATGCGACTGACGAAACATCGAGACTTTTCGTGTTGTCGGGGGGCTAGCCTGTTATGACCCGGGACGGATGGGCGACAGACAAGGTGGTTCGGCTCGGGGGGCCAAGAGAGGCGCATGGGACGACATAAAAATGCAAGCAAGCGGAGGACAATCGACTTCGGAACAGCGATGCGTAAGTGGGCTTTGGAATTTCACGGGCTGTGTAAAAAAAAACAAAAAACAAAAAAGAGGGCGTTAGAAATGAAGTGTTTTTGCCTTGTGTGGTAGCTCGGGCACGGAGTACTAAGGAGCCTTACGCACAGCTGCTGTTTTTCCGACGTCGGCATTTCCTTGACATAGATGCTAGGCGATCATGAATGAATACAAATACATCAGCTCCGAACGGATGAATCGTTACCAAACAAACAATGCAAAACCCAAAGGCTTCCCCTGATGGCCAGCCCAGCCCAACCCTTACACCCGCGTTCCACGCGATAAAGCCTGGCTATATTCCCGCGCCATAACCTCGTACACAGCCATGTCCATGTCTTCAAAACTCTGAAGTTCGCTCAGGGAGACCGAGATCTCTTCCAACGCTCGATCGCGCCTCGATAGCAGCGCGTCGGCCGGCACATTGCCGATTTCCGACATCAGGCAGACTTCTCTGGCGTGCACGCAGGACATGTAGAACCTCATTTGCGAGACGCGCTGGTCGTTCTGTGACCTGATGGCATGCTCCATGGCGAAGGTCCCGTGCTTTTCGGCCTCGCGCACGTATGCCATCCGCTCGTTCTCCGTGAAGGCGAGCAGATGGCTGAGTCTCAGGGAGGTGGACATCAGCTTTTGGTAGATTCGGGCAAACTCCTTGGCCTTGGGTAGCGGGTTCTGCGAGTTCATCCCCCTCAGAGCGCGGGTGAAGTCTTCTTGCGCGCTGAGGAGATCCTCCTTGCCGACGGTGCTGGGGGCTTTTCGTCGATTGGCGTCGCCTCTCTCGACCAGTTCCGCTACACCTAGTCAGTTTGCGCTCAAGACATGTGTGGGTTGGTGGAGGGGGTGATTATCACGGACATATTTCGCTCGTGGTGCCCAGCATTTTTGGACGATCTCGGTCTCGTTGCTCGGCCTTCTCCCGCTGTTCTTCAAGCTTCGTCTGCTCAAGGCAAAACGCTCGATCCGGCTCATCTAGGGAAGAAGATCAACTCCATGCTTCGGACACCCCTAAATCGCTACTCACATACATCGTTTTTGTCTCAGATTCTGGACGCATGTTCGCACCTTGCGCTTCACTCCATGGCCATCCATATAGAGTCGAGTTCCTGCGTCGATGACCGCCTGTTGCTTATACTCGGCCAGGCGTACACTGTGCAGGCCTTCCTCGACGTTAAAACGGAAATAGCGGGTGTCCAGATGCTCTCTCCATCTGCCGGTGAATTCGCTGTCTGCCTTTTTGGTTTCGGTGGCGACTTTCTCAATACTGTGTGCCACAGACCTCAGTGAGCTGTTCTTGATGGTCGTGAAATCTGCATGGCCCGTGCCGATGGAAATGAAGCACTTTACAATCGGCTGTAGTCGACCTGTTTCCTCGCACCAGATGTCCGCTGCCTCTTCTTCGACCTGGTTCACTGGGTTGTTGGCGCCAAGGGCACCATCGACGTAGCTGCATGCACCGATCTGCACCGGGTCGAAGAAAGACGGTGCAGCCGAAGTGGCAAGAGCCGCTTCCCAGATCTTGGGGTTGTCTTCCTCCTGCCTTCCTTGGACGTTATAGCTCTTCAGCCGTCTAATGTGATTTCCCTCCTGGGATTTGGCACAGACGAAGCTGACCACGACATTAGTTCTAAGACAAAAACTCGAAGGAGTGATTGAATGCTCACACTTTGCACTTTCCGGTGGCTTCTGGATTTGCCTCATCCAAGAGCAGGTCGTCTTCCTTGAACCCTTTGCTCCTTAAGACCTCTTTGATTGCCGTCTCAAGCGTCTTCGAAGAGAATCTGGCTTTCACGTTGCCCGTGATAGACACAAAGAACGCACTCCTCTTGTTCTTGAAGACCTTTTTCATCATTGCTGTATATGCTTTGATACATTCGTCCACATCCATTTCAAGTCGTCCTAGCATTATGGCAATGATTCTGCGAGATCGAGTTAGCTTCGATGGTGTGGAAAACTTCCTGGACCCTAGGTCAAATCCTCACCCTCCAGTGCTGGTACCACCAATGAGATCAAATATGTCGCAAGGTTTCACTCTTGCCAGTCCAACAGCTTGTCGCTCGAAATTCAGCCTTGTCATGAGCCCTTTGAGAATGAACAGGCTCGACAACCCTCTCACCCCGCCGCCATCAAGAGAAAGAAGGCAGAGACCGGTCGTGTCAAGGTCCCTGGTCTCCTCTTTGCCGGCGACCTCGGAGGCTGGGTGAGATGCTAGCGCCATTGGTAGGGATAATGAGAACAAGAAATCATGAGAATCAGCATAACAACCGGTAATGAGACTCTTGTACTGTATTAATGATAATGAATGTCGGTGACAGCTTTTCTTGGTACAGCTGCCAAGCCACGGCGAGGTGGCGAGTCTTGCCCAGGGCAGCTCAGGGGCTCATTCATCCTGGAAGCGCTCGATGCAGCCTTGACCGCAATGAGGCTGAATCCCAGTGGGCCAATCAGATGGCCTGAGGGCGCAGGGCCAAGTAGAACCAACTCAAACCTGACCCCTGAATGTTAGTTACACAAGACAATCTCGCTAAGGGCATGCAAGGGATGTCCCCTCGTGTTCAGGCATGCATCTTTCGCTCAAACTCCATGGGCAGATACCGATGTCACTGCAAAGGTCTAGAAGCATCGGAAGAGAAACGCTGTCCCAAATATGGATACCAGGGATAACCCGACTCCGTCTCAGCCAAAAAGAAATACCTGATACTCTGTTTCTAAAGCCCCTTCACATCCCCATTCACCAGCTGGGCTTTTGAAGGTCTATTTTCCCAAGCCTGCTTGACTTCCCATTCGGCGTCGTAGCCATAGCACCAGCGCTGCGTCGTCGGATCGCTCCACTGGTTCGGGCTCGACACGAACTGTTTCCCTTCAACCTCGGGCCTCATCGCCTCGTCTCGAGCCCTCTGCAGCGGGCCGTCGGCAAAGTGCCACAGTTTGCCATTGATCAGACTTGCTTCCTGCATCTGACTTGTCCGTTTGATGCGCACCGCTTCCCACACCTGCAGGGCTTCGGGGAGTTCTTTGACGCAGCCGACCAGGTCGATCGCTTCTGCAAGAGCCGCGGCGTCTTCGACGGCCATGGCGGCGCCTTCAGACATATATGGGACCATGGCGTGGGCAGCGTCTCCCATTATCGTGAGCTTGCTCGAAGGCGCGACCCATCGACTGAGGGCCGAGCCGCTGACGAGCGGCCACTTGAGCGTGGACCGGATCATGTTGATGATCTTGGTCAGGCGAGGATCCCAGCCCTCGAAGTGAGCCCGCATATCAGACATGATCTTTTCCGGGCTGTGTTGGTTCCATGTAGCCGGGTCTGTGCGGTCTGGATGCGACAGGACCATGTTGAAGGATTTGCCTCCAGCAATCGTGTAGGTCATGACATGTCGCATATCTCCAATCCACAGATTCAGACCTGGCTTTGCCAACAGCTCAACGAGCTCCGGGTGCACTTTCATATCCTCCACATCTACCGTCGCGCGATAAGCCGCAAATCCTGTTCTCAGAGGCGGCTGGTCCACGCCACCCAGCACTTTGGTTCGTCCGACTGATTTTACACCGTCTGAACAGATGATGAGCTCCGCAGTGAAAGTATCTCCGTGTTCTGTGGTTATCGAAGGTGCGTCTACATCGTAGTCGATGACCTTGGAGTTGATTCGGACCTCGACGCCCAGTTGCAATGCCAGTTGATGCATGGCATCATGGAAGTGTGCACGGTGCACGACATAGTACGGCGCATCGAAGTTGTCCTGAAACTCGGGAACGAGCTTAGTGAGTGCAATGACGGCGCCGTTCTCCCATCGCCGAAATTTGATGTCCTCTGGCTCCACGATCTTGGATGCCAAAAAGGGTTTCAGGCCCCATTTGAGAAGCAATCGACTTGAATTGGATGGGATTTGGATGCCGGCACCGACCTAGAGCAACAATTCAGCCTCCGATCACCAGGAATAGGGAAATCAAAGATGCAAATCATACCTCACCCAGTTCCGGAGCCTGCTCAAAGACTGTGACCTTATGGCCCTTGCGAGCAAGGCTGATGGCAGCAGCCAATCCCCCGAGACCGGCACCGACAATGATGGCATTTAGCCGGACCCGGGAAAAGTTGTCCTGGTTAAGCAGATTGGAAGTCCTCATTGCCTTGTGCCGCTTTTGCTCTTCCTTTTGCAGCTTGACGAGAAAGTCAAGACTTCCAGTTGGATACGAGGCGACCTGTTCAAAGTGTGAGACACCAGACAAAACAATCCCTTTCAGTGGGGCAACCACAAATGCCTACTCACCTCTGGAATTTTGATGAAATCTTCTTTCACTGGTGTAACTCCATGGACCGGTCTAGTCTCGCCATTGACCGCTACGCCGGAGAGTACCTCGACCATGTTTTGAAGAATCTGAGTTTGGTTGCCGTCAGTAAAATCGGGGGGGGGGGGAAGGACGTGTCTTTGTTGGCTTGAATCCGGGCCAGTCCAAGTGAACGGAGAGAAGTTGCTCTAAAGCCTGAGACTTTGTACAAATCACGTCGCGCCTGGCGTCCCGAGTTGGTCGGACTCGACTGAGACAGCGCGTTCAACTACCGATTTTAACCCACCGTGATCGTACCGCAGTGGGCGGGAAGTTTAAGTCAACATCCGTAGTATTCTTGTCACCGTCACGACCATGGCAATTGCGGTGGGAAGATATTGGCGGAGCATTTCCGTCCGGGTGTATATCGGAAACGTCCTTGGGGGGGGGGGGGCGTCGCATCTCCACTCCATCACACTCCTCCGTCGCCATCTTCAGTCGGTGAACGACTTTCCCAGCGAACCGACGATGCGTACTGATTCGGTCTCGGCATTTGTGATGCTTACCTTTATTAAGTAGTTTGTTAGCCTTTCATCTTGAATGACAACGCCATAAGTCAGTCTTCATCGCCCCAAAGCATAGTCTCCAGCATTACCCAGAATCTCATATTACCAATATACTGTATTCCCTACACAAACTTCCTTTTCAGCGAAAGATGGCCACTACAACTGGAACGGTAACAGAGACCATTCCTCCGGTATGGGGCGAGAAGGCGGACCTGGCAGAGGAGTTGGTTGAGAATGCTCTCAAAGTCAACACCAAGCCCCTCTGGACACAGATGGCACGATTGAACCCTCCAGAGCCAAACCCAAAGTGTGTCCCGTTCATTTGGCGATACGACGAGGTCAGACCGAGCCTCCTCCGGGCCGGAGAAATAGTCACGGAGCAGCAAGCCGAGAGGCGGGTGCTGATGTTGGTCAATCCCGCCAGAGGTATACTTCTCTTTTCCGTCAAGCAGGGCACTTTGTAATCACAAGGGGGGGATAAAAGAATGCTATGGCTAACCACCCTCTGACTCTCCAGATGCACCCTTCACCACAGACACGCTCTACGCGGGTCTGCAGCTGGTGATGCCCAATGAAACCGCCCGCGCGCACCGACACACGGCCTTCGCCATGCGCTTCATCATCGAGGGCCAGGGCGGCTTCACCGCGGTGCACGGCAAACGCATCACCATGCAGCGCGGCGACGTCATCCTCACGCCGACCTGGAACTGGCATGACCACGGCAAGGACGGGTCGGGCCCGATGATCTGGCTCGACGGCCTGGATCTGCCAAACTTCGTCCATTTCCCCGTGCACTTTGTCGAGCATTTTAACCAGCCGCGGTATCCCGCCGCGGACGTGGACTCGAACACGAGCCCGATTGTGTTTCCTTGGAAGGCGATGCAGAAGAAGCTCGATGAGAAGAAGGGGGATTGGGCCGAGGAGGACTATTTGAAGGAGGATGGAAGACCAGGTAAGGAAGACATTCCCCCCAAAGAAAACTCGCGTCGCTTTTCCAGTCCTTCACCATCCTCCCTCTTGTTGCACCAACAAGCAGGAGACCACCGAGCAACTAACACCGCTGGGCCATAACAGTCTCTAAAATCCTCGGCGGTTCTGCCGAACGCTTAAATGCCGGGTGCACATCGCCCGCCGTGAGGGAGACGGCGTCGTCCGTCTACCATGTCGTCCAGGGCGAGGGATACAGCGAGATCGACGGGCAGAAATTCCACTGGAAGCAGGGCGACACGTTCTGCGTGCCCGCCTGGAACAAGTACCAGCACACCGCTGCCGAAGGGTCGGAACCTGTGTACCTGTACAGGTTCCACGACAAGCCCATGTTGAAGTCGCTCGGGTTTTATCGTGTGGAAGGTGTTGACGTTGAGAGTTTGGTGTCTGACTAGAGTAAGCTAGAGTATTGATAACCTGTAATCGATCGCTTTTGAATAAAGGATGCGATTGAGCGCCTTGCTCGAGCCAAGGTTCTTTTCGTGTGTCACAGTATCGGATGAAGATGGCCATATCAGCCTTGCGTCCCTCCAGAGACAAACACACAACGGGAATTCCAAAGAAGCTGCTGGTGGAAACGCCCGCTGCCGTGCTTGCATATCGTAAACCATATAATCTCCATTGAATACAGTGGTAGCTAGCCACACGTGTGTCTTCCTGTAATGCAGAACTCCGCCAACACCAATGCTAAGTTGTCAATAAGGCTAGGTAAGTTCCAATATCATGTCGCAAGTCAAAAATTTCATAGGGTTTCCTGTCTCCTCCTCACCTCTTCTTCCCTGCAAGGTTCATAAGCTTCCGACGCCGCTCCTCTTTCTCTCGCTTCAATTGAGTTTCCAAAGCCAACTCTCGGGCATCCTCTTCCTTCGCAGTCCTGAGAGCTCTCTGCTCCTCTTCGTCCACCTCAAACGCTCCAGCTTCCATATCAGACGACACATCAGAGGCATAATCTTCTTCGTCCTCTCCATATCCGTCCATGTCATCCGAGACGTCCTCCTCGTCGGTGCCGAGGTATTCATTGTAACTCGAACCGCGCTTTGCTGCCGGTTTGGACCGACCAGAAGCAGTACCCATAGTGCCTTTGTAGGCAGATGACGGGGGAGCATGTAATGGCGGCCGAGCGACTTTGGGTACTTTTGGCTGATCCGTCTTTTTCGCGGGACTAACGCTTCGAGATTTATCCTGCCTTTTACCGCCAGTTGCCAGACGGCCACCGCTGGATTTCTCGTTCACAACCTTTGACTTTGCCTCTTCTTGACGTCTTCTCTCAGCCAATCTCGACGGCTTCTCTCGATTTGTTGCCTGGTGCTTGATCAACCCAACTTGGCTTTGTTGTGTTCTGTCCACTTGCGCTTGTTTTGCTCGAGCCATCAGATCTGCGTATGAACCCCTGGCTGGACCTTTGGCTGTTGCGGTGGTTGGAGTGGTTGGCGCAGAACCAGGTTTGGGTGAGGTCACCTGAGCGTCGAGCTTCGGTCTGGGCAAAGGAAGAAATTTTTCATTGGACGGTTTGGGAGCGTTGAGAGGAGGGGCAACAGGGCGTCTCGGGATAATAGTACTGGTTAAACCGGGTGTAGGATTCGGCCTAATGTGCTTCTCAGGCGGTTTTGCAGAGCTGTCGTCGGCCTTCCGCTTTGTGCCATTCAGCGGCGAGGGGCCTGTCGGCAAACCGGGCCGGAACCCAGGCTTGCTGACGTCGAGACTTGGCCGATGTGCATTTGCGCTGAGCGGTCTCGCTGGCGGCTTTGGTGGTGCTGGAGACTTGTCGCTGCCGATTGAGTTGACGATGTCGCTGAAGAGACTCATGATGGGAGGCTGAGCAGTGAGTCAGAGAAACTTGGAAGGTGGTCAAGTCAGAAGGTTCGAGGCCGGGATTTTATGCATGATTCTCGTGTTGGCCCGCGGCCGGCCGGCGCAATCACTGTGAAAGGGTATTCATATGGACAGAAAGAAAGTACCTGATGCAAGCTCTTAAGACGAGTGCGGCTGACGAGTGACACGGAGGAGGGAAAGAGGAAGGCAGAGGAGTGAGTGAAAGAAATAGGTGAAGTCGATCCACGTCCCCGCCTCCAGGTGGCCACTTCTTAGTTGCCATTTGTTTGATGCTTGCAGCTTGACACGCGACTGGTCTGCATCCGGACCCGGCTAACTTGCCTAATAAAATCTGGGTCTTGAATTTCGCAGACCACACACACAACCTCCAGGCAATTGACGATTTCTCTGCGACTTCCCACGAACGAACAATTACCAGAACTCGAAGTGCCAGTCTCCGCCCAAGTCAGCGGTTAAATCGATTGTCTCTCTTGTTCGCCAATTTTCCATTCTCCGTAAGTCAGGGAAGGCCTCGAAACATGTCGCACACTAATATTCTGCGGGAAGAAACAAATTCAAAATGAAGCACCTTGCAGCATACCTCCTCCTTGGCCTCGCCGGCAACAGCGACCCCTCTGAAGACGACATCAAGGGTGTCCTCTCCTCTGTCGGAATTGACGCCGATGAAGAACGTCTCTCCAAATTGCTCGAAGAGTTGAAGGGCAAGGACATCAATGAGGTACAGTGGTTTGTTTCTACTGGGATCTTGGAGAGGATACTGACAACGCTATAGCTCATTGCGGAGGGCTCAACAAAACTCGCCTCTGTCCCGACTGGCGGTGCTGGTGGCGCTGCTGCTCCTGCTGCCGGTGGCGCTGCGGCTGGCGGTGCCGCTGCTGCTGAGGAAGAGAAGCCTGCCGAAAAAGAAGAGGAGAAGGAAGAGTCCGACGAGGATATGGGCTTTGGTCTGTTCGACTAAGCGACAAATCACAACAGAGGCTATGAGAATTGACTACAGAGAATCTACGACCGAATTACAAGGCATACGTGGTCGGAGATGGGAGTGACAATGGCGCTAACAGACGGCACTATTGACCACTTTTGGGTGCACGACCTATTTACGCAAGGCCAAGTCAACCAATGCCATAACGGCGAGCAATGCGAAGGCGGGACATCGCTACCGCAAGACTTTGACTTGTTTCCTTGCTAGGTTAGAAAAAAGCAACCTTCGATACCTCCAATTGATCCGAGTTCATTCAAATTCCACATGATGTCTTCCAATATCCCATAAAACGTGAAAGTGCCGTAGCCCTGAAGACTGAATTCCTTGATGGAGGAGGGCGTATGCCACACAGAAATGATGCCAAGAATTCAAGTCACGTGGTGCACTTTGCCCTAAATTTTCCTGAGAACCTTCAACTTGGCACCCGCGCTATTGTCTGCAATCGTCCTGCATCACCGCCAACTGCACAACCTCATTTTGCCCTCTTCGCTTTCGACGGTCAGATCGAAAAGCGAACCTGCGCAGTCCTCCGGAACGCAATCATGGCCGACACCGACTACGTATGTCTTTTGATCGATCTTGCTACGATCCCAGTGGGATGTGTTTGGGCGTCTTCTAATTAATCTCATGGTTACAGAATGCCGAGGAGGCCGCTGAGCTCAAGAAGAAGAGAACATTCAGAAAGTTTTCCTACAGAGGCATTGATCTCGACCAGTACGTTTTGTTCAACTCTTCGAACCTCCATCTCCCGTCCTCCAAAAGTTCCAGATAGACAAGGGAAAGTGGAAAACGAAATGGAAGGCTAACACACAATCTCGCATGCTAGACTGCTCGACATCCCCTCCAACGAGCTCCTCACAATCCTCCATGCCCGCGCACGCCGCCGATTCAACCGCGGCCTGAAGCGCCGCCCCATGGGCCTGATCAAGAAACTGCGCAAGGCCAAGCAGAACGCCAAACCCAACGAGAAGCCCGACCTGGTCAAGACCCATCTGCGAGACATGATCATCGTCCCCGAGATGATCGGCAGCGTCATCGGCATCTACAGCGGCAAGGAGTTCAACCAGGTGGAAATCAAGCCCGAGATGGTCGGCCACTACTTGGGCGAGTTCTCAATCAGTTACAAGCCCGTCAAGCACGGTAGACCCGGTATCGGTGCTACACACTCTTCGCGGTTCATTCCGTTGAAGTAGACGGCGAATGCCAGAGAGAGGGAGAGAGCAGCGGGTGGAAGAGTCGTGGGCTTCACGGGAGATTCTTTTTTCTCGCACGGCCGATATGGTGGGGCGTCGTGATGGACTTCTTTTTTCATCCGAAATGCATGGGCTCACGGCAGATGGCGGATGTCGATGAAAAGAAAGGGAACTGCGAGGATGCGATGGATCCAAGCGTCTCTGCATGACCCCAAAAGTCAAAAGCTGCAAAATGAAAAGGACGGCTCTTGACGTGAATCATTAGGAGAGGAAGATGAACGCCGTATTTGAACAGAAACCCAATGTGCTCCCTCGCCCCGTGTGCATTATCCATCTTTGCCCAGCATTGCCTCTGAAGCCCTCATCACCTCGCTATGCAAAATCAAAGTACATTGTGTCAATAGTGGTACAATGTTTCGTTTTGCTGCGCCCCATTATTCGTACTGTCACTGCGAGCCTTCTTCCTTTTCGGTACCGTCATCCTCCACCACTGGAGAGCCAGCGGTGGCTGGAATCGTGTCCATGGCTGCTGCCTCATCCGAACCAGTCGGCTGGCACAGCACCTCGCTCATGCCTTGTATCTCTGGGTCTTCCTCGATCAATTGCTCGATCTCACGGTGCCTCCTCTGAGCACGGCTCATCTCCTCTTCGTCCTTGTCCTTGTCCTCATCCTCGCCCTCTTCCACCGTCGTCTGCTCCTTTGCCACTTGTTCCTCATGTTCAGGAGTCAGATCCACGACGTTGGTTGTGTCAGAGCAGGGAGGTGGATCAGGGCCGGCCTCCTGGTCCTCCGGCTGGGCGTCCGCAGAGCTTTCAGACAGATTCAACAGCCCGTTCAACTCCCCTTCGACCTCGCTGACCCCATTCATGGGTTGCAAGATCTCGCTATTCTCCCTTTGCAAGATATTTTCCCTGCTCAGCGGCGTCCCCCGCTCGGCAACGACGATCGCTTCCCTGTGTCGCCTTCGCAAATGCTCCTCTTCCTGGCTCCTCTCGGCGGACCTCAGTCTAGCGCCAGCCCTAGTAATGGTCGATCGTGCAGGTTCGTCCCAGAGCGTGATGTTGTCCTGAGGAGCGGCGGCGTTGCCGAGAATCAGCCCTGCAGTGTCTTCGCCATTGACCATTCTTACATCGTTGTCTTCGTCGGCATCTGCGTCGCCGTCGGCCCAGCCCGACGAACCCCATCTCGCGTTCCACGAGTCCCGATCACTGCGCCCCATGTCCATATTCTCTTTGTAACTGCTTGCACTCAACCCGATTTCACGCATCTGTCTCCTCGCTGGAGGATACTGCATCACCTCGAGGATGACGTCCCCCATGAGAGGGTCGTCAGAAAGCCAAGCCGTACGATCAAACAATCTCGCCACATCGCATCTTCTGAAGTTGAACTCCGAGTTCTCTGGCAAAGCACAGGGGAAAGGGTAATTTGCTAACCACTTGGTGACCAAGCCCGCGTGCAAGGCGGTATCCATGACTTCTGTGTAATGTATGTCGCGCCGCGAAAGGCTGTGGAGCACATTGGTGAAGATTTCGAGCAACTGAGCTTCTTGAGAGGGCCGGCGACTGGGACGGATGGGTGACTGTGGCGGCGTTTTCTTCTTCTCTGCCGCGATGGCCGTCTCTTTTTTACCCTCTTGGTTGATGTGAATATTATGCTGGGGAAGCACATTAATCAAGCCACGAACAACCGCCGTGATGGCCTTAGCGTCTCGAAATTGACCGGATATCGAATCGTTGAGCGCCGGGTGAGTGAGAAGCATGTGTAAAGCGTTAATGGCATTCTCGCGGCGATTATGGTCGTTGCTGGCCAGATCGCGCAATAATAGTTCCCTTGTGCGAGATCTGACGGTTCGGCTGGCAACGATCTTGATGGCCGAGGTGCGTAGATCATAACTATATCCGTCTGCGAGTGTGCGTAGAGTGTCGAGCTTCAGCGAGTTCTCAGAATCCTTCTGGAGACGCTTGGCCGGGGGTGGAGGGTCTGGTGGTGGCGCTCTTGCTGCGTCTTTGACTTGTTTGAGCAAAACTGGGACTGTAAAGCATGCTGTTCCCAAGCCTAGGATTAGGGCAGTTAACAAAAAGCGGTTCGAGCTCAGGAAGGACATGGCTGATAATACATCGACAAGGAAGATGGAAAAGAGGAAACAAGAAGCAGATCATGACGAGACAAGGCTGAACAAGGCTGAAGTCCCTCGTTCGGGTCATGTTCGGCGAATCTTCCCACTATGAGAATGATGCACTGTCTACGCCCGTGGTACAGAAAAACAACACAGAGTAATGCCCAATGAAGGAAGAAGTACTGATTCTTACAATTGTCACAATACTAGGCCGCTCAACTTCAATCATGATCTACCTCCGTCGTCCCGGGGCACCCTTCCATTTTCTCATCTGGGTACCTGTATTTGCACCAAAAACAATAGTTCCACCTTTCTCGAAGATATGCCACGAGCTTTGACAACTTCTCCGGCACCTCGAGGGCCTCGAATTCATTAAGTTCTTCGTCTTCCTCGTCAAGATCAACGTCCACCTCCTCCACTTCCGCCTTCCTCCCTAATGCCATCCGGTCCTCCTTTTCTTCATCAGGATCGATGTAATCAGGCCGTCTCGACAGAGACTGGTGGAGGTCATACCTCATCCTTCGATCGCGTTCATTAATGGCTCTCTGCTTGACGAGGCTGCGCCATAAGACGTTGATGCTCTTCAACGGCCTGGGCCTTCTTGGCTCTGCAGTGTCAGTTTTCTGATCGAGGGACTTTTCTCCCTCATCCTCCTCGTCCAGCCTTTCGCAAACCTTCATCGCCGCCCATATTTGAACTTCCATCTTCTTCTCTTCTCGTTCTTTCTGCTGCCTTTCCCGGAACTCGCCGGCCTCGACCTTTCTCTTCTTGCCCGCTTCTTGCTGTGCTTCCACCTCTTCTCTGAATTTGCGCTTCTTTTCTGCGTCGGCTCCGATTCCAGAACGGGAATCTCGTATTTCCAGACCGATAGGTTCGAGGAGGCGATCGTCTTTTTCGCCATCTGTGGCTGCTCTAGATGCGCCCAAAGCACTCCCCGGTTTGTAGCCCAATGCAGCCATCATTTTAAAACCCTTGTTGCTTGTGTCCAGCGTGGTGGTATTCAGTGCCGACTCCCGCTTCTTTCGCTCTTCCTGCGCGACTTCGGCCTTGGACTTTGGTCGGCCTTTGATTTCGGCTTCTCGAGCAAGCCGCCTTTTCCGCTGGGTCAGGGTCTCGCCCCTCTTAGAGGTTGTGTCGTCTTCGAAGGTCATGTTCATGTAGTCGTCCTCATCGCTCGCGGCCTCAGGGCCGGTCTGTGAGCCCATCCTGGGACCCGATTTCGCGAGTTACGCAGCTTTGACGCAGTGCGGCCGCGAGGTAGATCTGCGCAAGGTCAATATCCTACGCAAAAATTGTCCGCTGTAACGAATCACTTGAGCTGCGTTTGCAAAAGTTTCCAAGGCCCTACCCAGGAAAGAAGATAGAGATGGAGGGGGAAATAAAGGTCTCTGTCTGAGTGCTTCTTACCGTCGGGGCCCTGGATCATTCAAGGCTCAACCGCCCACGCTGGGGAAGAGACTGCCTAGTCGAAGATGAGAGAGAACGCGGCAAGAACGCGGTAAGGGAATATGGAAATGGGAATTTAGCCTTATGGTCACGTGCCAAATATAAAATGTTCATGTAATTAACCCCCCTAGATTTTGACTTGAAATTGTCCCGAAAATGGCTTCACTTTATGGACACTTTGATGTGAGTTTATTACCACCACCACCGCTGCACAGAGTTGGCGCTCAACGCTAACTATTTTCTAGCCTGTGACGCAGTGGTTAGCGTGTCGTTCTTATATTGTATGCTCCCGTCGCATCCAGTATGACTCTTTCGAGCAATGCGAAAGTCGCGAGTTCAAGTCTCGCCAGGATCACTTTTCTTTTTCATATTTGGTCTTATCGCAAGGATTTTCTTTTTGCATCTATACAAATATCCATGTACGGAGTAATCTGACATAATATGTAGTCATCGCCAAAAGAGCGTATGCCTCCAATACCGATTTGATCATGCCAACACCGCTATCATCTAGTACATCCAGCTCAGTGAAGCCATTCCTTCTTCTCTTCGCCCCTGTCGACCTCATAATCCAGCAACAAACCGGAAATAGGACTTTCCCAAGACCGATCCAAGCACCCAGAATACCAACATGTAACCCAAGTCTATCATGGGTGTCGAACAACAGCGTCCGGCTTGCATATACAACCTGCCTCGATCGCCACGCGTATCTCCACTTGAAGAACCCCGGAGCCAGATCCAACGCGTAAAACCCTGTTGATGCGTCGGTGACGCCATCCAGAAGATGAGCCACAGCGCTGTTCAAGGGTTGACCGAAGATCATTGCAATATTTTCGCACGCAAGACCATACCTAGCCAATTCATCATCCAATAGACGACGAAAGTGGCGTGGCCGAAATGATTTGTGTTATTTGCGACGTCAGTTTCCAACCAGGCGTTCTGACCAGGCGGCGGCTTGCGTGATAAAGGGAAGTGAAAGGCTAGGCCAACGAGACTATAGCAGAGCGAGAGACAGAAGTAAGCTATGATCGTCGAGAAGTAGCGCCAGGTGACCAAGTGGATGAATTTCAACGGTGGATGAGGGTCGGAGGACTCCTCGAGGACAAGTTTCATATGCGTCGGGATGAAGAAGTCGAAAGAGAAGGAAGCAAAGATTATGAGGTAGATGAGACCAATGCTCATGGCGGGAATCGCACGTCAGAGGATCTAAGGAGGATGTTAATGATCACCGTGTTTGATGCAGTTCGGGAGGGATTTGGACTCACCAAAAGGCCGCAAGTTGAAGATACTGAAGGCAACACCATGCGCTAAAGCTTATGGAACATAAAAATATGCTTTGTGGCAGAGAACTGTTTTTGAGAACAGATTGCGTCCAGTTGCAGCCAAAGGCAAAGCTAATATCGAGGCGAGACGAGTGAGCACAGGTGTAATATACTGGTTGGAGGCTTCGATATCTCTGGCCTGATTGACAACAACGGCACCTACACCAAAAGGGTCGTAGGATGTATTTCCGTTTTGACGGCTTGTCTCAGTAGTGCCATAGCATTGTTGTTGACGATGATTGCTCGTAGGTATCACTCTTCATGGACTGCCAAGCGTACTGCAACAGGGTCACGGCTGAATATGGCAGGATCCAGGAACTCATAGCCCAGCGGATATCTCTAAGGCACGCCCGTGCGTGATTGCTGCTCGATCGAAACGACCAAAAATCAGCTCAACGGTCTCGTAAGGAGGTAAAGTTGCATCGGAGTCGACCACGGCAATGGTGGCAGAGCGAAGGCTCTCGCGCACTCTGAAAACGACTCCCAATATATCGATAGAAGTCCAAGGACAAAACCGCAAAGCATGATGACTATTTCGAGTTAGCAAGAGGTAATGAACAGGAATACTAGAAGCACGGGTGCATCAATGAATACTTCAGAAATACCGCACTCAAGTCTTGGAGAGGGAAGAATCAAAGAAGCCCACGACCGACGGAGTACGAAGGCAATCGTCTTCTTCGAGATCTTTCAGAGATAGGTCATGTCCTTCTTCTTCTTCTGCCAGAGTGCCGCTCGACGGGTTGCTCTGATCAATACTGTTGTTGAGATTGGGAAATCGCAGGATAGTGATGTAACGAAGAGAATTATCTGGACGGGGAACATTGTGGACAACCAGAGAGTTGTTGCTTGTCTGGTTCGACCCAATTGCACTGCTAACATCTCCCGTGTTCGACTCAGGATATCCGTCCGGCTGTTTTCCCTGTCGCCCACCGCCCCGCCGCATTGTACTCCCCATAGCTTGCCATCGGCAATGAAGTCTTGAGATTCAAGTGAGAACTGTATATTGTGTCGGATTTGAGGAAGACTTCAGCCCGAAATACGAGGGAAAGAGCCATCAGTCCAAATCGTCAGGATGGACTGTCCACAACCCCGTTGATTCCTCTAACCCGCGATTCATCTCGAGGGGAGTCCGTAGCTCGAGTTTGTTGTTTTTATTACCTTTCTTGGAACATTGAATGCCATTAATAGGAAGGAGGGGAGTGGCTCGCATTCCGACCACCAGTCCTTTGCCGGGATGAGATGCTGCCAAAGAGTAATCCTTCCAATCCGGCTCCCTGCGTCCAGCTTAGCACAATGATCCATACCTATTGATGAATGATTGTCATAAAGTTTTAGTAGCTGGTGAGCTTGTGGACGGAATATGTAGGCGACACGGTCTGGTAAGGTGATCTTCCTTGGTAGGTTGCTGGCTATTTGAAAACTGAAAGCCATTCACCGTTAGACTGGAGAGATGACCTTTTCTGAAAGTTTATGTTTGTGTTTAGCAGCAGCGGCGCCCTCCCCTGTGCTGATACTGTTAGTTGTTTCTGGCAGAGTGGTGGCTTCGCCCTCGAGCATTCTCGAGCTTGTACAGCGTAAATCCGTGCTTAGACAGTCACAGTGGCCCCCATTGGTAGAATGACTTGCTGAATGTTGATTCAGCTCGTTCATGAATGCATCGACGCGTTCTTTTGATAAATTACCGAGACAGCACGGACTCGTTCATCTGAATCCGAGTGTCGAGGTAATGAATGCGTGGAACATTTGACGACTGGCTGGGAAACCCCACATTCTAAATTGTACTTTGCAAGGCTCTCGGGAGACGTTCTTCAGCCCACAGTTGAAGACCAGGCGAACAGGGTACATATGATTCAAGAATCACGAGTAGACCTTGCGTCAAGTTCAACACTAAGCTGATCAAAATTTCAATAGAAGCTTCCCGGCAATTGTAACCGAAGATCGCAGCTGCGAACAACTTGACGGAGAAAGCCAAAAAAAAATAAGGTCCATCAAAAATCGTGACATGTTTTCATGCGATGGGTCGGGCGATACGATAACATCCCGATATCCTAGCTACTACTGAGTCCCTAGAATTTTCCCTTTCTCTTCCTTCTCTCCCTCTCATAAGCTTTCGCTTCATGTCCTTCCTCCCCCTGGATCTCCGCTACCAACCTCTTATATTTCTTTTCATACTCTTCATCTCTCCTCTTCTTCTCTTGCAACTGCTGTCGCGCGATGAAATTGGCATCTTTCCGCAACTCTCTCATTGCTCCCTTCCTCTCCTTCTTATGCTCAGCTTTCAATTTAGAGAGCTCAGCGCGATGGCGGTCTGGGTCATAGTGTCGGTCGGGGTTGTAGTTCTCGATGAAGGAAGGTAAGGAGGATTTTATCGCGAGTGGGCGGTGGTTGTGTAAGAGAAGGGGAACCCGTAATTTGACCGATGCGGACTGGAGGGTGCGAAGGGTAGAGAGCGCGGTGCTGCTTAGTTTGAGAGTTCGCAAAGGGAGCGTTTTGCCTTGATGTTCGAAGTAGCTGAGGGCGTGGACGAAAGGCTGGATAAATTCGGGAAATGAGGACTTTTGGCTCCAGAGTGAGGCGGCTTGCACCGTTAGACGGATGAAAATGTTAAGAAGAGCAAGGCCTTGTGTAGGCTCGTTGTCATCATTTTGACCCATGATGAAGTCTTTGAATGATAGCTTCTCTGGTACAATCGCAGAGGTCAATTTTACCCGCAGGGGTGTGGCTGGCAATCTGATGGGAACGTCCAACGGGTGGCCGACATCGACTTGTTCCGGTAGTGGTGTCGGTGAAAGGGTAGCCAAAGCATTGGTAACGTACGCGATCACTTCTGGAACATATCTTTTTGCAAGTCGCTGGTATCGAAGTGCAAGCGAACAGCAATAAGACCCAGTACTGAGGTCGCGAAGAGATTGTATCGAGCTCTGCCCAAGATACCGTCCAACGGTGAGCATTGCGGGCGTGACTACAGAGTGGAAATGATCTGAGGTCGGGAAGATAGTCGAGACACCGGTCAAGATGACAAGATCTCCAGGAGACAACTGAAGCGGCCTCTCGTCAGCAATGTTTTGGAGATGTGTGCGGAAAGCCGCGCCGACGGCTTCCGGCGATGATTTTGCCATTGAATGTAAGTGTCGAAGGAGGCTTTCGAGAACAGGAAATGTGACATTGTCGGTGTTCCCCAGAAACGCAATATGCTGGGTTAGTACACCAGCGAAAGTGTCAAGCTTTTCTTGATTGCCCTCGGCGAGACCTTTGTGGTAGAGTGCACGAATTCTTTGCACGATCGTTGGCAAGTCTGCGACCTCGGAGTCCTTAACCACTTCCAAGAATTCTTCGTGTGACTGGGGACAGGGGAAAGTGTAAGCGAGGTTGCTGCTGGTTGGAGTCTTAGTCGCTGTCTTTGTTGCGCTCTGTACCTCCTGTGGCAAGACCAGCCCGTTGATGAAATCGTCATCGCCGTCGTCTTGAACGTCGCTTTCGGATCCAGATTCTTCAGAATTTTGTTCGCTGGCCATCTCAGGTTCCGAGTCCGAAGCGATTAAGTCGTCATCAAGAAGGAATTCGTCTTCATCTTCAACATCGAGTTCCTTCTTAGAAGTAGTATCGAGGTCGGGAGCGGACAGGCCAAATGCTTCCGCGTCGTCGACATCAACATCTTCGTCTGGCCCTGGCTCGTCATCTTCGTCATCCTCGGAGCTCTCTGCTTCGCCCTTCATTCTGCGTATCCTCTTGCGCTCGAGCTCTTCGAGTCTAGCTGCCTCCTGGGCGGCTTTCTCTTCGTCAGTTTTGGTCCGTACACTCGGTTTTGAGCGAGTCTCCAATTTCAGCTGTCTGAGATTGGCTTCGTACTCCTTCTCGGCTTCTTCCCTGCTCTTTCCTGCCAACATTGCAGCACGAGAAGGATCCATGTGCGGCTCTACAACCGCACTTGATACTGGCAGACGTTCCTTGTCCGGGACTTTTTGCCCTCGAAGCGCTTCATAGAAATCGGCCATGCCTTTGTCCAGCTCCGCTCGAAGATCGTCGTCATCAGCCTTGGCAGCTTGACGCTCGGCTTTGTACATTTTGGACTTTGCGATGATTTCTTTCATTACCTCATTCTTGGTCTTCTTCCTCTGCGGATGACCTTCTCCATCCTCCTCTTCGTCATCGACATCGTCGGTTTCGGCGAGGCGCAGCCTTTTCCGAGGTCTATCATCCTGATCAAAATCTCCGTCTGCATTTTGCAAGTCCTTCACGTTATCATCATCAAAGTCATCTTCGGCACCATCCCCAAAGTCAAGTGATCTTCCGCCATGTGTAAGCGTCATTCCCTCCTCGCTGTCATCCTCAAGATTGAACATGGAATTTTTCTTCATCTTCCGCTCATTCTGACGTGCAAACCTTTCGGCTGCTCTTTGCTCGGGGGTCATCGTGGGGTCATTCTCTCCGAACCGTCGATCGAGCAGTCCGCCCACCTTGTTGCGACTTTGTATCTCTTTCAATAATGTCTCTCGCCGCCGCTCTTCACCCAGGCCACGTGTGACGCCCGGCCGGCCGACTGTGGGTTTGGTATTCTTTGCATTGACAAATTCATACTTTGCCTTTCGGGCAGGTGCCTTGACCTCGAAGGGATTGAATCGTTCTCGAATGCCCTCGAGAGCGGCATTGCGCTGTGCTCGCTTTTGCGCATCTTTGGAGTTCGATTTTCTCTGTTTCTTTGACTTTTGAGAACCAAGGACACCGCTCTCATGCAGAGATGCCTTTAACTGCTTAAGCTGCGAGGGCGCCATTTCGGACGTACTTGGGGAAATTTACGCACTGGAACTCTTGAAATTGAGTCGCCGCAGTCAAAAAAGTTTCGGCTGCGAGGGATGAGGAAGGTATGCCGATGGACGAGGCTGAGTGAGGCTGAATTATCGATTGTCTTAGAGCGGCCACATTTTTCCACCGCAGCAAGTCAACAATACTAAGTACCCATCTCACCATGTCACAACTATCGGCAAAAATACACTTAAGGCCAAATTAGTGTCTCCCAGAATATCTAAATGAAGGTGGATGTGCGCAATTCGGACATTGGCGACTGCGATGCTCTTGAGACTGCCCTTCGTTTTGCTTCTTGCAGCAAGTGGACACTTTCGTAAATTTTCCCACTGCTTCTAAATAAATCTTTCTCTATATGTGCGGATTATCGTTGGTGATCGCCCATCCCATTAATAGTGTTGAGGGTATTTCTCAAGCTTTTTGTCTCCTTTCCCTAGGGTTATCCGCATGGGGTCATACCCAACCATTTTCTGGTACTAATCTAGAGGATTGAACCTGGGTCTTCGCGAGAAGAATGTATATCGATTGTCCGAGAAAGACAGAGAGGTATGTCGACGAGGGAAGAAATCCAGCCGTTTCCATCGTTCATCTATTTCGTCTTCTGCGCCTTGGAGCCTCGGTAGTAACGTTCAACGACATCTAATCCCGTCATCTTCTTCAGTACTGCATCAAGCGTCCCCACGGGCAAAAAAGAACACAGCCATACTTGTAACGCATTTCCTCCTCGCCATACGTGGATGGGAGGATGCCGTTTCGATAAGTCTCGAACAACTTTCGTGGCCCACTCATCTGCTGGCATTTCAGTAATATTGATGTCCGTCCGCATAAACTTCTCGACCGGTTCTTTGCCAGGCAGATAGAGCGAGTCTTCGGGTAGTGTCAAACTACCCTCCGAAGAGCCTCCTGACGATGAAGCATTGGCGAAAAAGTTCGACCGTACAGCCCCGGTCTTCAGGTCGATGACTTTAATGTTGAAGGGTTGTAGCTCCTGCCGTAGCACTTCAGATAAAGAAGCCAGGGCAGCCTTGGTGGCACTGTAGGGGCCTTGAAGAGGCACAGGCATGATGCCTGCGCAAGAAGTGTTGTTCACAAGCAAGGCGCCGTCCTTGGCGTTGCGGAGAAGAGGAAAGAACAGTTGGCTCATGCGGAGAGCGGAGAGAGTATTTATTTCAAACAGCTTGGAAACTTCAGATATCGAGGCATCCAGAAGTGGAGTGCTGTAGCCTTGTCCGGCATTGTTGACCAGGATGTCGAGGGAATTGTTCGTCAATTGGGAAGTAGCTTGGACTGCTGTTTTGATGGAGTCCTCCGAGAGGACGTCAAGCTGCAGAGTCTCGATACCCATGGCCTTGAGAGAGGCCATTTTGGCGGGGTTTCTTGCGGTTGCAATGACGCGATCGCCATTCTTGTAAAAGGCGATGGCGAGGGCAGCTCCAAGGCCACCGTCAGAGCAGCCAGTGATCAGCACGGTACGAGCCATTCTTGAGACTCGTTGTCTTATATTATGGAGCTGTTGAGCGGTTGGCTGAATAGTAAGAATAGTAAGACTTATCAAAGTTTACAAGTTGGAATTTGCAGCTTCGGCCCGGCCAAACAGAGCTTAATACTAAGCGGCACTAACCTGTTTCGAGAAAAGCGTTGCCGCCCTGTGTATGCCGTCTGTCGCGAGGCTGAGAGATTCAGGAGCGTTTCAACCCCTTGCATTCCGTGAAACAGGAGCACAATCAGAAAATCACAGCCAAACTCTGCATTTCATTCACCCTATCTCGCGAGATGACCAATTCCTCGTCATGCCGGCCCAATTTCTCGACATCGTATCATAATATCTTTCAAGTATTAGTATTAGTCACGGCCAAGATCTTCCGAGCTCGTACATCTGATGCCGAAAGGGTCGACCCAGGTAATCTGGGAAAGCTCGTACCAAAACAAGCTTGTCAGACGGCAAGGTTTGCGTCTTCACAACTGACCACATAGTCTACTGTGAACTTCTGCTACCCGAAAAGTGTGTCCGGCGGTACTCAAGCCTAACCTCTGTCATAACCCGTAATAGTAGCCTCATGTTTCGACTTGATGGAAGCTGGTGGTCAATTTCAATCTTCTCTTTCAATACAGAATTGAGCAAACTTATCGGATGGACAACATAGACCTTGATATGTACACACTCTGCTCGCCTCGAGTGCATTTCACTTCGGTTCCAGGGGCGGAGTGTTTACACACAAAAAGCTGGTCCATGGGGTGATTATGCAGCCCGTCAGATCATCTCCATGTCACTATCTGTTCGACTCGTACAAACAATGGATCTTCTGAACTCAGCTGTCGGCATATATGTCATTCAACGAAGCTCGCTTTCGAGGGTCTATATCCAACATCTTAGACACAATGGCGACCGCCTTTGAAGGAAGACGGTCGAAAAATGTCTGACTCAGTGGTCAGTAGACTTCAGTACACCAGCCTAAATTCACAGAATTGACACTCTACTCACGGATGAAGTTTGCGAGCTTACGAATACTCTGGAATCCTCATCTGATACATGAGGTCTCTCCCATGGTAGCTGTCTCAACGTCATGGCGTAATAGACCATAGCGAGAGACCATATGTCTGCAATTCTCGGATCGTATTTTAAGCTTCTAAAACCCTCAGGGGCCATGTACGGATCTGAACCGATAATATCTGCCGGAGTTTAGCAGTTCTCTCAACCGTAGAAATTAGTTCACGAACATACCATAATGTAGCAGAACTTTTTGTTCGAGGAAGTCGTATGCCAGAACGGCTCGACCGAAGTCCAGCAGTTTCAGCTTGCCATGAGAATCCATCATAAGGTTCTCGAGTTTCAAGTCTCTGTGGGCGAATCCATGCTGATGTACATGTGCTACAGCGCCTATGAGCTGTTTGAACAAGCATTCTGACTCAACCTCAGATGAGTTTCCTTGAGCAACAGCGGCGAAGACACTCTGAGGGTAATATTCCATTACTTCAAACCATATTTCATCTTTCTCTTTGAGATCGAACACCTGAACAATGCTGTCGTGGTCGCTAACCCTCTTCGTTATAGAGTGCTGTCGCAGGATCTCCTTCCGGTAGTCTTCGAGGGTGCTGTGTTCTTTCGGATCCCACGCATCAAAGACTTTGACTGCAAATATCTCAGTTTCAGATGCTTCGCACAAATAGACTGATGCTGTTGAGCCTCTTCCAATAGTTTCAACCCGTGATCCATATCTTCGAAGGCTTGATGGCAGAGCCGTAGTAGTCACCGCGAACGCGTTAAGCCAAAGAGCGACAGCGTAAAGTAGTGTGCTATGGTGAAACAAACATCTTATAAACATGCCCATAGTTGTTCGTAGGATTGTATCTGCGAAAATTTGACAGCTATATGACGCGGGACAAGTAGGCTAAGAGAGTTAGACATATACAATGCAGCGGTCCTTACACACCAGTCCGAGGTCTTCCAACGCAGTTAGTACGCTCGTGTAAGAAGTATGATCATTGCGAGGGCCTGGAATAGAAATCTCAGCAGAGTGACAAAGATATAGCCATTCATAATAACGAAGCTACTTAGTTTAAGCTTTAATCAAGGAGTACCTCGTGTAAAGGGGTAAGCGCTAACTCAGGTTGTATATTCGCACTACTTGTTCCTAGGTCCTGTCGGCCTCCGTAAGACGTTAGTTAAACTTTAACTTGTCTAACGCCTCATTCGGGATCTGTCTTGCGACGTTATGGAGCGGGCATGGAAACCAAAAGGTTTTCACACAGTAAAGTTTCATCTTTATCGCAAGCTTCCAAGGAAACCATACCATCTCTCCCGCCATCTTTTTCAATGATTCGAGGAAAAATGACGCGAGAAGCCGCTTGCAGACCGTTGCCTTCGTGCTTATGATATTTCTCATACTGTAACAAGGCAAAGTGGCTGTGCTGTGATGGGTTGTGCTGGGCTGGTAGAGCGGTGGCAGGGAGGAAAAGTTGTCTAGTCACATGTCAAACCAAAATGGGCTGGCAGAGAGGGGGGTGCGGAACAGTTTACAGTGCTGGCAGTGTGCCATTCTTTACAGTTTGAGCAGAGTATCATGAATTGAATGGTTTTGATGCCGTCGCCGTCAGCCTATTCTTGAGTGTTTTATTAGTCCTGTCCTGTTCCTCGATGCTGCCGCTGTGCTAGGTGTTCGTAGCTCTAGCCGCTGCCCCTCTGGGTGGTGTTGGTGTTGTCTTGTCAGTATCAACCAGAAACGCGTTCTCGATTCCCGATCTGCTGGACAGGCCTCTGTGCGTTGTTGCACGTGCACGCCGATGCCTTGAAGTGCTCTGTTACAATACGGACTGTGGTTACCAGAGGAGAGCAAGATGGGAAATGGTCGAGGGCAAAATAGGCCGTTGATAGCTAAGATGTATATGGATCTCTTGGGTTAATCCATGCACACCCTCATCTGAGTGTTTATTAGGCAAATGTGGCAGATGGTAGACACCAGTTGTTGAGAATATGAAAGTCTCCCTCATGTCAGCTCCATTGATTGGAGTGGCTCTTGTTTGAAGTCTTCCTTCCGACAGTAAGAGAGACAGACATATCGACCTTTTATGTCCATCAGGATGGACAAGGCACAGGCTCGGCGTAAATTGGATCAATATGATCGGTAAGGGATGGTCAGTGACCCTCCCGCACCTTGCGTGAAGCTGTCAACTAGCATGCCACGTTGCGATCTGCTCATACACTACCGAAGACTGCAGGTCGTTTCGAGATGGCCGTGCGACCACGAATAAGCTGCAGGCTCGCCCGCATCCGCGAAATAATGTATGGCGACACTCGAACCCACCCGTCTTTCAATATTGCCGCACTCACTTTCTACGGTCAGGGGCGGGCCGCGGCACAGCTTTGGCGTTACATCTGGTCCTCGGACAATGAAGGCGAGTGTAATCGAATAGACATCATTCTGCTGCTTGTTTCCGTCAACAATCACAGGCGTACTGGCATCGTTGATGAAGGAGCACCATCCACAACCGCCATCCGTGGACTTTTTCCAGTGGTCTGGTACTCGGTCCAAGGCTCAACCCCCGTCAGCATGCAATTTGCGTACTCACCGCTACGTACGTAGTGACAGCAAACTGGTTCTGAGACTTCGCGCTCAGGATGGCGAGAACGAGGAGGGTTCTAGCTCGCGGATGAAAGCCAGGGTTTAGCGACATGCTCAATCCTAATCATGTGCCACATTGCAAAGTCACTGAACGTGCGAGAGAAAAAAAAAAGAGAGGGCCGCAGTGTTTACCGAGCAGAGTTGCCGCAGACGCAAAGGGGCAAAAGTCCACGAAACCACGTTCAGTCCAAGTCAAGGTACGCAGCTTTACCTACTTTCCCAGATCTCTAAGGGGGAGCGCGTCTAAGAGCGGTGCCACCAAACACCTAATCGCTTGACGCGTTGAGGCGGTCTCACTATACCGCGTATATCCGAGTAAGCAGCCGTTAAAAGCGACAGCGCGCCTGGCGAGGAACTATGCCCAAACGGATTTCCCTACACAACCCACCACAACCTCCCATTCCTCGAGTCTGCGGCGCGTCGACTGGTCAAACCGTTCTGTCAACACCGCATCACACCAACATCCTTCGCAGGAGAGGCGCCTTCTCGTGGCGTGGGGTGCTAGTACTCCTGAGTTCCTCCTTGAGAACTCCTTCTCGAGCAGATGCAACTCAGGAGGAAGCCAAGATCTCTCTGAGCGTCAACCCTGCCGGCTGCTCCCTCAAAATGATCGACAACTATGGCGACCATTGACTCTCAGAGAGCGAATCCTGCGTTTGTGATAACACGTTTTGCTTGAAGTCCCCTCAATACCAGACGGTCATCAGTCTAAATCTCACCTTGGAGCTACGCGACACAGTTGACGCTCTCTGCAATCAATAACTTGAGCTGCAGCACAGGCAACCCGTCCCTCTTTCCAAGTCGAACGATATAACCTCTTCTACCGCTACTCCAGCTTATCCATCGTATGGATGCCTTGAAATCCACAGCTCACTCAGATGATCTCCACAAAAGAGGGCCTAATATACACTGTCAAGGAGATAACCTCATATACTCGGTCTGTGTGGGTCATTGCTCCAGCAGCTCCTGAACTTCTCAAGCGCGATCCCAACCTATATATATATATATATATATGTGTGTGTGTATACCCAAAGATAGCTACCGATATACGAGGGCTACCGAGACCAAGTGCGCTCGTCACTGCTATTTCCACGCAGTAGGACGGTCATCAGCCTTCATAGCAGGAGCTCGCAGCATAGCTGCTCTGTACGCGCCTGGACTGACCAAAGGAACTTCAATCAACTATCAAGATGACTTCGACAATCACGCTAGAACTCCTGCATCCTCAGGATTGCTTCGATGGACAACCTAAACAGTTAGCATCGGTCCCTTTCAATGGTAAGGGCACCTTTCAGCAACCCCTTCGATGGCACTTGCAGGACCCGCGCCAGAAGTCGCATCGAGCGCAGCTTGCATGCGATTACTATGGGACCAGAAAAGCCAGGTGCGACGAGCAAAAGCCTTCTTGGGATTGTATGGATGATGGAGAGCACTACAACTACAGCCTCCCGGCCTCTAAGTCTGGTGGCAGTTGTCCTTTCCTTCAGACAGAGGGTGTCTTGACTATAATCAGCAAGCGCGGGGTGAGCGAGCCAAATCCTTACCCCAAGACAAACGACATTTCTGTAGCAGACGATACCCAGAAACCGACGCCCAGCAACGCGGGAGCTGCAAGCAACCCGACGTCTCAAGCAGTGGCGAGATGAATGAGCTTTTCGTCATCTCTACAGCAGTAGGAGGCGACATCAGAGGTAGCGGTGGTGATGAGGGTGTTGCATTCTTACACTACAGGGTTCGACTTCCCCTAGAGAGAGATTGTGGACGACCTTTCCATGATTACAAAATTTCTCCATACGTGGAGCCGGGTTGTCAGAGTTGCGAGACACCAACAGTGCGCCTCGAATACGAAGGATTCGGTATGGACAGCTATGTGGACGGCGACATCGACAGCTATAAGATTATCCTCGTCCGAAAGCCTCTGTATAAGATCTCAGGACTTACAGTACTGCTGCTTGCATGTTTGTGCAGTATGCCCTCGACACATCTGCCGTGCTTCTCCCCAGGCAATGCTCAGCAATCGACCAACACGTCCACTGCCCTGACTTGAGTGTCCACCTGAGTAAAGAGGATCAAGATGGCCACCTGGCGGTATTTTTCCAAATGCCGCGCTAAACTTACCCAACTCGCGCGGATGCCGCAACGCGAAACCTGCTTTTATCAAACGCGTGACTCTCCTGTATATATATTCCATTTCTACCTCAAGGCTGGTCTCGGGGTGATTATACCAGAGTCTAAAAAGGTGCTGGAGACTATACGTCGCACTACGATATTGTATCCAAACTCAAATGTATGCTCTATTGATGCCAGCGCTGACTCCCCAACGACAACCACAGAGGCCTCTCATGCTTCATATCCCTTGACATGACCAATCCTTTCAACATATTATCGGACATTTACCTCTCTCTAAACAACGATAATCCCGAGATGTTTCGTTGTGCCCTTGGGAGTGATACTACTGGAAAGATATACTGGGCCGGAAGGAAATCCAGGAGATCCTAGGCTGCGACCTTGAGCGAGGAATTCATCTGGGACGCACAAGACATTTCACTGGGACCTCGCACATCTTCTTTCAAACATGCCAAACACTCAAGAGCCCAAAACCTTTTCCAATTCTCCCAAAGATGTTCGACTGGAAATCTTCGACCATGTTCTCGCGGGAGAGCACATCGCCGTCGAGCCGATTGCCGACGACCACTACGAGGTATGCGGGCGCCTCTCCGAAAATGATCTACTGAGTAACATGGGGTTGTGTCCGGTGGCCGAGGACAACAAATATGACCCGGGCCCTTAGACATCCCAGATATTGTCGCGGAAAGAGTCCCCCCTATTGTGAGGGCTGGTGGCACACTGTCTCGCAGCGTATGCGACGTGCTCTCTCCTGATAGCATGGCTTTGGTCTTTACCTGACGGAGATTGCTGGTTTAGTCCTCTTCCTAGACCCGACACAACAAGGCAGAACAACACGAAATGCCAAACCGCCTTTTCACACCCGTCTCCAAGCCGCGGGCAGTTGGGACCCCGAGCAGCGGGCAGAGAACGATGCTATTCAAGAGCCACGTCATAGGAGTTGAGACCTATGGGCCAGAACTGGCCGTGAGTCCGATGAATATAGATCGGATGACTTTGCTAACGAAGACACCGCACTAAAGGATGGTGCTAGGACGCTGGTTTCCCCAGGTGCAACAGCAATCCCACAGACGAAAGAACACTAAGGATAACCTTACACATCATGCCAGGGGTGATGCTGATCGCGAATCTCGAAACCAGTTTCAGAGGGCTTGGAAGACTCGACATCCGTGTTTTCCTCACAGCCTACGTGCCGACTTCCGCGCTGTGCGTGCCGGGTCTCCCGCTTGTGTTACGCATCACGAACGGAGAACACCAAGGAAGACTCGCAGCCAATCCAAACCATTGGAGCTAGGAGTCAATCAATTTGAGAAGGAAGAGATCGAGCAGCTTAGCCCCGCTCTTTGAGCACAAGCGCGACTACTAGGCGCGTCCCCTCACAGAGTGCGCCTATACCTGAGGCTCCTCTACAATTAAAGTTAGATGATGTCTGGTTAACAAGCTCTGGGGGAGGTCCGACTAAGGAGCCTCCTCCCAAGGCCCGAGGCTCCTCTGCATTAAAGTCAGACAATATCCAGTCTCTGCCTGTACGGCGTTTGCTGGCGAGAAAACCAGTAGTTAAGGGTCGCCAGCATCCGGCCTACAACATGTGGCTCTCTATCAATCTTCTCCCTCCCTACGAGCCACTTTTATCAAACGTTCACAAAGGTCAAGGCTTGGAGAAAGTACATGGACAAGCACGAGAGGCCATACAAATGTCACTTGCATCCACCGTATTACAACCTTATCAGACGGGAACGGAGAGGTGCCTGAGTCCCCTTTGTGGCTTGTAAGAAGCTGAACTTGTTGACTTCACGTGCCTGGACAGCCGAGCACAATGAATTTTGCGGCGACGGACTAGTTATTCTCTACGAAAACACATTCCTAAATAAACTTATACGCCCACCCACCCCCTGCGGAATAGGAGCCCGCGATAGGGATCAAAATAACTAGCCCAGCGAGGAAACGACGAAAAACAAAGAAAGATTTACGGCCCCAAGAGAGAGTGAAAGCAGTGATTGGACCGTCAATTCAAACCCTGCCCTGGAATGTCCCAGCCATTAACAGTCATAGACGACGCCCAATGCACCTTGCTTCACCGCAGTTCATTTCGAGTCAATCAAGAAGACAGGCCCCACGCGCCAGTCCCATACCATGCCATCGTTGTCTACTCTGTCCTATCGCCCACCAACGAATTGATCACAAGTAGCCAGGTAGTGGTGGACTATGCGTGGGTTGAGCGCCAATCCGACAATACCGCATTCACGACCACCCCAGTCGAGAACCAGCAACTCGCAACATTCCAGCGAGCGAGCCAAGGGAGGTTGGATCGCCATCCGCATACCTGTCCTAAGCACGCCAGAATCCAGCTCCTCCGCTCGTCCCTGGCCAATTGGAGCATAAGAGCATGAAGTCAACTCCAACAACGTGGGGCGAAGATCGGTGATCTAGTTATCACAAACCTTTCGTCCAGCAGATTCTTCACTATATGTGGGCCTCGTGGTTGCTCCTTAATCATCTCCTCGCTCCCTCCATCTGCTCCGGACCATTTCAGTCGAATGTCATATTGGCTCCATCAAAAACGAGTGAATATGACCACTCGAACTCTGAGAGCTTTACACCCCCGCCCTCGTACTAGTGACTATGCCGAGACGATGCATACTCAGCAAGTGTTTCCACCCCAGGAATGAGCACAGGACGATGTGGATCTCCCTGCGTCAGATAGTCGAAGAAGCGTTGACGTGAATGAGACACGGGGTAGGGACCGCGCGGACACACCCGGAATAGGCTTTACCCTCGAGAACCATGGACCTGAACGACGCCCTTCGGCCGTGGCACTATCTCCTACTCTCGGACAAAGACAACTGATGCGAACAGGCTCTACTGATTGGGCAAAACCTGCGGACCGTGCTGCAAGAACTCCATCCAGACGTCAATATTGCGGGTGCTGGAGCCCGTACAGCGTGATAGCTATCGGTGTACGAATTGAAGTGGAAAAAAAGGAGCGACCACATACGACACTAGTCGACCGTGGGCGGATACCAAAATGCAGGGGAAGCTCCGTGCGAGGGCCTGTCTCATCCTGGTTTTCTTGCCTCGCCTACGTGGGCCCTGACGCCGGTCGGAATGGACTACGTGAAGGAGAACTGCAACGGGGAGACGATCACGCTCGAGCAGTTGAAGGAGATTACGAGGGAGTCGCCGAAGGGGATCTAGAACTTGATCAGGATCAAAACCATGTTCAGGCCCACCACCACGCAGATGATCGGGAGTACGGCGTGCATAGAGCACCTGAACAAGACTGTGATCGTCAGCCTGACCACGAACACGATCATCACCACGAATAGCATGATGTCCACCAACAAGGCCAAGAGCGGGAGCCCGGTCCCGAACTCGGAGACACCCGCGCCCACGACCGAGACCACGGACACGTCCAAGAACATGAGCAAGGAGACGAGCGAGGCGCCGGACCCGAAGAAGACCGAGGAGAGCACCGGGGACCCGAAGCCGCTCATGGGCAAGGAGAAGCTGGAGGCCGCGAGGAAGAGGGCCAGCGAGGCCACGTTGGTCACCCAGGCCGAGCGCACGAAGATGTTCAACTCTGGGGAGGAGGGAACCTGGGCGGCCAAGAGCATGATCAGCCCCAAGCTCAAGCTCGGGAACGAGGGCGGGTACATGCTCATGGGCAGGACCATCGGCGGCCCGCAGACGGAGCCCGACTGGACCCCCGAGCAGAGGAAGATGATCGCGCAGGTGGTCGGGACTGAGAGGCCGATCGCGTAGGTGTTCAACAGCAGGAGCGCGCAGGTAGACCCGGACGAGTACTACGTCGAGGTGGAGAAGTCGGGCGGGGCGGGGCCCACTGAGAACACCTACCTATCGAGCATCGACCCGACCGAGTACGTCATCGGAGTCGGGGAGCCGAACTACGACCAGACCGGGCAGGAGGCCAAGTACTAAATGGACGCCGTGATGGCAGGATCGGCTGGCACGTGGCTGCTCCCGCAGTGGACCTTGGACATGTGCGTGCTCGACGGCGTCGACCCGAGCGTGCTCACGATGGGGACGAGGCCGGGGAACAAGACCGGGCGCAGGATCGGAGTCAACTTCGCGCGCATCGGGCTGCCCAAGTTCGCGTTCGGGCCCGTGTTCAACAGCCTCAACCTGAAGTACGAGGGGTTCATGGGGAGGATGACGGAGACGGGCGTGACGACGAGCGTGGGGCAGTTCGTGTCCGTGGACCCGAGCACGAGGGAGGTCGGCATCACGATCATCCTCCCGGACGTGATGAGGAAGCTGGCCGGCAGGTCGGCCCTGCGGGTCGCCACGGTCGCGATCTCGGTCACCTTCGGCGCCTTGACCGACGAGATGGGCACATGAAGCCGAGTCTCATCATGAACACGATCATGGAGACGCAGCCCGAGAGCAACGTGAACTCGTACGTCTTTCTCTGGAGGACGACGGAGAGCTACGGGGAGCTAAGCCAGTGGTACCACACGCCCTTCGTGTTCGACGAAAAGAGGTTCGCGAACATGGAGCAGTTCGTGATGCACTACAAGGCCGTCGTCTTCAACAACATGGAGATCGCCGACAGGATTCTAAACAGCTTCGAGGCGTACCCCGCGGAGCACATGAGGATGGGAAGGATGATCAGGGGCTTCGACGAGGCCGTGTGGAGGAAGGTGTGCATGGACATCGTCGTGACCGGATACCTCTGCAAGTTTACGCAAAACGAGGTGGTCAAGAACGTGTTGATGAGCACGGGCAAGAGGGTGCTCGTGGAGGCGAGTCCGGCCGACAGCAACTGGGGCATCGGCTTCGACAGGAGCAACGCCATCGCGAACATGAGCATGTGGGGCAGCAACAAGCTGGGCAGGGCGCTGATGGTGGTCAGGGATCCGAATACATTGGCCCTTATCACGTGCCAACGCTCTGGGGGATCGAAGGTATTGTTATCAACAGAAATTGACGAATGCCTGTTACTGTACCATGGGAGCCTTGCTGTAAGCTACTCTCATGGACTTGTCGAGTTCGGTTCGCCCTTCCACCGCAGGCACCATAGGCGTCCCAAGAACGGGCACCCTGGGTTCTCGAAAGTTGGGCCCTCCATCTACTCCGGACCAAGCGTCTGGCTGTGGGTGGAGTGCTCGGTATATTGGATGGAAATACCTACAAGTGGTGTATTTGGCCTAGAGTACTCTATCAGTGTTAGAATATTTTCGCATTCGGAGTGATTACCACATTCTCCAGATATCCCTATGGCGTTATGAATGATCCGAACATTGAGAACAAAAGAAGTGTCTTCGATTAAAGCGAAATGATAGGTTAAACATCTAGGTAGTTGACCCATCAAGCCATCTTGCCCAACGTCCCGCAAGCTGTATAGTCACTCGCTTTACCTCTTTCGGATATCAGAGCCAGGAACTAACCCTTTTCGCTGTGTCAGAACAGCTACGCAAACTGCCATTGGGTAGATTGCTCGGCACCACATTAACAGAAGCCCCTTTTTAAACCACCACTGCCTTCCTCTTTCTCTCCTGCAGTCCAAATCCCTGTGCTCTGATCTCCTCCATCTTTCGCGACTTATGTTGAGGTATCTTCTTCTACCAGCCTGAGACGACACTTAGAATATGATCAAAATTCAAATAAATTTCGAGCCATGTGCCAAACCCACCTTCTCGGCTTCAGCCTGCTCGCATGTAACAGAGACTGTTGTGACAGCTAGAGATGAGATCGACCGGTCTCTCTACATCAACGAAGATGTAACGGCCGAAGTCAATCAATTTGCTCCAACACGCACTCACTGTCCTTCCAAGAATCATACACCCGAGTCATGGTTCTTGCCCGACCAAAATGCGAGCCTCGTTTTGGGCTCGCCTGACTTAAGTCCATCGATCACACAAAAGCTGCGCCATGCTTCAGATGCGATGGCAACAAGTCAAACTCATCTAGATGCTATCAACGACAGCATTCAAAATGCTTGACCTAATGATCGAAAGACTTGAGATTGAGTTGGAACGATTGAGGGCGTGACGGGGCCATCTTGATCGCCACAGCCATTCGACTTACAAGTTCCTTTTGATATGGAGCCGGAAGATTGACCTACTGATTGAGCGAAGACGTCTGAACACTCAACGCAGAGAACAAGCTGCATTAGCATTGGCGGCAGCCAAAGGTTAGAGTGCATGTGGAATTCGTCTATGCGGCTCGCGTTCTACGAACCAATTTTCCTGACACCATAGAGAGAGAGCTGATGCCGATTACTGGGATTACCATGCTGCAAGAATATCTGTTTACTATAACCCCGAGTTGTTTCCGACTAATCGAGTCAGTTTCAAGGTAGACAGGTCCATACGTGCAACAACCACACAGAATTTGCCGAGGGTCATATATCAGCAAATCGTGAGCCAAATCGAGGAAGCGCTGCCACTGATTTCAGTGGGCAAGAAGCGTCGACAATCGGGGTCCAGCTACGATCGCATACCGCCTTGCACCTATAATACTAGGAGTGACACTCCATTGCCCAACGAATAAGCTTGACGGAACACGCACTACGTGGTGGATTATAGGAACCATGGCAACGTCCAGCATCCAGTGAACCACCTGCTGAGTGTGTGGAAGTCATACAACACGTAAAGTGTCCCCGGGTAACTGGGTGGACAGGCATTTAAAATCAGACAGAGTGGCCGTATTCTGGGTTCGCAATGTGACACTGCAGAGCAGATCCCGATCTCCAAAGTTATCACTGATATCATATGAAAAAAAAAAAAAAAAAAAAGGTTACTGGGGGTGTTAACAGGACCACCGCCAAATTCACTATCAAAGACACCACTCGCTCGGGAATCAAAAGCTCTCTTTTCCAAGACCGGCAAGACAAGAACAGCGTTGGTCATCTTCCGTGATCCAGTCCCCGGACGATTCCAAGCTGTGATGCAGAGCAGTGATCGCTAGGTTTGATCTGGCGACAGTGATGATGATGATGATGATGATGATGATGATGATGAGTCGTCAATGGACGTCGACATCAAGTTCATTGGGGCAGCACAGTTATACGAGCCTCGATCCGAAGAAAACATCGTTACTAAGAAAGTAATCAAACTGGATCATCTCTCATAGACCAAAGTTAATCCCGATCTATAGCATTATTACTACCCACACCCCTCAAGACCATCTGCTCGGAAGTTAGCTCAGCAAGTCTTCAAAACCGCGAATATAGCTCAAGGACTCTCTACCCGCAAGTATACTCAACTACCGTATTTCCATCTATGGTTACAAGTCCAATATCTTTGATGAGAAGACGCATTCGCGACACCAACCCTTTCGTCAGACAGAGAGACTCAACGTAACGATATATAATATCAAAATTGCGCTAGAGGTAGGTAGGGCGACTGTTCTTCCGTTACTAAACTAATAAGTTAAGATATAAAAGTCCTATCATTTTCTCTCTCTCAGCAACGGATGCCTGGTGCTTGCGAGGGTTTATCTCTAATCATTTGAACGTCGCGAATTACATTTAACCGGCACCAGGCACTAGAAACTTGTTGTATCGCGCACGCGGCAGAGATGGCGATTTCCGCAATGAGCTCGCACCTTTCTAGACATGATCAAAGGGAAGCAAGTTTACACTTTCATCGAGACGCGAAAGACAGAGACTGTCCCAAGGAAGGTACGTTCTCAGCATCGATTGCTCTTTGGAAAAATTGGATCGTTGGGAGACTAACAGGGACCCTAGTCAGGGAGGTTCGCCGCGATGGTAATCCTATAATGGCAATCTAGCTTACTTCTGCCATTCTGGGACTTTTCGAGGAGAATGAAGATGCGATAACCCCAAATAAGGATCATTCCGACATCGTCAAGTTTGGGTCGAGGGGTGACGAGACCTATGACAATATCAAGTGTCGTGCACAGGCTCTAGTTCAGAAGGCGACACGGGAGCAGGAGCTGAAGAAATAGAGAGCTTGAAATAATTTCGTCTATGCATCGAATTTTCGTATTGAGATTTTGGACATCTCATCCATCAAGGCTGAGGCTGAGGCTGAGTGTTCAGGGGTGGCACTCGTCCAATGGAACAAACTTGCCAAGATTGTCCGCCCGTTATCGATAAGGGTCCAAAAGGGTCCCTCGCCCAACTAATTAGTTTTCAAGTTGCACGAGTGTCCTCTTCGCAGATGACCTGCGTGTTCTACCAACTCGAACCTCGAACACTGCCAATATCGATTACGTCCAGCTCGCGGCAGTCCCTTAAAACCATCTTCTGCCTCCGCTCGACCGGGTAACTGAACCTTGTGAGGCCTGCCAGGCGAAGAAAGACTCGCCAACCTTTCGTTCATGAGCGCAATATAAGGGGATCCCAGTGCGCCCGCCCTCGATTTCCAGCTCCGCTCAAACTCGCGTACACCGCGCCCAACCCGCGACATTGGAGCCAAGATGCGATTCCTCTCGCTCTCCCTCCTCATCCCTATCGCCTACCTCTCCATCCTGATCGGCAGCATGGCCACCTTCTCCCACCTCTACCGCCAAAGGCAAGTCAAGAAGAAACTGCGCCTCGCGCCCTACTTCCCCGCTCACACGACCCGCAACATTTACCTCTCCCTATTACATCTGCAGGACGATGGAAATACAAAAGTGCCTGATTCGGTACTGCGCGCCGCGCTCCTGGCTCGAGCGTGCGACGACATTCGACGAATAATGGAAGTCCGGGTGCGGAAGCCCGCGTTGGCGGCGCTGTTGCAGCGAGGCGTGGTGGGTGACGAAATATTCCAGCGACTGCAGCGCGCGGAGCAGGAGCTCGAACTCGAAATCAAGGACGTGGTCGCCGAAGCAAACGCCCTGAGTGGATCCGGGGGTCCGAACGGCACGCCGGGCACGTGGGGACATCACATCTTCCAGAGCGCCAACGAGATGGTGCAGAACCAGATTTTGAGGGACAAGTTGGACGCCATCAAGAAGACGCTGCCGGAGGAGAAGGAGCGGTGGGAGAAGCAGAGGGAGACGGCCAGGCTGGAGTTGATGGGCGGTGAGGTCGCGGCAGATGCGGCAGCTGTTGAAAAGCCCGCTGCTGCAGCTAATCCTGCTACTTCCTCTGCTTCTTCTGCCCCCTCTGGGCAGGCCACTGCAGAAAAGATGACCGCTAAAGCCGCTACGGCAAGCAGCGATGAAGACGGTGTCATAGTCGAGCCGCCCGCCGCCGAGATCTCGACCGGCGGAGCAGGCGGCGGAGGTGGTGGTGGCGGCAAACACAAGAAGAAGAAAGGGAAGAAATGAAAATCTAAGCCCAGGCATTTCATGTACGATATTGATTCCCCCGTTCCTGTCCCCGTCCCTTTTCCTGGCCTTTTGGCAGGGTTGGAGTCTCTGAAACAGACACTAGCATGAAAGAAATCCAGCATTTTCCGCATTCGGCCCTCATAGAGGAACCCTTTCTTTTTATTTTACTTTTTTAGTTCGTTGGGGAGTTGGGAAGGGGGAAGAATTCAGGTGGAGTTGGGCTCATGTTCTCTACACGCGCTATGATACAGTTTATGAATACCAGTCTCAACAGGACAACGGCGTATATCCAATGGGAGATCATCTGATTGCACCATCCCTTTTCTCTATAGCCCACGACTCACTCCTCCAGCGTGCGCAGAATGATCGATCATATTGAAGTTGTCGTTACAATGAAACTTCAATGTCGCTCCAATCACGCCGCACCAGCGCCTCGGGAGGGATTGACGACATCTTCATCTGCTCCGCAACGCGAAGGACCTCCTGTGCCACGTCTGCCGCAGCCACGCCTTTCGCTCTCTTCTCGATCACGAGGCACAGAAACGCAGATAACACGTCGAGTCGAAGTTCCCTTGCAGGTTGGCTTTCAATCTGCTCCACCGCCTCGGGGTCGACGTCCCTCTCTTGCACCATTTTATCGCTGATTGCGACTACAATCTCCGTGAGGGTCTTCACCGCGCTTTGATACTGTAGGTTCTTCTTCATCCGCAAGCCGCGAGCGCGGGCCGAGAGTGGTGCAAAGTCGGATGCGAAGGAGCGAGCTACCTGCATAATGATCAACCGGCTGACTTCCTCGTGGGGCAACATGTCGAAAGACCCGCGGAGACCATGAAGCGCGCAGAGGGTGCCTTGCGGGTCAGAGGAGAGGCAGAAACAGCGGATAATCTGTTCGTACAGTTCAGAAGAGAAGTCAACTTTGGCGGCCGATTTCTTCTTGAGGTCGAGTCCGCCAAACCATTCTTGCATCTCCGCGAAGAGCATTCGCGCAGGGGGAAACTCTCCTTGGTGACGGTGAGGAAATGCATAACAGTTCTTGGCCGTGTCCCAAAGGGCCGCAAACGTCTCGAGGTCAGGGGAGATGGATTGCCTCAATGTCGAGTATTTCCTCCAGACATCTGCGATCTGGCCAGATCGAAGTGAAGCATAAAGCCAATGGTTCATTATGAATGAGTTCGGTTTGATCTGAGCCGAACCGGTCATGACGTCGGTAAGATGACTGGCATTTGCCAAATCTGATCGGCGAGTGTAGTGTTGTAGCAAGATGGAAAAGGTCTCAATGGTTGCAGCTGGCGCACCCCGTTTGAGGAAAAAAGGTGGCCGTCGGGGCTCAATCTGGGAGGCGATATCTACAGTGGTGTCGTTTGTCTCTAAAAGCCGCTTTTGGACCAGTTCAATTCGGGATTGTATCATGGCCCATGCAGTCTCTTCGGCCTTTTGGCGGGCAGTTGGCGAACCTTGACGAAACCAAGCCGCTACAAGGCCGTTCAGAGGCCCAGCATCGGGTCTGATCCCACGTTCATACATGAGGTCAACCACCAGAGCAGCCTCGTCCGTCCTCCCCTCACCAAGGAGCCACTTGATCCAAGCAGCGAAAAGATATTTGTTGTGAAAGCTCCGGGGAAATATGGCCAGTGAAGAAAGCCCGATCTGATTGACGAGGTCCTCAGTCGGTGATTCAGGGTGGCTTACCTCCTTGCTGAGCTCTCTAAAGACTCTTAGAGAGTCGGTCGGCGACTTGGCTGTAAGCATGAACATATCTTTGAAGACCGCAAGAGCAAGTTCAACACGACCGGCGTCGAGTAAGGCGCTACTGACTCGGCCCAAAACATCCAAAGTCGTCTTCTGGTCTTCCCTGCCCTCCAGCCTCTTGCGCAGCTCTAGGTAGCAGAACCATGTCTTGGACGCAGCAGAAGGGCTTTGACTTTTGGCCCATGCAGCAATTACCATGACAAGAACTTCTGGGTCAATCATGGTAGTGTGGTCGTAGCATTCGAATGCTAACCGCTGCGCCTTCTGCGGCTTTCCAAGTTGCACATAAAGCCGGACACCGGTGACCCAGAACATTTCAGCAAGATTGTCTTCAAGACCTAACCGAGGCCTCTGTGATTCCCATGCTTCGATCGCAGCGGCAATATTTCCCGTAGCCTGCAGGGCATCGATATATTCAATCCACTCTTTGTCCTCGAGCGGCACATCTGCTTTGATCATATCCTTGCCCAACATCTGAAGGTGTCGGGGCCTGTAATAAGCAGTGCTCTGCGACTTCCAGAGGAAATGCCAGACATCCTCGGGCAGTATCATGGTAAAGTTCAGAACGTGTTGTTGGCAACGTAGATACCACTTCCACAATGCAAAATAGGCCTTCTCGTCGTCTTTCTGTTGAGCGGATTCCAATGCCGCGTTAAATCGCTTGACATAGATCTTATCTCTTATGGGGATGCTAAGGGTGACCTTCAGGGCTGACTTGGGCGTCGTGGCTTGTTTCTTACCCTCCTCCTCTTTTGCCAACTCATCCAGATCTTCATCGGATATCAGATCCAGATCTTCGGGAGGCATGACACCCTCTTCTTCGAGTGCTTTCAGTAGTTCCTCCCTCTCATCGACAGAAAATGATCGCATGAACTCGCTGTTGGGTCCGAAGGGTCCTTCTCGCATGACCGCGAGCTCGCGATCCAATTTATTCAGCTCTGCCTTCAGGGCATGCGTTTCATCATCCAGAAGGTCGCGGACCGGAAGTCTTGTGGACGCATCCTCGCCTTGCTGTTCAAACTCATGAATATCTGGCCGTCCCAGAGGCGCGGTGGCCGGTCTGTGAGGAGGAAGAGGGCGCGATCGAGCAGTTTGGCGATACTGGCGGACCGGTTGGAGATGTTGCAGGCAGAGCTGATGTCCCGCGAAGCTCGGAGACAGACAGAATTGTTGGTGCCATCTTCGAGACAGCTGGCAGATGCCGCGCATAGGGAAAGTCACGGGTGTCCAACTACACAATAGTCAGACAGTCGAGGATGGTGCATGTTCGATTGATAGACTGCGGCGAGGAAAAAGTTGCCCAGACGGGATCGAGTTTTGCCGAAAATCAACCGGGCTCCGCAGCCTCGTCACTCTTGTGCCCATTTCCCCCTTTTTTCCCCCCCCTTCAGACACGGAAGATTCATCCAGCCCGCAGGCTTTACGGCGTTGGCCATTCTGCTTTTCACTTCATTTGTTCTAGGCGAGGACATTCCACTCTACATGCTATGAAGAATAGGGCGGTTCATATCTCAACCTTGCCGTCGGCCTGAGCGGTTTCCAATTTGCACAAGGAAAGAGATTAGCATCTAAATGATCAACATCTCGTCGACTTCCCATCCTTGATAATTCTCACTCTCTTGCCAGGAGTATACCCCCTTCCATTCCCACGATAACCCTCGGTTGAAGCTGGCACAAATCGCCGCAACCAGTCCAAAATTTCCCCCTCGCTGGCTGCTGCCGACGGCCGGAGACACGCCATCTTCAGCCGCTGCTCTGAGAAGCCTTACCTGGGCTCCCTGGTCAAGTAACTCTTCGATTGTAAGCCAAGCCAGTGCGTCGTCCGGATGAGCATATATCAATTCAGCGTTTTCAAGATCCATCTCGTCATCCTCCCATGCCTCCGGGGTGAGCGTCAGCTCGCAGCACAACTCCCTATTATTTTCTAGTAGTGAGCGATCAACCTTCACAACGCGCCATTTTCCGCGCAATCCCTCCTCTGTGATATCGACAAACAGGCTACCCTCTCCATCATATGACGGAAATCTCACTGTGTATTCTTGCCTCCTCCCGTCTTCAAGCCTAACAGATCTCCTGACTGGTCGAATGTACGGCGTTTGGGGTGCCCAACTGAAACCTTGGATCATGCCGACACGTGGAGCGCTCGACAAGATATATCCACTTCTGACTCGCTTCTCATTCTTCCAGAGATCAGCAGCCTGTCTTCTCACACGCGCTTTGATTAGCAAAGTCCAACAAATGATAACATCTTCAGGCCAGGATGTGTGGCGTTGACTGAGGAGATAACCTGCTTCTTCGACGGTCTTCCTAGACGCCGGATTTGAGTGAGGGATCAGATGTTGCGCGCTCCCCAGCAGAACAGCAATGTCGACCGCACCGCGCTCGTGTAAGATGACGAGAGCTTGACGAAGGTTGAGGACTCCGTCGTCCTTGCAAAGCAGCCAGATCGCACCACTGCCACGGATGCCTTCAAGCAGTGTCCAGCCACGGACAGTCCAATCACTCACCAATAGCGTAGCGACAAGGGTCTCAATTTCTGCAATGCTAGGGTTTGGTAGTGTCACGTCGACGGATTGGACATCCATGTCAATAACCAGGGTTACCTTTGCCGCGGCGAAGATATCGTTGATGCTGTTGATGGCCTGCCGTCGTAGAGTGGTCTCACTTGGAATACATGCGGCGTCAATCCAATACGTATCACACCCAAATTGACAGGCCAAACGGCAATACCGTCGGTGTAGACAGGTGTTGATACCAGTCTCGGGACGACCGCCTTGTCCATGGCTCCAGACGTGAGAAATTGCAAGCGTCTGGGAAGAAACAGGAGAGTAGCCCAAGGATGCCGAGTCCTTGACTGCCCTAATAGCCGCGGGCTTCCGACACTCGTGGTACGAAGAGGCGTTCCAGATAATTCTCGAGCATCGCTTGTTGCAGTCAGATGAATGTGCTGATTGCACGGCGGCTTCTGCAGCAGTAAACCTCTGGCAAGTCTCTGGCTGACTACCTTCACAGGCTTGAATCGAGTCCTTGATGCACCTTCCATGCCGTCCGCCGAAGTGAGCATCGAACCTGGAAATCATCCGGCGAAAATCAAGCCCAACAGATGTGCGACTTGTTCTTAGAAGTTCAAAAGCCCAGTTGCACAGGTAGTCGGTGCACTTGCCGCGATATGCATCTCGGGAGAGATTCTCCAGTTCATGGAGGCCTCGAACAGCCAGGAGAGTGTTCCAGGTAGATGAATACCCATGGGCGAGTTGAACTCCAATCACATAATAGAAATGAAGCATTACAGAGCGCTGCCAAGCCGACCAGAGAAAAACCTTAACGATCGCCATTCCCTGTTCATGATCGTCGCGTCCCTGAGGAAACAAGGCGTCCTTCAATGCACGGCCTTCGTCCGAGTCATCCTCAAACGGTGCTCGGATCCCGAAAGATGCGGCGTCGCACATGCTCTGATATTCGTCAAACAGTTCGGAGAGCAGATTGACATATTTGAGCGAATTCTGGGCCAGACGCAGATCAGGGAGGGAGCCTTGATTTGCGAAAACAGCTGCCAGAGTTAAGGAATTGGTGTCAATACGTGTAGTCACGTACAGATTGTCCCAGGCGAAATCTTGCAACGTGGTGACTAGTTTGAGAGCCGATTCAGCATCTTCTGAGCTTTGTGTCCGGAAGTGGGATTGCGCTTCTGGCACAATATACTTCGCTGCCCATCTACCATTCTTGATACCATCCCACAGGGTAGTGCCTTGCTTCCGCATCAACCCGCTATTCAGAGGAAGCGAGAAACTACGCTGGGGGACTTGCGGCAGGCGCGAGAGCAAATTTTCCGACTTGGAACATATATCGGACAGAATAGTGCCGACTGGGCGCGAGGACCCCTTGACAAGGCCATCGGAATGTGGCAAAAGAAGCGAGAGCTGCCCATCGAGTTTCTCAAAATGGTATGTCGGATGGTGTACGCCTGTCAGAAGTGGCGTACACGATAGTCGCAATTGCCATAGTCTCAGATCCGTGTCTTGAATCTCCGCCAAAGGGCATAGGAGCAAGTCAGTCGCATTGACACCATAGATGCTCTCGACGGCCTCCAATGAATGACGAAGCGCATGTCCTGGTTGCCTATTCATCACCCTCGATACACGAATGGATCAATGGAGCTAGACACGGGACAAAAGCCTTTAACCAATCGTCTATGATCGTTTTAGCGACAGGTCTGAAAGGCGCTTTGTGTCAGACGCGAGATCAGGCTGAGCAATGGCCTCGCGGTTGCAAGGGTGAGACAGGGTGATTTGAAAGAGGACTCGGTCCTCATTTCAAAGTGGCTTGGCTCTAGCCTGTGCTATAGACTGTGATGCGAGAGTCGCAAATGGAAATGGAGCGGCGATTTGATCTCTCCATGTCCATAAACGAGATACATAGCTGTTGCTCAGGGCGAAGGGCATGTTGCCCTTGGCACTCGGCACATAAAGATGACACGTGGGTGCACGTGCCACTCATTCAGCCTTGCCAGGCCGTGTTTGGCCGTGCCTATTTTCAATTCTAAAAACACCTCGCTCACCTCTACACTCACCCTTCATCCTGACTCCTGAACCTCTCCACCCCGTGCAGTACCGATGAAAGGATCCAACATTGCGGCAGACCTACCGATTCCACCATTGACGCCTTTTCGACTTGCGACCACTTTTCTACCCTGGTGGCTCAGTATATTTGGATAATGTCGTCCTGCTGCTGCAATCTCGCATCGTTTAAAATTCGGGCATAGCATCATCGTTCCCGTGGCGCGCCGTTGCAGCCAGTGGCCAATCCTCAGCTCCGCCGCTAACTACTTTTCAATTTTCTCTAGGAACAATATGGTCAAAACCTAGCCTCATTCTTTCTTTAATACGCACAATCAACAAGGGGTAGGATGAGTACTCGTCAGCCAGGTCAGAGACGCCGGTCACGATTCGAAGGAAAGCCCAGTGGGAACAGACGAAAGCGGCTATCCCCCCTATTGTGATGAACTTATGCAGCCGATCTTTCATTTCACTTTTGATCCCCCCCATTCAGGGATACAGTCACGGCGGGGGAGTTTCCTATCAAGCAAATGGAATACATCGATCTGTTCTACAAGTATACTATCTATTCAATTCTTTCTCCATTCTCGAACCTACATAACAATGGGATAATATTCGACACATTGCCAACTCGACCGACTCGTCTGTCACTCGTCCTGTTTCTCCTTCTGTCACTCGTTTACATCATGCATTCCGTTACTGGTCCCTTCTTCCTCTTAATCTTGCTCAGCTTTTCTCTCGCCCAGACAAGCGTCGGCTCTTGGATCTTTCCACCTTCTGCAGACCTCGATTCCTACAGCTCTACCGACACCGGCCAAGCTTCATGGCCTTCTGGGCGTGAGCCTGGTACGTCCAAGCCCGGTGCCCCTGCTCCGTTCCCAAGTCCACCAGCCTGGGTTCCTTGGCCAGAAACAGAGACCTCTTCAGCTACAAGTCGCAAGACGATTAAGCCAACTACAACCACTTCCAAAACCACTTCAGCCTCGCCTACAACGTCGTCTACGACTTTCTCTACGAGCACGACTACCATCACAACTACCACCACCCCTATAATCACGACGACAACCGCAATAGCCACCACCATCCCTACAACTACGACGACAACCACCACCACCACCACCACCACCACAACCCCCGCTGTCATACCAACTAATTGTAATCCCGGCGGAGCTCAACCGACCTTCATCCTCATCGGTAGCGATAGCGGCACGGTCTATGACGGCCAGTATGTCTCAAGCGTCGACCAAAGCAATACAGAAAGGCTAGACTTTGTCCCGGCGGAGGCCGACGCTGTCAACTTCACCTTCAATAACAATTGTAACCTGGTTACCGTTTTGGATGGCAGCCTTAGTTACGTCACCTCCACAACTGAGTTGACTGAAGTCTTCCTATTCCCACCGGGCACTGCAGACTACACGGCCTTGGTTTGCAGTGTCACCGCCGCCAACACGCTCGACTGTGTGATAGGCGTGCGCGACTTTGCCACCTGCCCGGCTGATGGGAATCCTGTGTTCTTCGAAAATGGTCCAACAGAGGGATGTTCGTCCATCACGTTTAACCTGGTGTATGTGTCATGAAGAGTGAGCCCGTGTTGGGAAGCCAATAGTCAAAGAGAGATGGAAAGTCCAAGAGTAGGAGCAAAGTATATCACCACGAAAGGGCAAAGGACAAAAATTGAATCTCAGGAAGAAGAGGTGGGATTGCAAGCGATATTATTTCGAATCACAAGTCTAATCTTTTGCTCTCTTTCCCTTCTTTTCTATATATGGTCAACACGTTGCACACCACAGCCTCGCCAAGCTTACATGGAACGTGACCACCAAGGCTGTGCCAGGGCACCGTCTCTCGTAGAAATCCTCCGTCTTCAAAAATCATATTATATTGCATGGTTATTGCAACTCGAGAAGCCCGCGCCGTGATAGTCGGCATCGCATCATTGGCCCTGAAGCGCTAAGGAACTCAATCCTTAGGACGGGTGGGCAAGGGGGTAGGACAGGGCTTGGACAGGGGTAAGCACAGACACTATGTATCTGTCTGACCAAGACGACCACGACAAACGTGCCCAACAATTGCCCACTGATTCTGTCAGACAAAATTCATTCCAAGAATTCCCCCCACGACGCGCCTTAAATGACAAAAGCGCGTCTCGCGTGAATCGTTCAAAGGCGAGCTTTAATAAACAAGACCGGGAGGGCTACTAATTCCGGAAGCCTCAGATGGACGACGAACTGCACACGGTGAGCTGAGGACAGACTCGTCTCCGGATATCACTTAACATATGGCAGAGCTGCTACATTTTCACGCCGACGACACAAGGGAACGAAGAGATCGATCCGAGTCCGCGGAAGAAGCGGAAGTTGGACAAAGCCCCCTCGAACGGTGCTCAAGAAGAGTACTCATGGCCACGGGTGCTGGGTGGGCAAGAATCTCGAGAGGCTGTCACATGGCGAAAGAGTGCATTTGAGACAATATGGGCCGAGCAACAGGAGAAAATCGATGGCATTGTCAATGTGGTAGACGAAGAATTTGTTGGCCCGGTCATAAGATATGGGCGCACCCAGAAGGCAGATGACCTCCGAAACGGGAAGAGATTGAAGACCGCGCTACTTGCCTTGGGTCCCAATACAAAACATCACCACGACGTCCATGAAGCACGGAAGTGCACCGTACCAGACAAAACGCATGGGGAACCAGAGTTACTAGTCTCTTTGCAGCCGAGTCACTGCCCAAACATTCAGATTGCGTTGAAGAACGTCGTCAGATCCGCGATATCTGGACAAGGAGGAGTTGAAGAGTATACAGAATTCCTGAACGAGCACAAAGCCCTGATCCCGCTGGCCTTCGATCTGGAATTGCTCCACCGATATGTCCAACGCCACAGCGTCGAGCGAGTGGTGATATCCATCATGGATGTCGAATCATTTGACACTACTGTCTTTTGCGAACTGATCTCGACTTTCCACTCCTGGTCAGACAGGATCCCAATCATTCTTTTCATCGGCATATCGACAACCGTCGAGCTCTTTGAGTCTCGGCTGTCAAGATTGACTGTTTCACTTCTGGATGCTCAAATCTTTGAAACAAGCTCACACCTGAATGTGGAAGATCGGCTCTTTGCCCTGTACGCGACAATACAACATGGTCAAAATGCAGATGTGTTTCTTGGTCCGTCGGTCGTCCGCGTGCTGGCCACTCTGGCAGAAGACCAGGGCAGCACACCGGAAACATTTGCCCGGGCCATCAAGTACGCTTACATGTCTCACTTTTTTGCAAATCCTCTCTCAATGCTGTGCATCGAATCTGGTACGCCATCGCCGTGGCCGCCGGTACTGTGTCAAGCCACCCGCAACCTTGCCAGCTTCAGAGCATACTGCGAAGCGCTCGGAAAGGGCGACCAGACCCAGCGGGAGATGGTCCGACACCTGCTCACCTACGACGACGACCTTGAAAAGGCAGCTGTCCTAGCAATCCGATCAGGCAAAGACATAATGCGTTCAAGTCTCTGTGCCATCTCCACCCTAAGATACATCTACCACCGGAGGCTCAAACTGAAAGCATATACGACGTGGGAGAGTGAAATGCATCTCCTGCAGTCTCTACCTGGTCTGGATAGATCAGAGCTCTTCGAGGCCATTGAAGACAAACTTCAAAGCTTACCGCCTGGGACGCCAATTACCCAATTCCTCGGCGAGTCCGCCCCGGAACTGGAAGATCTACAAGACTTCCAGCGGTCCTCCGCACAAGACTCAGACTCAGAGGCCCGGGCCGATGCCGAGACGAGCCACCTTTCCGAACCAGAAAAGTTCATCACACTCTTGCGCCGATACCTCCAAAGCCGAACATCATCCCCTTCTTCATCATCACCTTGCGACGGCCTCAATCCCTTCCGCGAATTCATGGCCGAGTCGTACACCGTGAGCCAGAAATCCCCGCTCTCCCAGACCATCCACCCGCGCCCTCGCCACTGCGTCGAGCGCGCCCTGGCCCGTCCAGCGGACTACCTCGGCTGCACATGCTGCGTGTCCCAGAGCGGCGGCGAGGATCGAGACGTGTCGGATAAGGCGAGCCTCCCGCCCACAAGCCTCCTGCTGAACATGCTCAATGAAGCGGGCGTGGTGGTCAACGTACGGGATCTGTGGGATGCGTTTCGAGACACGCTCTTGCACGGCGCACGGTCACGGTCTGACGCCGACGCCGGCATCGCCGATCACGATCGTGACGTTGACGTTGACGCCAACGACGACGAAGCGAACGAGACCGATGACCAAGACACCAGCGGAAAAGGCGATGCGGAGGCCGAGAAGGAGAGAGAAGCACTGTCCCTGTTCTACCGCGCCCTGGCCGAGCTGCGGTACCTAGGTCTCATCAAGCCAAGCAAGCGCAAACCCGGGGTGGAATGTATCGCGAAGACGGCGTGGATGGGCCTCTAGCTACCTCGCAAGCTACTGGTACAACGCACGCTGTTTTTTTTCTCTCTTTTAAACGGTCAGTCAGTATCAAATTGCATGGAGCCTGAGGCGGAACATTTCATTAACCAATAGGTCAAGGTGAAGGTGCTCGCTTGTAATCTAAATAAATGAATCGCTCATGGATTCCTGAATTCGCTACTACTAAGGAGACCGTCCTCTTTGTCAAAGCGTGTGCGTGACTGGTACATACATGGTAATATCTTGGGGCTTCGTTAGAACATTTCCATCCGTCTTTCCATATGCTATCCAAAGATCCCACCCCCCACATCGCAATGGCGATGAAGAGCAACAACATAGGCACCGATCATCAAAATCCAGAACCAGATCCAATACACATTCCTATATCACTGTCCAATGCACATGCCCCGATGTATACGCACTCGGTGACCAAAACACCATTCCGTGCAATTCCAATTCCCCAGTTGCAGTCCGCCCAAACAGAAGTGGGAAACAAGAATAGCATAAAAAGGGAAATACTTCTTTGTCCATTCCATCCATAGACTCATGAGTCACCCGACTCAGACAAACGACAGCAAGCTTTCAACATGTGGCTAACTTAGCTCGTAGACATCAAACATTACCATGAATAGGGGTATAATGACCAATAAAAAAAATAAAAAAAAGGTGACTTCGTCTCAATGTCATAGGCGTCAACAGGGGGGTCAGAAGCGAGCGAAACGAGTGCGCGCCAGGTCAGGTGAGGAGAAAGTCCGCCCGGCCATTCAAACCACGACTTCGGGAGCAGCCAAGGTGCAATTGGCGCAGAACTTCTGGTGACATTCAGGATCCATACAGCGGTTGCTTAGCCCGTAGGCATTGGGTAAATCGCATTGGCAGCAGACGATGAGTGTGGCACGGCGTAGATGGTGACGCCGATGAGAGCGGGAGTCCTGGTTTTGGTCCTGGCCCTGGCCCTGGTCATGACTTTGGGTTGTCATTGGCACGTCTTGTGTCTGAGGCATTTCCATCGCGCCATGCATGTTGCCCACACCTGATGACCCCTGGTGAGTGGTGGAAGGGCTGGCCGGGTGCGGCGAGAAAGCTTGGTGCACCGGCGAGGAGTGGCTGTGTTGTGAAACCGAAGACTGAGTAGTCTCAGAAGGAGCCTGTGAAGCATCCATGACATCATCATCATCATCATCATCATCATCGTCTTCTTCTTCTTCTTCTTCTTCTTCTTCTTCTTCTTCTTCTTCTTCTACGCTGCTTTCGCTCCGCTTCCTCTCCTCAGACCGTACTTCTTTCGTCTTTCCCTCGCCGGTGAGCTCAACCCAGTCCTTGTTTGATTTGTGGTCTTTCGTGAAGTGATCCGCAATGTGATCGAATCGGTACGTGATAGCGTCGACATCAGTTTTAGGGTGAGCCACGACTTCTTTGCAGAAACCACACCAAAAGCGGCCTTGATAATTGCTTGCGAGTCGGCGGTGCTGAGCTTGCTCTTCAAGTCGTAGAATTGAATGAGCCTGTTGCAGATGCCGAATATAATTGGATGGTTCGTGAAAGAAGACTTTAAAACAAATGTCACAGACCCAACACTCTTGTTGCTCGTGCTGTGATTTCTCGTGCCTTTTCCAGTCGTTTTTACTGCCGAAAGTCTTGTTGCACCCGTCGAAGACGCAGCCATACGGTCTCGAATGGCGTTTCATGTGCTTGTTTAGATCACTTTGCCTTTGCTTCACCTTTTTGCATCCCGGATACTGACACGGAAAACGCGCCGGCTTTGAAGGAGGATATCGGATGCCACCAGGAGGTTGAGCATCAATAGCCCTAGAGACCGGCCCAACAGAAGAGGCCGTATAACTTGTCATAGCATCGCTGTTGTGTAAAGACAATCGAAACTGGTTCACTATTTCCTCGTGGTTCAGAATTTCCTCGTCAGAACGTGATTGATTGGCCCCATTAGACTGGTGCTGTTCTAAAAAGGAGCGGATCTCTTCTTCGATCGCCTTTGCGAGCTTAGACCTTGCAGGAGTATTGTCGGGTTGGATGATATTGATCTGGTAGCCTTGGTGTGGTGAAGGCCCTGAGTCGTTGTCGGTGGCGGCCGGGTTGGTACTACTTCCAACATAGCCAAGAAGATCGTCCTGTGAGCCTCCAAGGTCCGGCGGGACACGGGCCACACCCTGGGCTGAGGCAAAATCGGCCATTCGGTTCGGGTCAAGATCAGGGACGGCGATTGTATGTGGCTTTTTTGCTCTCCTTGGCGGTGCATAGCCGAATGCAGAATTCATTCTCATCGCAGCGGCAGCGATGGCGTAGGGTTCCCGAGACGGACGGGGCGAAAATTGGAAGTTGACTCTTTGATTGGTGAAGTCGGGAGAGAGTTGTGACATATCCTGATATTGAGAGCAGTCGGCCTGCGACCATGCCCTCTGCACGGATGCCATGGGGGATGAGAGGTTTTGTGTGTTCAGATTGGGAAGAGCCCGGTGCTGCTGCAAACTGCGAGCGTTGGCCGCAGTGGCTATGGGCCGACGCTGATCGTGTTGCTGCATGGGGTGAGCTGGGCCAAAGGGCCTGGCAAGATCTCGGTCGATGATTTGACCATTGTAACTTAGCGAGCGAGACGTTTGAGTGATCTGAGCTATGTTGGGGCTGAAGAGTGTGGTCAGATCCGGATAGTTGCTGTCAGAGGCAGAGAATTGGTCGTGCCCGGAAATTAGCGAATTCGACGAGTGCGACGGGATTGAGGCAGGAAGGGAGGCCGTATCGTCAGCCTGTCCTTGTAGAAGTTGCTCTTCATACCATTCGTTGGACCTAGAAGAAGTCAGTCCGAAGGACGTGAACGAGTTAACAGATACTCACGATCGAAGCAGAGACTCCACATTCTGATCTCCGTGCATCTTTTTGAGATGCTGCTTGAAGTTGTCCAAGCGAGGCCATTCCTTTTCCGTTTTGTTGCAACCAATGGCAAAGCACTTGTAGGATCTGCTCTTCCGGTTGTTGATTTTATGCACGGCTTTAAGATGCCTGTCAAGGTCATTACTAGTAGCAAACCCTTTCCTGCTCTGAGCGCAGTCAGGGAAGGGACATTTGTGCTCGCGTTTATGGCGAGCGAAATGTTTCCTGGGACAACCCTTGTCAGCATTGCAATATCATCAAGGTGACGTACACGACTTACTTCAGATCGGACCTCGTCTTGGCCTGGTAGCCACATTCCGAACATTCCAGGTCTCTACTTCTCTGCGGTGGTCGGTGAGTCGCCGACTGCCCTGATTCTGACGGGGCCGGGTTCAAGGCACGAGGAGTAACGCTTGAGGACTGAGAAAGGGAATAGGAGTTTGGAAGGGAGAAAGGTAAGGATGTCGTGTTGAGGTTCCGTTGATCCATGTCTGTCTGCTCTCCCATCACCGAGTCGACGTCATGGTGGGATATGATTGACCTGGTTCCATAACCCGAGTCTCCTAAAGATTTTTGTCCACTAGCAGAAGAGCACGTACGATCATGTATGGGTGTTGTAGGATGTCGAGGAGGCATTCCAGGTTCGTTAGAGTTCATTGTCCCAGGCAATAAAGAAGGCGGTCCCTCAGTGGCAGCCAGATGTGTCCATGGTCCGGGAATGGTTTGGTGACTGGATACACCGTCGATGGCAACAGAAGAAGAGTCCACAAAGCGAGGAAGCGATGAACCAGAAGAAAGAGAATACTTGGGGTCGCCTTGCAGATGTTGAAATGGATAGGGTTCAAAAGAGACAGCGTAGCCCGGAAACGGAGAATCAGGGTGCGGGAAGACGCTTCGAGGGATGTGGTCACCTGGAGAAGACATGGCGGATAAAGGGGCCTGCAGCCCTGTCAAGACAGAATCCGTCGAGTAGGCTGAGTGCAGGGCAGACGGAGGTGCTGGTGCAGATGCACCGCCCTCATCTGATACCGGGACAAATGTCTGGTGTAATGAGTCAGAGACCACAGGGGCAACAGGACGGCGGGGCAGTGCTGGATATACATTGGGTTTTGGCAGCCGCGCGTGGTTGGAAACCGACTGACGCGGTCGAGCTTGATCTTGCGACATGGCGAGCGAAGGTGGTCGAGGGACGCAATATAACTGAACCCGGAGGTTAGCTCAGACCTCGGCAGAAAGACTCCCACGGACGACTCATTGCAATGGGACCGAAAAGTGAGGCAAAAGTTTCCATTCCTTGCCCACCAGGCAGGGGGGGAGGGAGGGGGGATACTTACCCTTTGGTTCGACTCAACCGGCACAAGGCCCGGGGTATAGAAGAGGTCCAGTCTCGAGTGAGCAAGCGAGGCCACACAAGCAAGAGGAAAATAGAGCCGGCAAGGATCAAGAGAGCCTCAATGATGGTTCGAGAACACAGCCTGGCTTGAATGTGACTTGCAAAACGCCTATGGCGTTGCTCAGAAATGACTGAGGTAGGCGTAGCCAATCAAAGTGAGCAAGGCGTTGGGTCGAGAGGCAGCCTAGCCTAGTCCTTTTTGGATCGACTTGACCAAAAAAATGAGGCGGCTGATGGAGGCCAAATCTCCATATGCCTGGGGGGAGGGAAACACATATCAATATATGATGCAGGAGCAGACGAGTACTGTGGACAAGAGGAGAGGAAGGAAAAGGGACGATGAGAGGATGCAGGGAGAGAGTTTACACCCGAGTTGGTCTTGGGCTTGGGACGCGGGAGTAATGGATGGGGGCTGTGCAGCGATGGAAGGAGACTCACCCTCGAGGGAGGGTTTGATGAGCCTGATGAGCCCAAGAGGCCGGGATCCCAGCTGCTAACGGAACGGCGGGAGGAGAAGAGGAGCCATCCTGGACTGGAATGAAGCAAATCAATTGAGGAAAGTTGATGAGGACAAGCAACCAAGGAGTAACCGGTGTAGTAGGCAGAAGTTGCTGCAGTTGAACAGATGTGTGTGTGTGTTGTCCTTGGTATGTCTGGTGTGGTGTGTGCGTGGGGGGGGGGGGGGGGAAGTTTTGGGAGAAGAATGAGACGGTGAGGGAGAGAAAGAGAAACGATGACGAAGAGAACCGAGAGAAGAGACCCGGGCGCGGCGGGTGATGGGTGCGTGACTGGCTCGTGACCAGCGATACAAAACTACTTGTTACATACCAAGACTTGTACTTGTACTTGTACATACCAAATACACTGACCGGTCTGACGGGAGCTCATGGTTCGCAGTCATTTATCAGCCAACCACACGCCGTGGGAGACGTGAGTGTGCCTTGGCCTAGTTTTCTCTAGGTTTAGTGGATGCCTCTTGCTGCCTAGGACTTTGGTGCGCGTATTCGCAATACTTGTTACACCATCTCGTACGAGGTACGCAATACTACCCAGCGAAGCTAGTACCTTTAAGTACCTAGGTACCTACGCCATATGCGTCCCACAGCACCAAAAAAACCGGGAAGAGAATATTCACGACATATGTACCATGCATTCCCCACGACATATATACAACAATACTACCGACCAACCCTGAAGCTACCCATCTATGGTCCCGTACGTAGATTCGGGATGGGGCCGAGCAGTACTGGGTACCCAGCCCAAGTGGCGGCTATGCACACGAGCTTCGCGAACCTCGGCGTTACGTCCAATTCCCGCTCGTAACTTTGGTTATTACCACACTTTCCAAGAACTCATTATGCATGCTGACAGGTCGCAGCGAAATCCCCCCCCCCCCTCCACACACATCTGCCGAAAAGTCCACCACTTCACAACTTCACAACTTCACAACTTCAAAAGTTCCAGAAAACAACGACAAGTCGCAAAATCAAAATGTCCAAATTGGTCCCATCATCGCATTAATCATTGCCCGCTTGTCATCCCGATCATAACCCAGATTCCAACTCTGGGACTCAGAACATCATAGGGGTATCTATAGAGTACATCCGTTACCTGTCGAAACCATGATTGAAACTATGTCCGAAACAGTCTCGACTTGCTCTGCTCCAGAGCAGTCCGGGTCAAAGGGTAGCCTCCTCCCGCCCTCCAGCCGTGGCCCCTACTTTGCGTCCTCGCCTCACTCTGCCAAACTCAATCCGATGACTGTCTCTACAGTCAATCATGCAAAATGCAAGTTCGGCCCTGTTTCCCCAGTTGCCGGGTTCCCGTACAGGAACTGTTGCTGCGTGTGTGCATGCAACGCCGTCTGGAGGCCTAGCCCAGATCGACCCTCAACGCCCATTGGACTAACATGTCCTCCTCGTGGTTGACTTGGCAGCATCGATGAGGCATATTGCCCCATGGTGTATCCCGGCATCGAGTGCGAATGCGAGTGCGCGCTCGCATACATGTTTTGCATCGGTGCTTGCGTATACATGGCCCCTGCTGCGTCGTAGAATGCGTTCTCGTACCCTTGGCCCACCGGCTGAGATCGGGGCGTCACCATTGCGTTCTGGGGCGATAGACTGTGTGGGTGCTGCGTATCCATCTGACCTGATCCCATGAAGATGGGAGACTGATGAGCGTACTTCCCCGTGGCACCGTAACCACCCGTCATCATCTGGGCTGGGCCTGTTGGTGTAAGCGCATGCGGGCTGTAGTATCCCCGGTCGAGCTGGTAGCCCGCATTTTGGGGACGCCCATGCATCGAAGCCGGCGACTGGCCTGCAGAGGAGTTTTGATAGGCTGATGTCGCACTGGCGGGATATGGTGATAGATTGCTCGTATCAACGTGGTTCAGCGTCCCAGGAATGGTTGCGAACGACGACGCCATCACCGGCGGCTGATCAACCGGGCTGACAATGGTATCGGGTGAGACTTCCCTCATGTTCACGAGCTGCAGTACTGGCATGGCGATCTGTTCCATATGCTTTCCCATATGCACGGACAGTTTCTTGAATGTCGAACAGACGTTGCCACAGAAGCGGCAGGGCTCATCCCGGGGCTTCTTGTCGGTTTCGGAGCGACACTTGTCCACCATGCGCCAAACCTCACTGTCCTCTTGAATGCCACCGTTGATCGCCTTGTTCTTGCTGCTACCCGAACCCCGCTTGACCTTAGGCTCGGTCATCTTGTGTTCCCTTACCAGATGCTGGACAAAGTTGTCTTTGCGGTAACAGATGTGATTGCACTCCTGAATCGAACACTGCCACCACTCCAAGTGCCGGTGCCGCTCATTCTCGTGGCGTACCCAGTCTGCTTTGCGCTTGAACGACTTCGACTCGGAACAGTTGGGGAATGTACAGGAAAATGGCTGGATGTCTTCGTGCACGTGCTTTGTCCAGTCGGACGGTTTATGAAACTTCTTCACCTTGAAGCAGAGATTACATTCAAATTCGGCCGGAAGTCGTGAAACCGGTGGCAGCGGGATCCCTACGGGAAACAATGCCGGCGTGACAATGCCGTCCGTGAACCCGGACTCATCGGCTTCATCATCTGCTGGGTTACTGATTTGAAACTGGGTCAGCGTCGTGTCCGGATCCTTAGAGCTGACCCGGGGCGCTAGAGGCATCGAGTCGCCGCCCAGATCGAAGCAAAACTTGCCCGAGGCGCATTTATGGGCAACTTGGACAGAACGAGTGTGCTTGATCTTGGTTTCAACGAGTTTTTTGTAGCGTCGAATCTGCTCTTGGCCAATGCGATCAATGAGATATGGCTCAAGCCGAGGATTGAGTTTACGCGCATGATCTCTGAATCCGTCGATCGTCGGCATAATGTCCTCGGCGCGGATCTCAAGATCCATCCTAATAGCCACCTCGTCTGTTTCGTCCTCGTCGTCATCCGCAGGAGCGTCTTCGTTGTCGATAATCTGTGCGGCCAGGATCGGTTCCCGCTCATGCATGGGGGATGCGAGAGTCGGAATGGGTGGTCCGCCATGCTTGGTCAACAGATCTGCCAGCCCGAGGTTTGACGACTTTGCGTTCTTGGTCACGTCACTTTTGCTGCGCTGCTTCTTCAGCGTCTGTAAGGGGCGTGTTGACTTGGAGGCATCAAAGTCTTGGGCGACTGAATTTCCACGCCCGACAGCTGCAAGGTGACCAGTCATAGCAAGCAAGGCACTGCCCGTATTCAACGAAGGTGACTTAGGCTTGCCAAAACTCGGCATCCTCTGGGGTTTGATGCTCCCGACAGAGCTTCGGTGGGTATGACCTCGTGGGACGGGCTCTTTGTCCTCTGCCGACGGCTCTTCTTTTATGTTACTGCTACTGCGCCGGGGAAACATGCCCCGAGCCTTGTTGAAGAGGCTGCTCGTTCGTTCCCGCCCCCTTTTCGAAAGGGACAGGTGTCGAATTTGACTACCTTCAACAATGGAGTTGATTTCACTCTCGCTCAGCCGACGTCGTGTTCCCCACGTGGCAGCCCTCGAGGCGGTCTCCCACTTTGCTGCCTCCTCGTTAAACTTGTATGCAGCTGCGTTTGATGTATTGGGTTGACCTCTTGTGCTGACAACAGGGCCCCGAGCCGGATCCTGCCATGGGCCTCGCCTGATGAACTGGGTAGGCAACGGGTCCCGTAGTTCTGCTGGCGTTTCATCTTCGAGCGGAGGGAAAGCAGATTTATCCGGCGATGTGCGACCCTCGAGAGCATGCGGTGAAAGGCGCGGTGAGCCGTCTTGCCGATATTGCTCGATGGCCCGCTCTGTGAACTCTTCAATTGCCGACGATTGTGTTGATACGTCGTCGTCAAAATACTCGTCGTCTGTTTCCACATCAACAAGAGCCCCAGGACCAGGGATATGCTCGTCTGAGTACACAGGGCCGAGAGCATCCACTCGGCCATCAGCGGTATGGGCCCGCCGCCTTGGCCCTTGAGGCGTCCGGCGAGACACGTTTGCTCCTGATTCATCTTCAGGCCCACTGCCAGCTTCGCTTGTTGCAAGCCATTCTTGAACCTCGGCATTTCTTTCCTCAAGTTGGCGCTGCTCTTCAAGCTCTTTGGCCGAGGGTACCGTTTCGTCATTCCTCGACTGTGGTTCAAGACCGTGACGCTGTGTTGCAGTCGAACGTACATTATCTGTACCATTGGCGTCTGGAGGCATCAGATGAGACGGAGACACGTCTACATCCCTTGTTCCTGATCCCTCAAGACCATCACCATCGTCGTCATCGTCAGAAGACTCGCTCTCACGACCACGCTTGGCAGATGTAGGCATTAGACTCTGTGATGTCTCGGACTTCACGCCACCAGAGGTCTCATAGTCAGATACCATGACCACAGGGCTCGGTGCCCGTATGAATGATGTGCCCTGCCAGGCATTTACTTTGTGATCGGACGAAGGGGTATGCCTCGAAGTCGTGTCCACTTTGAGAGTTTGAGAGGCTCCTCTTTTGTGGGAAGCGGCTGAGCGGTCCATTGATTGATTTTGTTGCTGATTGGGAGTTGGCAGGCGCGGAGGAATGGGAAGAGACGACCCAATTGAGGAATTCTTGGAACTCATTAGCTCTTCTCCAGAGACGAATTTGGGCAGTGTCTCTTCGGTGTGGTGAAAATAGCTTTGCAAATCTGAACTTCCGGGAGCTCCTTGCGCGGCTTCGAAATCATTCGACCCGTAAGGATCAACTATGCGAGGCTGTGCGGCGTCTTGCAATATGAACTGTTGCTCCCAAATTTGTTCTTGGGGAGTGGTATGCTCGCTTAGGGGGTTTTCGGAAGATTCTTCTGTCGTTAGGAAATCGTCAAAGGAGGATTCGCGGTAGGAGTTGTCTTCATCAAGATTGTATATGTCAGCCCAAGGTTGTAAAGATCCAGGACTAGACACCGGCGGGAGATTGTACTGGGGGTTACCCAGCCCAAAATCCGGTTCGCTTCCCAGTTCCTGAGTTCCTTGCGACGGGTTTGACGTTATACTCGCATTATGCTGATGACTCCTGGACATAGAGGAATTTGCTCTGTGTTGCTGGGCTGGTATCTGCCGCGGTCGGTGAAATGCTGGAGTGGTCAGTAACGGAGAATGCTGTCCGGGCCTCTGGACATTGTATGGATTCGGGTAAGAGTGCGACATTTTGTCGTGAATCTTCAGCGCAGGATAAAGGAAAGCCAGATGTGTCTCTCCTATTCTGCTCGATTCCCGAGTGGGGAAGATCTGATAGGGCCAGGATGGTCAGGGCGTCGGAGGCATGGTAGGCGGATGGTCCGCCTGTTGTGAGGCTGTGAAGGATATCGTGATGTAGCACAAAGTATCTGAGAACGCAGAGGGGTTCGGCCCAGGAGGACGATACCAAAGGCCCCAGGATGAAGTTACCCCGGTCGGAGAGCCGCAGCAGACTGCGCCTGCGGTCGATCTTGGTGACGGCTGTGGATATCCGGCTCGTTGCAAGCACCACAGGATGTCCAGAGGGTGTAAATAGAGGAGATGAGTCGAAATGAAGAGGACACTAGAGGGAAGAGGGAAATGCTCGAGAAGGAGACGCGAGAAACTATGGCACCCGCTCGTTGTGTCTCCTGATGTGGTCGGACAGAAATCTGGAGAGATGTGACTGGTCGCGTAGAGGACGGTGGACAGGGCAGTGGAAGGGGCTCGAGGAGGAGCCACCAGCAAGGAGCAATGAGGGATAGCGCAGTGGGCAGGCAGATCGAGGGGCAGATTTCGAGCTGGTGCAAGAGAAATGGTTCGCGACCCAGCGTTGACTGCTCCAGGAAGGAGACAGCCTGATGAATACAATCGGAGGTCGGCCGGGAACAACGGCGCGTTGGCGCGCAGTCGAAAAAGAGTGACCTGGGTCAGAAATGGGAGCTCAGCAGTACCCAGAGTAGTCCGCGTGAGGCTATGACCAAAGGCGAGCAGAGGCGGTCGATTGAGGAAAGTCGTGGAAGTGGTAGAAGAGGTGGTTGTGGTGGAGGTGGTTTCTCGTCTCGCGCAGGCGGAGGAAGCAGGCCTGCAATTGCCCGATTCCCTCGTCTCGACTCTTGGGGGCGTGAAGGTGGAGATGGAGATGAAGCCCACCAAATCCGACCAGCCCTTCCCTGGATGGCCAGCACAGCCATGCCATGCTCGCGCGCTGTTGGAGGTCTGCATGCCACTACCTGCTCTTGTCCTCTTGTCTTTGTACCTTTTCAGCTCCCGCATTAGACTTCTCGAGGCGCCCACGGTTGATTCGACCCAAGCCCGCTCGCACAGGGATCGTTGCTGCAAGGACCCACGATATCATTCCACTCAAGGCCCTGACAAGCCACAATGTGGTCCCCCCCCCAAGCCGGTGAGCTCAGTGCAAGTTTATTGAACAGTGAACTTATTCCATCCCAGGGCCAGTTGTGTTCTTGCTGCCGCTGCTGGATAAACAAACCGTGGCTACTATCGTATCATACGCTGGCCCGTCCTACCCTGCTTGTCCCCACCACAGGATCGAAGAACAACCGGAGAAAGGATGGAGAGAAAAGGAGATATGACGATATCGAGGATCCAGTATGATGCAAGGAACCATCTTCATATGGACACCCTCGCTGCCTGGGACGCTGCGAAGCTTCAGGGAGCAGCCAGCCCACCAGCCAGCAAGCACAGCCCCAAATCAGCCTTACGAGCCCCCAAACCAGTGAGCTGTCAGCACTGCCCTTTGGATTTCGCTACAGGGATCTAGCTCGCCCGGGGCAGAATCATGGGCAGACTCTTCTCCCTTTTGCCATGCAGCTATCCAATCGCCGGCACCACCCCAACCCATCCCCCAAGCTGCTATTACCCGAGTACCTACGGTTTTCGCATTGAGCGTCCTGGTGGGCCTCGGGCAACGGTGCCCGCAAAAGAACTACAATCCGTTTCAGGCCATGTACATCAGATTCCGACCTCCCTAGGGACCGTGTAGTGACTGGTCTGTACAAAGTCTCTGTTGTACAATAGCTCCTGCTTCACCCCCGTCCTCCGTCGCCTGCCATCACTTCCTGACGCCTTGCAAGGACTATTGGCGAGTCATGACACAGTGCAATCCCCTGAAGGTAGGTGCAGCGTGCTGTCGGCAATCTCTTCGGTGAACCGGCGTCCGGGACGTCGTCGTCGACACTCCTAAGTCCTTCCCGGAAGATATGCGGTCGGATCCAGAGCATGGCATCAGTTGAGCTCGATGTTCCCTCCATCTTGAGCATAGGAGGCATGCTAGAAAGGATAGCCGCCCATTCTATCCGAACTTGCCGCCAGAGCTCAACTGCTGCCTTGGCAATTGACCGGACGGCTGTCGTTAACACTGGAAGACGCTTGGCCAGTGTCATGGATTGTAGCTTGTCGACAATCTCCTTGCTGACAGACGTGGCGATTGTGCTCGCGGCCTTGCGCCCATAGGGGCTGGTATAGAGTGACCGCATAGCAATTGCTCTCCATATTGCTTCTCGGTGGACACTCTTCACACTAATCATCGTCGATACCCTAGACAGGCACGTCTCCAAGTTGCACCTGTCACACTGCTCGTGTAATGATGTGAACAAGAATGGCTGAAAGATCCTCTGCTGCAGCACTCGGAATATCTGGTTCTGGACGAGAAGGGAACGAAGACCCCGAGCTGCCGCCGTCATGCCTGTTATATCAGGAAGACCACTGAGTTGAGCCATTTGCACCAGAGCATGATCTGGATATGGCTGATCATGGACGAGTTGCTTCGAAATTTCCTCCACCGACAATGCTAGCTCGTTGAAAGCACTTACACTACATTCCCCCGTCAGCGGCGTGCGCCCGAACTAGACCTGGCACGGTGCCTGGAGAAGAATGAGAACGGTCTTGGTTAGAAGCGCAGCGGATCACACTCACAAGAACTCGTCCCCCTTCCCTTTGCTGGCGCGGATCTGCCCAAGGCTTCGTATAATGCGCTCCATTCGCTCACTTTCTCGTTGCCATTGAGCCTGTTTATCTCTCAGACACACCATAGTTTCCTCCAATTCAGCATGATGCTTGCTGGTCATCTCATGCGTGGTTTGGAGCGCTTGGTGAGCCTTCTGTACCGTCGCCAGTTCGGTCCTTAAGCTGTCATTGGCATCACGGTGCTCTTCGACGTCCTCCTTAAGCTCTTCGAGCGCAGACCGAAGGGCATCCAGCTCACCTTGGAGCTGGACCTCACGTTGCTTGTGCCTGGTGATCGTCTCTGATAATCGTCCTTCCGCTGCTTTTCGTAATTGTCCAATCTCTTTTTGGTGTCCTTCCCGCAACGCCGTCAGTTCGTCTTTCTGCCTTCCGATGGATTGAGTCAACTTCTGCGACAGAACCGCTATCGCCTGCTTGTGTTGCTCTGCCATCTCCTCTACAACCTGATTCCTCGCCTCCAATTCACTCTTGTGAGATCGCTCGGAATCAGCAAGCTCTTTGGCTCTGGCCGCCAAGGACTGTTCATGCTCGGAGATGATTGCTCGAGCGGAATCTAGATCTTTCCTCTGTTGCGAATGCTTCGTTATCATTCCTGCCAAATCAAGCTGAAGCTTTGAAAGGCCAGCCCTGTGTTCACTCACTAACTTGGCATGAACATCTTCTCTTTCCGCCATTTGTTTTTCATGAGCTCGTATCAAGTCCGTTTGTGACCGTTCATACTGTGCCCGTTCGTCATTAAATTGGTCCTTGACAGCTTGGAGTTGGTTCTCCAGGTCATCTTTCTCTGCAGTCAGCTGCTCATTCATAGAACGGCTGTTCTCGACCTCACTCTCCAAAGACTCGCATTTCAGCTTCAAATTGGCAACCTCCTCGTTTGCTTCAGCCAACTCCTGAGATTTTCCCTCAAGGAGCAAGATCTTCTCGGTCTGTTCGACGATCTCGCTCTTCAGCTTCACATTTTCACGAGCCTGCTCCCCTATAATGCGTTCGTACTCTTCTTTGGAGGCGCTCAGTTCAATTCTCAGCTTGGTGACCTCTTCGTTATGTTGTGACTCAGCTTGCTTAACGAGAAGGTCTTTCTCGGATAGAAGCCCTTGACTTTCCTGATAGTAGTGCAGCAAGCGATTAATATCAGGCAGGACACTCGAGACTTTCTCAAGCAATTTCGTCCGCTCATCATCAGGTGGTGCTGCGGAGCCAGATCGAGACACTGTATCCGGATATGGGAACGGCACAGACGGGGAAGCGAAGGGTGGTGGATAGAATGCGAGTTGCATATTAGGGTTAGCTATGAATGGATGAGGGTATTGGTATGGATGTGGGGGTGGGAATGGAATCCCCTGTGGTGGCGGGCTACCGGTAGGCTGCTGAAGAAAGGGTGACAGAGGAGGTGATGCTAGGGGTGAGCGAGCGTGAGGCGGGAACGCATGAAGATAGGGCCCATCAGTTGTCATTGTAGGGCTCGGCACGAAAGGGATGTCTCCCTCTGCCGACTCCGCTAGATGCTGGCCAAACGTGGGTTGTATGAAAACTACCGGACCCTGCGGAGTTGGAGCAACCAAAGGGTCATGAAAATATGATATGGGCGCTGTCCCCATCGATGCAGCTGTAGGTTCGTACAAAGACGATTTTGACATGCCAGGCGATGCAAGAACGGTTTCTTCGCGCAGTGACGACTTCGAACCCTTCGCCAGCGGCTCTTCAACGTCAGTAGGGCAGGGGGGTGACAAGGACATTTGTGGGGATGATTGTGTGGTTTGAGTAGGATTGATATCCTCAGGCTCTTCGGAAACCGTTGGCTGCATCGACGCAAGTGATCTCGACGAATGGCTTTTCGAACCGAGACCTTGCGAGGATTGCAGGAGCTCCGCACCTCTTGTGAAGGATCCAACGAGCTCTCCTCTCTCCGGAACAGTGGTCATCGAGATTTTTGTAGGTGAAAGAGGACGTACATCTGCTACAGATGCATCGGATCTGTCATGAGGGGCTTGGATGATATGTGGTTTCACCTTGGTCGGCGAACTTGGTGTGTGAAATGTCTCGTCCTCCATTCTTGATGAGATACTCTTGTCTGATCTCAATGAGACAGCGGAATGTCTAGAAGAAGCGGACGCTGGATCCGACCACTTTGAGTCGAGCGTCCTTTGACGGTGAAAATATATAGCCGGTGAGTTCGACCGGCTGTTCCTAGGGATAGAGACTTCATCAAGAGTCCGCGACAGTGTCTTGGATAGTTTTACAGATGCCGAACTCGACGCTCGGCTCCGTGTGTGTTTCTCTGAAGTCTCGCTGAAGCTCCCAGGCCGCCCTCGGGGCCTCGCATTTGTCTGATACGCAGTCGTCGACATTGTGCTGAAATGAGAGAAATAAATAGAAGAAAGAACAGGACTTTTACGGTCAACCTATCTTAGGAAGCAAAACCACAAGTACCAATGACATAGAATTCTTTTTTCTTCCGATTGTTCAGGGCGCCCAGTGATGTACAGACAACAAATACTGGTACATTATTGATACAGGACCAGAAAAGAGCGTAAAACAAAGTGCAGAATGTAGAATTCAGAAGGGCACAGCAAAAGAAAAGGTCATTTGAGTCATAAACACTTAGCCCTGGGAAGAAAGGTCAGCATCAACCGCAATTCTCGCAAGACTGGGCATCAAGTGGTGCAGGATAGGACCTTGCTGCCCGACCAAGGTGACGACAATAGGTCCAGAGCAACTCCACATAAACAACAGAGCTGCATGAACCAAAGTGCCCTCGCCCCCCCAGATGCTGGGCACTGATAGGACGCTGGCTGCTGGAAAGAAGATCGTGTCAAAGCACGATTGGTGTAGAAAGTAGTAGGAGGTTGAGATTGGAAGTGTGAGGGTCGGAAAAATAGACGGCCCGGACTTCTTGGCGTCCTGTAGCTTGGACGTTTAACCGCAGTTTGATGGCGGCTTGAACATGAAAGTACAATACATTGCAGACCAGTTCCTCGTGACACCTTTTTGTTGTTGTCGCTGCAGCATACACAATCATGTCTTTTGTCTCTCGAGGGGCGAGAGCTGCAGCTCGTCCCTTGAGGCGTGCAGTCCAACAACGTCCGCAACGCAGATTTGCTGGACACGAAGCTGGCCACGGTCACGGAGATGCACACCACCATCATTCTGGGGAGAGCGCTCTCCACGTCGCAGGTGGATCGGGGAACGAAGGATTCGGCGTGAGCACAGGAAATCCCCTACAGAAATTCCAACGTGGGCGATGCAAAAGACTGACACTGCTCTGGGGAACAGAGGGGATTCTACATTGCCATAGGCTCCGTACCTTTCGCAATATTCATCTACTCGATCGCCAGCTCTCCCGGAGATAATGCGCTCAGCCGTCTTGTGCGAAAATACGATGCCGGCAGAGAGGTGCTGTTGAGAAAAGATGCTATACATACAACCATGATGGAGCAGGCCGCCGCTGATAGGCAGCTGTTTGCTGCGACGCCGACTGATCCTGCCGGTCCTCCCCTTCGAAATCCAGAGTATGAATACCCCTATTTTGCACATGGACCCGGCTTCGTTATCGAGATCACTAACCAGGGCTTCTAGGTCATTCAACTTCGGCTCACCCTGGAATGTGTCTGCTGGTCAGGGCACAGCGGATCTCTCTGCGTTGACCAAATACTATGAAGGGAAGAATAAGGAAGCGGAGCGAGAGCGGGTAGAGAGATTCAAGAAACAGAAAGGTTCCGTTTACGACCTGTAGCCAAATATGGTTCTTAGGGCGCTTCCGGCCGTGGCATTGTATATAGGAAGTAGAGCCACTCGAGTATGACGTGGCTGTGTTAGGGCTCATGAGCATGCACAAGTGATCGCAGGCAGTGAAGCATGGTCGTATCATTGTCCTCTTGCGCCCCCACATTTACTGCGGGTTTCTGGCTGTACTTCTATTGACATGTTCTTGATTTCAGTCATCCTCGAGCGACCATCAGAATCTCTTCACAAATTTTGTTTCGGCGGATGGACAGGGCCAGGCTCCCCAATGAGAGTCAGGAACGATTCATGCACCTCGTCTGTAAGGTCACTCGCCTGCAGACTTCTCTGTCTCTTCGCGAAAGCTCTCCTTGAACACTCTCTCGTGATGGCACTTCCACCAAACGCCGCCAACAAGAGCGTCTCCTCTCGACTCATCTCCTCGCCAATGTCCCAAAGCTTCTCATGATAAGCTTCTCGCCATGCCAGTAATGTGCCTAACGAACCCGTCAGGGTATCACCCTGTCCACCAGACCGCTTCAAGCCACCTTGGAACTCGGAGACCGTGGTATCGATACCTTGTGATATGTAGTCGACCGGGCCCTTCTGAACGATGCAGACTCCGCCGAGTATCTTGGAAAGTTCCTGGCATGCCTTCTCCGGATCCCCGCCGCTCTGATCCATCCCTACCGACTTAGCTAGACGGCCGAACTCAACCACATTAGGAGTAAGAATGCATTCCTTGTGTCCCTTGATCAGACCCGGATCTGTCTGAACTAGCAGGAGGGCGTCTGCATCCAGCACCATCGGGATAGGGGGATTATGCTTTCTCGCTGCGGCAATGACAGCCTTGACCTGCTTTTGCGTTACAATATCTCTTCCCAGCCCGGGCCCAATGACCAGCACATGCAACCTAGGCAACATATCTAATATAGGTTTGGCCAGCTCTTCCCCTGAGGGTTCCTGTTCCTTCTGTGCCTGCGATATAGACGCCGTGGACCTCAGGATCGGCGAGACCATCAGGTTCGGCGAGTATGACTTGATTGTGGGTGCCGCCGAAGGTTCGCAAAAGACGTAGGACATATCACAGCCGAGCCGTGCAGAGGCCATGGCGGAGAAGTATGGTGCACCCGTGTAGTCTGCACTGCCGCCGATGACAGCGACTCGGCCGAGCTGGCCCTTGTGGAATCTCTCCAGCATAGGAGGCACCAGTTTGTGGACTTTGCCCAACATTGCACGCGCTGCGGCGGACATGTTGATCGTGGAGCCGTGATCTTCTGAATTCGGACTCATTTGGCGAGAAGGAGTATGGGGAGGGGGATAGGGAGGTGAGGTAGCTGCTTCAAAGATACGCGAGGCAGATGAATTAATTCTTTACCTAGCGCGGCGTGGAGAGGGAGGCATGCAGCCGATGAGGTTCGGCGGTGATGGATTGATCGCATGTTTCCAGTTGCGAGATTGAGAGTGATGTCAGAGAAAGCACATACGTTGGTGGCGTCACGATCAATGCGAACGGATGCAGCGTCCGAAGCAAAGCGATGGATGGACCTGGCAAGTTGGCTAATCTTTGTTTCTATATCCACGAAGTCAGTGTCACATGAACTCCATCCCTTTCAAAACTCGTCGAGGTTCTCGGAACGTAGAAAACCTTGAGTTGACTCGAGGAAATGTTTGGCCTCTGTTGAACTGCAAGCTAGGCTTCGGAGTCAAAAGTCGCCGAGGGGTCACCAGGGCTGAGCTAGATTGCCAGCCTTGTCACCTTCGGACCAGAGGCTAGCTGTCAAATACGAATGACTATTACCTATATATCCTCTTCACGGAGAAGTGGATTTTGCAAGTATCCTAGTCTATCTGCCACGGGCTTCCTTCATCTATTTATATCCTCCGAGACGCTCTCTGCTTGCGTTAAGCCTTTGCAACTACCTCGATGTAATGGCCAGCCAGGCTCACAACCTGCTCCTCGAAATCCTTGAACTTGATGCCAAGGATGTTCTCGGTCTTACTCGCGTCAAATGGCATCGGCAGTGAGGTCTGACTGCCACCAAGAGGAAACACACCTTTCTCCACAGCTGTAGGAAAATGGTTCTTGACGATGTCGATGGTATCATCCCATTTGATGCCGTTCACGTCGTAGTTAACCCCAAAGTTTTGGTTTCCTTGAATTTTAGGATCCAAGGACGCAATATGGACGTAGGCGACATCGTCAACATGGCAAGTGGCTGCTGGCATTCCATTGAGATTGTGCATTCCCAACAGCGGAGTAAAGGCAAGCGCATTTGAACCAGAGTTCACGGCTGCTGGAGTGGTTGCAAGCTCGTTCTTGCCAATGACAAAGGTCGGCATGACATTGATCACGCGAAAATGGGGATTTTCTTGGGCTATGAAGTCTCTGGTGCGGTTGTAGGCGAGCTTCTTGCTCGCCGCATATGCCGCGAAAGTGTGAGGATATGGCCCACGGGGATCCGGTTCAACGTTGTCAGCGGTATACACTCGCGGCTCGGGTGGAGAGACAGCCGCAACAGAGGAGGTGATAACGACTCGTTTGATCGAGGGCTCTTTGAGAGCCGAGCGGAGGATGCTCAGCGTGCCCCTGATAGCAGGTTGAATGATATTGGCCTCGTCGTCATCAGAAGGTCGTGCCAGAGGTGATGCGATGTGGACAATGTAGTCCACACCCTTGACGGCTTCATCAAAGACACTGTCCTTCTCGATGTTGGGGACTATGACAAACGAAAGCTTATCGAGGTACTGCTGGGTGGATTTGGCAGCCTTGATCTCAGCAACCTTGCTTTCAGATCGAACCGCAGCCCGCACTCGGTAGCCTTTGGAAAGGGCCTCGATCAGCGTACGATAACCAACATGACCTGTGCCTCCAGTCAGAAGTATGAGCTCGGTAGCCATGCTGGGAGTTTTGTCGGTAGGATTTTAAGGGGGATTCGAGAATAATGTGATAAGAGCTGTTAGCTGTATCGTGTGCTTCTGATCTGTCTTTGGGAGTGACTTAAGGATCGAGGGAAGAACAGATCCCGTCGTTTATATCCTTGTCTTCTACCTCCGTTGTCATGTACAGTCTCGAATGCCTCCAAAAAGCCACGCATTTCAGACACTTCCACTCTTGATGAAGCTCCACTGAGTAATCACAGTATTTGTCGTCTTTGTGGGATGTTCAGTGCGTGTCCCGCAAGTGCACGGCCGAGAGAAAAGATCTGTATTGGGTTACGACCTCCGAACATTGTCCCAGAGGGCCGTTTAGCAAGCCAGGAGAACAGCGACCTATGTCAAATTGACTTTCCCTTTTCCCAAGCTGGCCTTCGGTGGACGCATATTGATGATCCAGGGTTCTTTTCCATTGGAGAAGACTTGAGGGCAACATGAGTGTTTACTCATCAGGAACGAAGAGATGGTGCAGAGCTGCGACGAATTGCGTACATGGCTTTCCGAGATGCTTGGCGCCCGCGCTTTGTCAGCTGCGAGCAAAGCGAGAAAGTCCCAGGTCGCCAGTTTTGGTCACACTTTCTGCGCCACGCCAGCCTGGAATACTCAACAAAGGACTTGCCGAGGGAATCCTGTGCTCTCTGCCGCTGTGTAGCCGGGCAAAGTGGCGCGTCCTCCGTTGCTCATCGACGACACTCGGCCGCAGAGTCTCACATTACGTCTATCTATCGCCCGTTATGATTCAGCAGCGGGAAATCGCACGGCTGAGAGCCTTCCACGCTGCCCATTTCTCCGGCCAACCAATCCCAGACCTGGTAACTTGTCAGCAGAATCCCGTGGACCACACCGAATCCAGCCGTGCTGCTGAGGCTATTATTGGCGAGGAAAACCACGACGACGACCGTGGTCTGGGATATTATGAGGACGGCGCGAAAAGGACGTTAACAGATGATCAGATCAAGATGTTCCGCCATTCCGAGATCCAGCGCTTACTGAGCGAGAAAAGAGCAGCTAAGGTGAAGGAAGAGACAAAAATAAAGATGAAAGAGAGCAGCGGCGCCAGCCCTGTAACACGTGAACCAAGGAAACGGCGATTTGAAGACGAGCCAGCAGCAACCCAGTTCGGTGTCGATACTTTGACCTACGATGAAGAGCCAGATACACGGGCAGCATCAATACCCGTGGAAAAGAAATTCTTGTGGCCAGTCCTTGGACAGAATTCAAAATGACTTTGTTATGGCTATCACTGGATCACAAATGCTTTCGTTGATAATCACCTAATGAGGCACTAGGCGCGACAAGATGCGTCAGGATGACAGTTCTGGAACACAACTTGGTATGTAGACGTTGTTTCTTTTTTATCTATCCATGGCCCAGGTGATGAAATTTGTATCATCCTTAGTCAAAGGTGGGTGCCGAAAGCAGTCTCAGCTCCGCTTGATGATCGCTTTCGACAATGACGCCCACTCTGCAGAATTAATCTTCTCTCTGATCGTGGTTTCTCCATGCAATAATGATCTTGAACGTCATATTGGACAGCAACTGACCGCGTCTCAATACAGGGTGCCTTCTTTATCCTCCACGGCGACGGACCTCCTCTGTTGATTTTGAGGGCGTGCGCTCAAGCTCAGTGGACGCCTTGCGCTTGAGGTTCCTTTCGTCATCTCGGGCAAGCCTTGGCTCTGTCCGCGCCTGTAGTCCAGTTGGCTGTTCTGACTCGTTCACTGGCTGTTCTGGCTCGTTCACTGGCTGTTCTGGCTCGTTCACTGGCTGCTCTGGCTCGTTCACTGGCTGCTCTGGCTCGTTCACTGGCTGTTCTGGCTCGTTCACCCTGATGTCCTCACAGGGTTGAGTTCTGAAGGACAGAGATGCCTGCGAGCTTGGATCCGGCAGTGTGGCCGTTCCAGCAGGAAAGCACTGGCGAAGGAGGTCTCGGTCCGCTGAATCAGCATAATTAGGAGGCTCATTGTCGTAAGATTCCTCGCTGCCGCCGTCGCTTTTGTCGTTGCCATTGGTGTCGCGAACAGCTAGGAGGACGTCATCGTCGAGGCTGCGTGTCTCAACTGAAGAGCGCCTTGAGCACACTGCAGTCGGTTGTTAACCTCAAAAGCTCTGAGACCGGACAAAACTCCACCTACCACGAGACCACTCCTCAGAGTGATCATCGTCGGTTGCTACGACAGCCTGCGGTGGGTCCTTCCAATCACAGCCGCCCATGTTCGCCAGGTGGTCAGTCATGGCAGATGCTGCAGAAGAAAGTCAATATTGGGAGGGGTGTCTAGCTGGCTGTGAATCCGAAAGTTTAAAGGAATTACTACTGTGGCCGGGTTACTTATATCCAAGAGAGAAACGTTAATTTTTGCAGGCCTCACCTTCCTCCTTGAACAATAACCAACCAGAAGGATTTCAGGAATGCACTGCCAATGTGTCTTCATTTGAACATCATTCACACCGCTTTATTGCAACGAGATAACAGTTGGCCACGTTTATGCCGACGCGCAGGATGCAATGGTAGTAGAGCCTGCCTGGGTCATTCAGGGGCTTGGACGCTACTGCATCTCCCCAGGCTCCGGTGCCTACAGGGTTGAATCACAACGGGGCGCATTTCACCTCCAGACACTCTCGGGGCTGACTACACCACGGTCTCCTTGTTGAGATGGAGATTTCAGGTCGCCTAAGAGATTCCTAGGCGTTCTATTGTCCATCTCATCGTCACGTTACCAGTGGACCATGATGCTGGGGTTGCTCAACCGCTTCCCGTGGCGATCTGAGTGGGAAACTCCCCCCATCACAGCAAGGACGTGATCTATCTCTTCAGCCCCTTTCTTGCAGGGTATTTTCGCGTAATGGGGTCATCCGGATCTTATCCACCAGCCCTGGAAGGAAGAAAATCCCAACAGTAAGGAACCATGACATCCCTGGCCGACTAGCCACGGGCGGCCCTTCCGTGAACGCAATCCCTATGCTGGCCAGGGATAGCGCATAGGAAACAAAGGCAACACTTCACCTACTATCTCTATTTAGGATATCGTGCGCCGTCTGTGCTGTCATGCCATGCCACCTCACGCGAATTAGTGCACACCCTCCCCCAAAGAAACAAGAGGCTGTCACCAGTGAGTCTGTGACTACTAGCGAAACGAGATGTGGGTGGGCTTCAACCCTTTTTTTTCTTTCGGGTAGCAGGGAGCGGCCGCAGCGGCATCGGCAAGGACGCCATGGCGTTTCTTCTCTCGACCAACTCCTTTCGAATGGCTCGAGAACATTCCACAGTCTCTACTGTAAGATCATGCGACGGGCCATTCTTGGTGCCAAAATCTTGTGGGGAGGGGGGGGGGGTTGCTCTGGCCGCCAAACAGGTCGTTGTGTGGCTAAGCGCCGAGGCTGGCTTTGACCATGGCCATCAATCTGGTCATGCGCTAAGACCTCGTTTTCATGGTTACCGTTCAGTCGATTGAAGACACGATATCATCTCATCGTGCGGAAGTTGAAATATGGATGGGTGCGATCGTGCGGCCTGGCTCTTGGTCATCGAGAGAAACAAGAGCGGTGAAAGGAACCATTTTCGGATGCGGCCAGTGGCCTACAGGGACGGACGAGACTCCTGTGATGATTAACCCAGCCCCTTTCAAAACCGGTGTACTAGTTGACTCCAACCCGGTCCCTGCCTTATCCTGCCATGAAGCGATCGAATTAATCGGGACGACCCGTGGTCGTGTCACCCTCAAACTCGTGATTTCTCTCGAATGAAGGTGCGTGGAGAAGACGCGGAGGACCGCTACAAATTACGCACACTCACAGATTTGGGATGATTATGTGCGTCACTGACTGGTGTTGCTGGGCCTAGACGTCCAGCCTGACCCTACCCTAAGCGCACTGCTGCATTACTATCGGTGGCTGCATGGTTTCTGAGTAATGGTATGAGATATCTCCTGCGCACAACATTTCATGTTTGCAGAAAATACTATGCTTATGGCTCTTCATCGGACCCAGCGGGCTACATAATGACGAACCGTCAGGGCGAAACCGTGGTTTGTTCTGCACACGCTGCTTGAACCCTCTGTTACCTATATTGCTGAAGTAGCAGCAAGCCTGGCCGGCGTGACCTACTGACCGCGCTGACGGAGGCTGGCGGAGGCTGGCGATGGCGTCTGCCTCGTGGATCCATGCGACCTTTGGACAGTCTTCCTCTTGGGTGGGTGGATCAAAAAGATGGAATGGCTTTTGCCTGTACCTGTCCGCACCTATGATGTACCGGGCCGCCAACCCTTCCAGGTATTTCCCGCACAGAATTTGGTGACCTCCTGTGAGACCTGGTGACCGCCTAGTGCAGCTCCGCAACAGCCGGAAGAACAGGACTGCATGACCCCTGCCGTGCCATGGAGCGGATACAGCCTCTTCATCACATCTCTGCGCCTGGCTGGGGCAGACTGCGGGATAACCCTGATCGATGTACGTGCCGCTTGTCCGAAAATGGTCACCTCTATGGACACAGTTTGCAAGCAAATGTTTCAATTCAGTCAAACTAGCAGCTTAACGGACGGTTTTTGGGGAGGACACAACGAGTCTGGGAAACAAACCCAAGAGTCTAACTGCTCCGCTGCAATAACCCGCGACTGGGGAGTTCGAAATTAGGGCCCAAGCTGAGTGTCTTGTCCTTGGGATCAGTCCCCCAATGTATACGCGATTCTGAGTTGAAGACGCTTACAAAAGCTCATAAACAAAGTCCAAATTTCATTTTACGACCGCAAAGACCACCAGATCCTATGAACTCTGTCGACACTTACATCTACCCTCTAAAACGCTCCGAATCCCCCTTTCCTACCCGTGGATGTTGCGTGTCTTGACGCAGACTGCACCTTCTCTACTAGGTAGTATTTGCCTCATTCTGAGCCTGACTACCCGGTCACCACCACTCTGACGCGACCATGCAAAAATTCCTTCACGACGCGCCAGCAAGCGATCAGACACCAAAAAAGACATCTGTAACTCCAAAGATAACACTGGCAAGACTAACAAAAAAAAGGGATCAAAAGGAGGACTGATCTCACCGGATCCTGGAATCGAACCAGGGGCGACTGTGTTTCCCACATTGAAGCCATCGGACCGCAAGTATGAGAGACAGTAATGTTAACCGCTACAACAATCCGGTTTTCGGTTGCAGATCTTGTGCTTCTGGATTGTGCTTCTGGATTGTGGTTGAAGAGTGGGAGAGTTCTGCTCATATACCCGAATTTTTGTTGGACCGGGACTTATCGTCACTGGCGAGATTCAGACCTTCACTGGATGTTCATGCTTGGTTCAGTGAGTCATCAGTGAAGTTTTTGATGTCAAGCATCCCTCGACACGTCCATCCGTCTGCTAATGTAACGTGTTCACAGCTCAGCAGCTATTTCAATCCCGCGAACCCTCTTCAGCGTCGACCTCGAGAACACTCTCTTCTCTTTCGTCGCAAGAAACACCTCCTCTGTCTGTCTCACCGTACGACGGACCGGTCCGTATCTCTTCTAATCTCCTAATTCTCTCGAGGCCTCAACAGGATACGACTACAATGAGGATGGACGAAAAGAGCAGGGAATGCAGTCGTGGAGGAGGGCCATCCAGAAATAACCCCTCTACCAACCAACCAACCAACCAACCGACCGACCAACCAACTAACAGTGCAAAGTGGGCGATCATGCCACGCGGAGTTTTCCCGAAACCTATATGGAACCGCTATCCTTCAGCTGGCCCAGAGAGGGCGAGGCTGCAAATCCAAGCCAGACGCTACTTTTTGATAGTACAGATTCATGCTAAGCTTTGAAGGAGCGAACTCCACAGCCCCATACACGCTAAATGCAAACGTTCTCTTTGGACAGAATCCAAATTGTCTGGCTACGATGACTCCATGCTTGCTCAAGTGTGTTGTCGTCCAACTCAGCATGTTCGGGAACGCCTTCTTGGTAGTAGCGACTGTGGAGCGGCCCTGGCGCCAGGCTGAAGCCACTCCTTTGGAGATACAACTCTGTGGAAAATATGCATGGCATGCTACTATGGTCAGGTCTCACGCCCGAGCCTCAGACTGACCTTCTGATTATGCATCCGGAGTCGAGGCCAAGGGCCCAAGCTTTACGCTGAGAATGCCAAATGCATTACGTCCTCCAAACCAGATCCCTAGATCAACTCCAGGAATGGCGACATTTCGTCGGGGATTGGGCATCCACATGGCAATATCGATCAATGAACACAAGGGTAGCTGTCTTTGACGTCCGTGGTCCACGCCTTTTGGCATCGATATTCCACATTGTGCAACACAACGATAAACACAAAGTGCACGTGGAAAGCACAAAACTTCTAACCACCACTGCATTAACAATGTTAATTTACCAAAAAATAAGCGGTAACAAGGCCGCCCCCTCATTCCTGTCTTGTTATGTGTGTTTGGTTGATTGGTGGGTTACTGGCTTGTTTAGCCTTCAACCGGCATCGGAGTGCCTCGTGCAAGGCTGCAAGGCTGCAAAACCAACAACACACGAGGCTGAACCTTACGCCTCAAAGGGGGCTCTGCCACGGTCCACTTCAGGCAAGGCGGGCGATGACTTGCAGACACTGGCTCGATATAGTAAAGCCACGAAAGGGGTTTGAGACCCCTAGCAGTTGCGGGGAGTCGAAAAGGTCTCTGGCGCTGCTCGGTGGCCGTCATCCAGTGAGTTGTGATCTGACAGATGAGAAAGGAGCAAAGCCGCGTGTGCCAATCCTTGGCTCGCATTGTGCCCTCTCCGCTCCGTTTCGCCACTCCGGGATGTTCACCGCGGTTCGCGAGATGTTGGTGTTTTGCCACAGCTGTCAGATGTGCCCGCGCTTCGGGCCCTGCAGGAGAAGTGCCACAGGCACAGGCACAGGCACTAACGGGTCCCGGTCCCCGGAAGAGGAGCGGAGCCAACAGACGGGATGACCGGAACTGTCTATGGGTAATATATACACAAGTATGTCCAGGTTACGAAGCCCCATGGTTGGATGATGCTTCGCTGGTGGCGCCAGGCTGCGTGCCCCTTATTCCATCCACCCTTGCGATCATCCCTTCCGTCGCGAACGGGCCCGTTGACGACTGCTCAGGAATAGTTCACCAGGCTTTGGAGATCCCGTGTGTGTGTGTATGTATGTATATTCTTCCATGGTGGGCCTACACGCATGAGCAAGTGCGCGAGCATGTGCATACTGCTACGCAGGCATCAATCATGCGATTGGTTCTATGTGAAGCT